TGAAGGGAAGTTGCAATGGAATGGGAAATAAGTAGAAATTATCCGTGCGGCACACCACTGTGGAAACTTCAATCCCTTGCTGTTGTGTGGTTCAGAAGCCTGATGGGAGAGCACTGGCATAACTTGTCAGAAGGGATATAGACCGACCGACCTGCAATCCGTGATGAATATGAAGCTGTCTAAATTGGAATACCTAGCCAAACGCTCTTTTCTGTTCATTCTGTGAGAATTCAATACACATCTATACTATATGTAAACAATAATTTGATAACGCTGGTGGCGAAGGCAAGAGAAGACTGTTTCTTAATTGCTTCTTCAATTTGAATTTGAACGAAATAGGAAATTCGAAATGAGTGCCAGAAGTGGCTTCGGTATTAGGACGCCTCAATTAATTTTGCTGTGCCAGACCGCATTCTGGTGTATCGCAACATGATGATAAGGTTACAATTCAATTTGGCCATGGTATATATAAACATATATATATACATACAATGTGCATATGTACGTAGATATCGAAAGACAGCATATAGTTTATTGGCCCAAAAGGAACAGTTTCTGGGCCCCAAAACAACGATTGAAGGCCGTAGTCGTCGCCGTCGTCGTCGTCGTCGGTGGTTGTGATGATGACGATGATGATGTCATCAGCCTGACATTTGTTTATGCGTGTTTTATTTATGTAATGGCATGGCTACATTGGAAGTACATACATAGTATATATTGTATGTAAATATGTGCGTACATATAATATTTCCTGCACCACACAGCAAGAACAACAACAGGAATGTGTTTTACATGAAATTTATCGATTTTCTGTTCCTTTTTTTGGTGGCTCTTTTGCTTTAGCGGCCGACAAAAAAAGGATTTGTGCTTGAAATGCCGGCACACTTCGAAACGGGCGTGGCTCGGCAACAATAAACAAACATGCAACAGAATAGTTGCCACAGTGGTGCGGTGCTGAGGGCGAGGGCTGTGCACACAAAATGACATCATATGGCATTAAGATAAAAGTCAACATTAGCCGTGAAGACGTGAAGCGTTGTTGATAGCATTGTTGTTGTAGTTGTTGCCGCGACAACGCACTTGGCAACAATAAGAACAACAATACCAATGGCCAATGCTAAGCTGCAAAGTAAAAATAATAAAAATAGTTTAGCCCGAGTAACAACAAAAACAAAACAAAAACAAAAACTTGCCGAATCTGTTTTTTTTATTTTGTTTCTCTCTCATTTTTTGTATGATTTTTCAATAAAAAATATGCGTCTATGTGTGTGCATAAATATGTATGTATAAACGGCCAACAAATGACGTAATCGCCAGCTGTTTAGCCCAAAAGTTAATAGGCAATGGGCGGACAAAGAGAATATAGCGACAACAACAACAACAGCAGCTACGCGAGATTCAAAATATAAAAGTTACGATATGTAGAAAGATACATACTAATGTATAGCCACAACAACAGCTGCAAAAGCTTACATCCGTACAGATATATGTATACATACGTACATATGTATGTACGAGTATACAGTATTTGTGGATATCGATAGCATCAGTTTTTTACTCAATTGGCATTTTAAAAACACATTTCTATGCCCTACCACGAACGTGAATAGTTATACGGTAGCTAAATTAATGGAAAGAAATCCATAAAGCATTGCCTCTTTGTCTGTCTGTCTGTCTGTATGAACCATTGCCGCCTTCACAGTTATACAGCTATCGTGCCGAAACTTTGCACAGCGACATCCTATTGCTATATGTACATAACCTAAAGGGGTCGAACAGATCAGACCACATTTACATATATGTAGGTGCCATAGAAGCAATATGCCACGAGAACATAACTTATGTAGAGGAGTTTGTTTAAAAGACGACATCGAAGGGTATATATTGGCGTTCTTATTAGGTTTCATTCCTCTTTTTTGGGCGTTTCAAATTAACACACACACACAAATAATCATTTCAGCATATTTCCATACACACACATGTGTACATACAGCACACATTTAAGTACCATGTGCTGCACAGACAACAACAAGAATTATGGGAGTGGGGATCGGGGTATGGGCGCCACTTGAACGATTAAGCCGATCGAGCAGGCATTGGTCAGATTGCTTCGGCAATCGCTGATATCATACTTATGAGGGGCAGGCGGTGAAGAGCCATCGACTTTATGACAAATGATGACAAAAACATGAATGGCAGCAGAAACCATTTAATTCGCATAACAAATTGCGCAAAATAAGAAGAAAACGCGAACTAAACTTTGAATGCAACATCTTCATATAAGGTCTAAAAACATATGTGAATTAAGTTATTCATAGCAGCAACTTCTCTGCAATGGATGCTTTCATTTGGAAAGCTATATACATAGGTATATAGTATAGTGATTAAAGTCGCCTGCTTTCCTCACATCATCATCTGTTTGCAATAAAAAACAGCCTTGGCGCAACGTTTAGACTAGGCGGACGAAGATGTTGCAGACGATTTTATTGACTCGTCCCTCGTCATGCTGCTGATCAGATAATTGTGTATATGGGGTCTGTGATACGTTGCCAGCAGCAGAGTCTTATGTTGTAATACCCTCCGCAAGAGTATATTCAAAATAATGCAGCATATAAACAATTGTAGAAATTAATTAACTCTAAGAAGATTGCATCCAAAATTGTGCATGTTCATTCGTAAAATAACTTGAATGCTAATACGGGCTCTTTTCAACCGATTGATCCCATGGCAATAATAGTATATTCCGTCAGCTTTTCCAGTCTTATAGACTTCTGTAGTTAGATCTGGACCATGTGTGTGCTAAAGATTTATGCTGCGACAATTCCTTTTCGAAATGATATTGCAGTATATTTGCGGTGTTTGGTGTTGCGATGGCCCATTGAAGGGTTAAACGGGGTCTCGATTAATATACAAATACAGTGTGTGGCTTATTTTTCATAAAGCCGCGCTCACTGCTTGCTTGCGTGCGTGCGTGCGTGAGTGAATAAGTGTCCGCTTTTTGGGGCAGGAGAGTGGGGGACTTCGGCAATGCGAGCGACGAATAATGCCAAATAACGAATAACAAATGACAATAAACAATAAACGAAGCATGACGCGCGCAACTCTCAAAATGTGAGGGTCTAGCTGGTTGGGATGACAGCAAAGAGGGCGGTTCGGGCGGGCAGCCCATCAAATGTACATACTAGATGTGTGTGTATATAAAAATGTGTGTGTATGTATGTATGTATGTGTCCGAATGTTGGGTTAAGCAAATAATGAACTTGAATTAATTATGCTACCATTTTTTATTCATTTGAATTGTTTTTTATTATTTTACATATTTCATTTGTAGAGCGCGCGTCGCTGGCGGCCCCAATTCGAAACAGTGGCAGCCTTATGAATGAGTCGAGACCGAATCGAATCGCACCGAAGTCTGACTCAAATTTCAGCTCAAAGCGAACAAAACTCGAATAAGATATTGCGATGACGTCATGGCCCGCTTCACAAGAAGCATCACGGCGAAGAATCGAAAAAGTACAAAGCAAGCAAAAGTGCAGCTTAAGCTTTTAAGCTTGGCATTCGTTTTCAGCATGTTCTTCATACTTTTGTTTCTGAGATATGCGGGAAGGTATGTATGTATACAAATGTATCTATGTATGTTTGATTGTATCATTATCATACGATTTCTGCAATTTGTTAAACTTTTGGTGTGAGCCACACTAGCCGGCATTTGTATGTTGATAAGCCTAATCGAAGTCGATCGAGAACGATTTCCAGTGCAGCTATAGCTTACCGATTTTTATAAAATTAAAAAAAAAAACACAGAAACACGATACATATGAAATAATGAGGTATTTGTAGTAAAGTCAACGTACCAAGTTTGGTGTTCCTAGGTGCTACGGTTCACAAAATCCCGGTGTTCATACGGTCGAACAGACAGACATCATTCGTTATGCTGATCATACATATATGTATAATAATTAAATATTGGGTCTGCCCCTCTTTTTTCTGCCTGTTACAAATGTACATACATTTGGCGGGTACAGCAGCTGGGTATATGTATGTATATTAAATATACATGCATATACATATGTACATATATGTACATATGTGCATTGATTTCGGTGATTCCCCAACCTAAGGTTTTAAGATTTTGGATCAGCACATACCATAAGTCACAATAAATATAAAAACTAATGTAAGAGCGAGTGATCTCGAACGCAAAATTATGAAAGCCACGAATGCCGAAACTTTAGTAAATTGGACAGCTTCGCCATAAATATGATGATGGTGGTGGTGGGGGTGGGGATGAGGGGGAGGGAATCATGAGGGTTAAAGTGGCTAACGTTGCAAGCTTTTGTGCGGCTGGGCGTAACGGGCGGGAGTGAGCGTTAAATATCGACGGCGACGGCGTCGGCGACCGCTGACGATGACGTCGTCAACGCCCACGCCAATGTCGACGTCGCTGCTGACGTTGCGATGACCGCATGGCGAACGAAATGGAATCGACAAAATATCTCTATTTGTGAGTGTGGTGTAGAGCTAAAAAAAAAGCGCGAGCATCAAGAAAAATCTTCGTATTCAAGATAAATAAATAAAGATACAATTTGCGCGTGCCAGAACGAGCATCAACGTCGACAGAGGCAAAGCAGCAGCAGCAGCGGCGATCTCGAACATTGTTGTTGTTGTGTTTGCTGCTGCTCTGCCCCACCTTAGTGGACAGCAGCGGCAATTGACTAACCAGCACACACACACATACACACACAATGAGCGCGAATTAAAGAGAGTATGTGAGTGTGTGTGTATTTTATTTTTGTGTCCGACAATTTACGTGTGTGTGTGTGCTCTGAAAACCTGTTTTGAGTAATAGTAATAGCAACAGTAGCAGCAACAACAAAATGTCTACCAGTTTTGTGAGCCAGAAATTGCGGAATGTTTTCTAATTGAAACTATGTATGTATGTATGTACATATACAAGCAAACACTTAGAAGTCTAAAATGTTAAATAAATGCAAACTTACCAAATTGTTCTTCGATGGTGCCACAGCTTTAAGTTATTGTTAAGTCACTACTAGGAGCAGCAATTCATTAGTTAATTAAAACACACACAAGAAAAAAAATGAAAACAATTCAACAGCGCCAGCAACAAGAAAAACAACGCGGCACGCTCAATACAACAACGACAACAACAAACAAGCGAGAATGTAACAGTCGAGCAAGCCCGACAGTAGAATACTCTGCGCTTACTTAAAAATATTATGTATTTTGCTTTTTAATATATATGTTAATCGTTGTATTTATTGAATTTCATAAATTTGCTTCGGGTGTGTGCCCTGCTTACTTTCCGAGCTGCTTGTGTTCTTAGCGGCGGACGGACATGTCTGGATCGTTTTGTCTCTAGTGATCAAAAATATATACATATACTAAATGGGGTCGCAACTGTTTGCTAATTTCTATTGCATACAGTTGCACAAACATAATATTCACATTTTACATTTCGGGGTACAGGGTATAAAAATGCTTTGAAACTCCAATAACACCAGAAAAAGCACTCAAACTCTCAACCACCAAGCAAGCGCGACTGCAAGCTGCGACGACGACGCCAGGTGAGCTGAGCGCTAGAGGTGAGCGTCGTGGTGCCAACGAGAGAGCGTGCGAATGAGTGAGTGAGCGAGCAACGACGAGCAGCTGCGACTCAAAACTCCAAGTGTGGCTTCAAAGCAGCACACACACACACAGACATACAATCAAGTATGCGTACCAAAAAATGAAATAGAATAAAAAATTAAACAGCATAATAATTTTCAGCTAACATCGCAAAGCCGCTGCAGTGACTTGGCTGCTGCTGAGTCTTTTTTTTTTGGCTTTCATGTACAGCCAACTGAGCAAATACATACACATAAAGGCAGGCACGTAAATACGCATATACATACATACGTATGTATATAACTAGTATGTATATACATATGTATGTATGTAGGTTGCACGTACACATATATAGATATGTATGTAAATAGAAAATGTAACTATTGTGTTTATTATTAGCGCGTTTTGTTGCACAGAATCAAAATCTGGCCAAAAGAGGCGTCCTGCTTGGGAGCTGTGCCGTGCCGCGCTGTGCTGCTTTTGTCGCTGTCGCTGTTGACGACGTGCTGATGCTGCCTTTTCCACTATTTAGTTTTAGTTTAGTTTTGGCACTTAGCTGCTCAAAAATTTATTTTTCATAGTAACAATTTCGTGGTTGACTATTTTGTTTAAATTATTTTTGGGCGCGGTGCCCACTCGCATGCACACACACTCGCACCCAAACAGACATACACACACACAAACACACACACGTTTTGGCTGGCGCGTTTGTTGCAAACGAACGACGAACAACGGTTTTTCTTGTAACACTAATTCTGTGGCAACGGCTTCAAATCATCAGCGTTTTGTTATTTTGGTGTTTTCCGCTACGCCTTTGACATTTACTCCGCTTTGCATTTCAGCCAATATTGTTGTACATGCATCATTGTCCACACTGTTCACACCAAAACAAAAAAATATTTTTGTATAAAATTCACACGAAAAAAAATCAAGTAAATAAGAAAATTTGTATGCCAACTAACTGCACACGACGTCCGTCACTCTCGCACGACCGGCGCGTCTCTCGGTAATAAAATGAGAGCAGCTAAGAGGTGTCCGTCGATGGAGACGCGTGTGTGGTGTGTCTATAGTCAGCTGGGATGGTGGGTACACTGTCGCATGAAGACCTATTCACCATACTCAACATGAGGTAAACTTTGCAAAGCCCAATCGGCAACTATCGATTCTGCAAATAAACTATCGGTGTTTCTTTAGAAGAGTGAATTTTGAATTAAAATATGAATTGATTAATTGTTTTCATTGCTCACTCCGGCAAAACTCGGGCAACGTGGACAATAAGAATGCAGTCATATGCTTTGTAAATGATGCTCATTAAACTATTTATTTATAAAGCAACTAAATTTTGGATCTGATTTTGAAAACTTTGAAAGTTAAAAAAAAATATTGTTTTGTGGAATTCAAACAGCATTTCCATGCCCTTGCGGAAATGCTTGTTCGCATACTCGTTCCCGTCTTCTTCAACGTCCCTTCCTGCGATAACTGCATCAGGATCCAGAGTATCGCGGTAACTACAAGTATATATAATATTATATCACAAGAGTGGCGATACTCTCGTAGAAATAAAGCCAAGCTTTCATTAGTTCTGAAATCGACTGGGCCTCAGAAAGTTTTCCGCTGCTGCAGCAGAAAACTCGGCCAGAAAATTTCACCAGCTTATCATTGGCGCTTTTTAGAATATAGTTCCGACAAACGCACGCGCAAATCGATTGTTGGCTGTCATCTTAACCTGGTAGGCCAAAATAAAAAATCTGAAGAGCGCGGCCTTGACAATTAATTTGCGATCACAACTAGAGGCGGGGGATCAACGTTTACTAACTTTCTTGTTTAAGTATCAACTATTTCCATATAATATTTTACCAAGTTTATGCTAGAAGGATATTTAAAGTTTTGTTGTTTCAGTAAAAATCTAGTCTAAATATTTGTGTAGACTGCGTAAACAACTATTATGTATGTCCGCCTGGGAGTTATTTCAAATTCCCTTTCGATCAGCTGATTTCAAAATATTGCCTTACGTCTTCTGAGCACCTATCGTAGACCGTTATACACCAATCTCACCACTTGGCCGATAAATGTTTTGCACGCAATGTTGCCTTATTAGAACAGCTTTGTGTACGTTTCACTGTGAATGGCAATTCGTGTTGCCTGCCTGCCGTCAGCCCGTTTGTGCGTGTATGGTTGGGTGTGGGAACTTACGGCTAAATCGAAAATTCAAATAGCAGCTATTTAAGCGGCAAAAAAAAAAAACCAAAATCATTTCTCAACGCCCGTCGTGCAGTTAACAGCAAATGTAAAAGATAGGTTTTTCAAAATGATTTGTGTGCGTAATTGCCGAAGTCGCTTTAGTTTTGGCTGTCGTTGACATCGTCATCATGTAACACACACTCCGTTCGAATATTAGCAACGGCAAAGGGAAAACAAAAAAAATCGAAGAGTGCTTTAAATGTCAAGGACAACACAAAGCATAACAAAGCCAAGCAGTAGAAGGAACACGAACAAACAACACACAACCGAAACGGAACGAGAAAGAGAAACGGAAATAGAAATTGAAACAGAAACAGAAAGGAAAAGGCAACACATTTCGAAATATCTTCAATTATTTTGTGCAATGTATTAACAAGGATTTCAGGCAACAACTCTAAAGTCAATATGTCCAATGCCGAGTATATTACGTCGTCTGCATACAAACTGCAGCCGAACACATCAACGTCGTCGTCGTCGTCCCCAACTGCATCACCTTCAGCATCGGGCACAGCAACAGGCGAAGCCCCCAACCACTCCTTGTCATCCTCTGTCACCGTCGCCTCCTCTGCCTATTATGTGCCCCAGACGCATGCGACCTCGTCGACGGCAACAACAGTGTCCTCGAACACCAACAACAACTCAGCGTCCAGCAACAGCATTTGCATGCAACAACAATTCAATTCACATGAAGGCCAGCAGCCCCATCAGCAGCACCACCAGCACCAGCACCGCCCCCTCGAAGAGAAGATACCGGCATTTATATTAGCGCCAGCAGCACCGCTGATGCCGCCGTCCCCCCCTCTCATATCCTCGGCAGACACAGTGGCCGAACTGCTCCTCCTTGGCAATCCCGCCATCAACGAGCCCCAGCGTCCCCTGTGGCTGGCCTCCCTGCACAGCGTCACCTTCATTATCACATGCACCCTGGCCGTTTTTATACTGTTCCGGAACGTACTAACATGGTAAGTTATCGAACAGCAGCAGTGAGAGCCATATTTTAAGATAACCCCTGAAAATAGGAGGGGGCTAGACTTTCAGTTACCTGAACTTTTTTTAAGGAACGAAAATTGAGCCACTTTTTGACTTACTTGTAGGCTTTTAAGTGCTACTTAATTGCGGAGGAACTGCAAAAAGGCTTCAGAAATAAATCCCCAAGAAGTCTTTTGCAGCAGAAAATACTACTTTAGTATTAATTCTTATTGATTTTGAGCCAAATCACATTATATGCATGACTTGCTTGTAGAATTCAAAGAAACACACATTTATCTCTGTTTTATCTTTTCCAATAATAGTTAAATCGGCATTTCTCTGATTTATGAAAACTGGGGTGCAGTAATCCATATTTTTGTACGGATTGTGTTTGTTGAGCAGCAAACAAACATCGAATCATCAGACAATAGACATGTTCCTATGTCCGGATTCGATCGAAATCGATTTGGCGAAATGTTCAGTTAATTCCAAGTCCAATACATATGTTTGGTGATTAATTCCTTCATATAATTATATTAACTGCTAGTTTACTTTTTCTAAAGTTATCTTTAAATTCACCTGAAATATTCGTTTTCAGTTTTCAAGCTTATTTGTTTAAAAGGTGCTAATGAAGTTTCCCATTCCGGTCCAGATTAAGATTCATGTACAAAGCTTACTAAAGTAAATTATTTTGAAATTGAAAGCTATTTCTTGCCAAACTCTCATATTCCTGGAAGCTGACTGTTCTTTTTTTTGCCGCTACTGTACTCCAAAGCCGCTCTTTTTGTGCGCGCGCAGCTAATTCGCATTCGCAGTCAGTCGACGCAGCGCTGCGCGACGCTCAGAGCTCTGCTCTGCTGTGCTGTGTTCAACTGAACTGAGCTACGATCCCCCCATTCCATTCATTATTCCCAAAATCAGTAGAAGGCGACGTTTTAAAGCGACGACAGTGCGACGCGAAAGTTGCGCAAAAAAAGCGGGACTCGAAAGCGAAACAAAAGAAAACAAACAATAGTTTCTGCTGAACGAACACAACAGCAAGAATTTGACGTTCAAAGCTTGACTTTTGCACTCACTATCGCTCTCCCTCCTGCCCTCTCTCTCTCTCTGCTGACCCCACTCTACTGCTCTACTCTCTCACTGTTGTTGGGATGGAGAAATTTAATGAATTTTCTTACCTGCTCACCACCAGGCATTTGCAGAGCTTTTGGGGAGCCTCTGGCGATTTCTGGCAATCGCAGTGGGACAAGTTTATTGACAAGTTTGGTAAGTGCGACTAAATTAACAACAACAACACCAGCAGATACAAATAAACATACATACGTACATACATATGTTAAGTACGCTTGCACTTTGTTACTGCTTTTATCAACGTGTATGTGTGTGTGTGTGTGTGTGTGAGCGCGCTTAGCTCTTTAAGATATCAACACACACATGCATAAATATGTACATACATATACACATACATACATATACATATTTATGTTTGTATGTGCGCATGTGTTAGTAACTCTGTATGGATCTTATCACAAATTGCACTTTTCGCCTCAATCAACAATAGCAACAACAACAACAACATTACAAGTATTAGCAACAATAAGAGCAATGTCAACAATAAGCGCACGTTTTGTTTACTAATTCGCACCACACCCGCACCCGCACACACAGAACTATCGTGTGTGCCTCAGACACGATAATAATGATCATTATATTATCAACATGATGATAGATTGCTGATCCATCGCCATGTCATGCCACGAACGGCATTTGTAGAGCAGCGGCGGCAACAACAGAGCCAGCCATTACTCATCCTACTTGTATTACCGCCTGCCCGCACTTGTACAAGTCATAATAATTTGTTGCAATATTAATGCATTCTTTGTTTATTATTATTATTATTTTCATTTGCAATTGTGGAGACCATAAATTTTAGGTGAATGCATCACACATGCAATAAATATTGAAAGAAGGCCCACAAATGTAAGTGACGGCAAACACATGCATTCAGTTTCCCAATCTACATTTATTTACCATTTTAAACTTGATGTACAAAACAAGGAAAGCAGTTGTCAGTTGCATTTTCTTTTAGATTACCTTACTTTTTTAATCACACCTAAGGGTTTTCGATAAAGCTTGGAACGTTTGGAAGCCCACGAAAGAATAAAAAACCTTAAATCAGTTCAAGAATAGAGAATACTAGAGTCGGGAAGGCCCTACTTTTAAGTACCCTGTAACCACGCCGACTCACTCTGTTTAATTTCCTTTAAAATGTTGGTGCAGGGTATAAAAATAATACTTTTAGACAAACAGGTGTTTCAATATTTTAGAAAACCATCCACCAATTTTGAAATATTTTCAATTTCTAAGAAATGTTTTGCTAAAATGTTGTTGTTCTGAAAGTTTAAAAGATTAACAGCAGCTGGTAGAGCATACACAGAGTCCGTATTAATGGGCTTAATTTCCTTTAAAATGTTGGTACTTTTAGACAAACAGATGTTCTATATTTTTGAAAACCACCCTCCAATTTTAAAACATTTTCAATTTCTAAGAAATGTTTTGCTAAAATGTTGTTTTTTTTTTAAGTTTTGAAAGCTTAGAAGACCAGAAAACTATCTTTCCTGAATTTAGACAAAATATTTGAAGTCTTTCAAAGGATAGACTCGGCTCGACATAGCCAAAGAATGACTAAAATTTAAAATTCATCGACATTATTTGAATATAGATAGTGCATACAACGTTTCTGGTTATGATAAAATGATTAAAAATTAATACTTCTCTCCAGTTAGCTGTCAACAGCTGTACATATACAAGCTTAATATAAATTTGTGGGTTATAATATGTACATGTTGTACTATATAAATATTCAAAGATACACCTAATTCTACTTTTATACGATAGATTGGTTCCAGAAACAACCGTGATAAAAAGACATTGATGATATGCAAAAATAGGTGATTGGTTCCTTATCTCTAAATAAATATGTATGTCATTTTTCATTTTCAAACCGTGTTATATAGACCGTGTAAAAACAGAATTAGGTGTATATAAATATATAGGTGTGGTTGCTATAATAATGTGCAGGTAAAAACTATCATCATAGATCACTAAACTACATTAAACCAATAGAGAATATACATACACCTATGTATATAGAAGCATATAACATAAAACCGCATACTACTTATATATTAACCTACGTCATGAATTAGACCCACCACGTCCCAAAAATATGTTAAGCTTTTAAAAAAGTGTCTGCTGTTTTAGGAAAATATTTTCCGAATTTCAAAGCTCACTTGTTTTTAAAAAAAATCGCAACTTTAAAAATGTATAGCTTAGGCCCAGCTTAAAGTAAAGCGTCTATTAAAGTGAACAATTTTATAAGAATTTGAAAACAGCGAAGTATTCAGTATAGTGTAATATATTTTTTAGTTTCAACTACGAAAGGTGTACAAACACTATAATTTGCGAATGATATATTACATTTGTACTATTTACAGTTGGCTTTACAGAGATACTTACGTATGTATCTAAAAATATTCATATATGCAAATAGTTAGCTCCCATTCATTTCGTTACTTATCAAATATTGGAAGAATAGATTTAAAAACGCGAATTTCTAGCTTAAAAAAAATGGTAGGAATTTTTTTATTATTTTAACAAAACTGAATAAAATAGGTGTGCCTTTAGCCCGCAAATTGGTGGAAAATCATTTTAAAATCTGTTCTAAAAACCAAGAGCTTTTCTTTCTCTCTCTCTCTCTCTCTTTGTGTCTGGATATATATCTACCCATCTCAGGCGATGATCCGATGATGCTTTGGGTCTTTGGCACCACTATATTCACAATGCTGGTCTATTGGACTGTGGGCGGCATTTATACGTTCATGGATCTGACCAATCGACCGGCTTGCCTGCGCAAATATAAAATCCAGCCTGGCACAAACGAGCCCGTCGAAACTGGCCGACTGCTAAAGGTGCGTATCATCCGAGTATTATGTATATAGTAGTTGTAGCATTAATTGGTTGCATACTCAATTGAGTTGAACTCTTTGCCATCGACAGGTCATCTGGCGTGTGATCTGCAATCAGATCTTTGTTGGCATACCGGTGTCCTTCTTGAGCTACAAGTTGATGACGATGCGGGGTCTGAGCGACATACGGGAGCTGCCCACCTTCCACTGGGTGTGCTTCGAGCTAACTGTCTGCATATTGATGGAGGAGCTGGGCTTCTACTACTCGCATCGTCTGCTCCACCACAAGCACATCTATAAGTTTATACACAAGCAGCATCACGAGTGGACGGCCCCGATATCGGTGACGGCCATCTATTGCCATCCGATAGAGCATATTTTCAGTAATCTGCTGCCACCGTTTCTGGGGGTCTTTCTGATGGGCAGTCATGTGGCTACCGCCTGGTTGTGGTTCGCCCTCGCCATTCTGTCCACTCTGAATGCACACTCGGGCTATCATTTGCCGTTTTTTCCGAGTCCGGAGGCCCACGATTTTCATCATTTGAAGTGAGTGAAGCGCTTTTTTAGGGTACATATATTTTTAAACTAAAGATGTGTCTTTTTTTGCTTCTCTATTGTCTTCTGAACAGATTCAACAATTGCTTTGGTGTGTTGGGCGTTCTGGATCGTCTGCATGGCACCGATTCGCTTTTTAGGGCCACCAAGTCCTATGCCCGACACATTATGATGCTGAGCTTTGTGCCACCCCGAGATGCTTTTCCCGACTCGACCATGAAATGAGATAAGAGCGCAGCGATTCCAGCGAGCGACATTTATGGCTATAACGCTAGGGATTGATCCCTAGGGATCGCTTGCTTACCCCACTCTCTTTATCTCTCTCCCCCCCTCGCTGGTCGATTTTCGGGCTTAAATCGTGATCTGATATATTTTTTGTGCATTATGTATAACTTATTCATAAACCATAAGTGCATGTATATCTATTTTTTTTAAAACAACAAAAAAGGAAACAAATAGTATTTCTATGTCTACACTGCATTGTGATAATACCCAAGCAGAGCATTCAACACAGTCCTAATCGATTTTATAGATGTACGGAGTAGATGTCCACAAAATATTAATTAGAAAATGTTTTTGGTGTGTGCAGTAAAATGAAAATTGAAATTCTGACGAAACTTCAACTAGAGACCTAATTAGAGAATCCCATATGTACCTACATATATACGACCAGTATGTATGTATGTATATGCATATTGTTAAGCATATAATTATGCATGTCTATTTGTTAAGTGTTGCATATGTACTACTAAATGTATATGTATGCATGTGTGTATGTAGCGAGGTGTTTAAATCATCCTAATCACAGCATTAGAAATAAACTGCAAAAATACAAAAGCAACAGCTGTCTAAGTTCTTCAAAACGATGCGCTAAGGTAAGAATCCCTTGAAAGTTGGTTCTAAAAAAATCAAAATAAAATTAAGAAGCTGCAGAAGAAAGTTCATAAAAATGAAAATAATAGTAGTATTTTTAATATTCCAACAATAGATGGTAATAGAGTGAGATATTTCAGAGCAAGCTGAAGTTATTGAGGCCTGTTCCCGTTTTAAAAGTTAATAAGCTTATTCAGAATCAAAATTGGGAAAACGACTAATTTCGGTTTCAATATTATTATTCGACAATTGGAAAATAGGCGTGAATATGAATACAGCATAAATCAATAGTTCACATACACAGAATATTATTTTGTGAGACGTAAAACAAAAAACTGAAAGCGTCCCTCTTTGATAAGATTAAGTTCAGGGAACATTTCCCATTGAGGCGCATTTGTAAAATAGTAGAACGTAAATTAACAAATCATGCAAATTGATCGTGATAAGGTATAATGCCATATAATGCATAGTATATAGAATTTTACATTTAATAGTTGTGAAAACGAAATAGACCTTCCATTTACCAGACTATCGTAGGTCAATCAACTAAATCTATGGGTAATATGTAGTATGCTTTGTAGTGGTGGAGTAGTCGCCCACCTCATCACTTTTTTGCAATTGTCATTACATCAAAAAAGTGCAAATAACCTACAACTAGAATGCTCTTTTTCTGATTTCATTTTCGACATTCGCAGAGCCAAACAGAACTATGCTTTACAGCATAGCATTATACTCACACAATAAAGCGGTAAACAGAAAACCCAATTAATTGTATTCATCCGTCCAAATATTTAAAAAAAACACTTCCTCTTCCTCTTTTCCATTGTTTTTAAATAATATTATCCCGCGGCCATTTCGTTCAAATCCAGGCAACGCTGCAACAGTGTGTCCACACTTTTTGGATATAAGTTCAGCGTTGCCACAGCGTGCGGTAAACACGGTGGCAGCACGAATAATGTCGTTACATTGTATGTAGTATATTTTGAGCCAAGAGTTTTTGTTGTTAACTCTAACTAATGCTGCAGTTTTTAATAAATTCGAGATAAAAAAGACTTATAAGATGAAATCTTACTTATTTAAAAAAGAGGGTTTAATTATTATTAGGTTTCAACTGCTAATATGTATATCTATAATCTACTTACATTTATGTATGTAGTTTCTTTAGAAGTTTCCTAATATTTTAAATGTTATTTTAAGATCGATTTTAGGATTGTTTTACGCACCACTGTGCATTGATAAGGTAAGTTACCCTGCACCATCACTACTCTTGAACTTGGAACTCCTGTAGTACCCATTACCCCACCTCGCCATGCCACTAGCTGAGACGTGATCTAAATATAATGCTAATCTTTGTTAATACTAATATATACTTATGTACATTAATAATAAGTATTTGTGTATGGGATTCAAAATACTGCGACATATAACCGCAGGCACACACACATGCGTGCATCACGATAAGGCAATGCTAAATTTCGTAGCTATGTCAAATCACTGAGCGATTGGCCGGCCCATCATAAAAACTAGCAATCGTGATAGAGACTTGATATTTTCGGTTGTAGCGGTAAAGTTATGCCCTATGATATGACTTTCTTCACGTAAAAACTACGAATGATATTCGATCTATTTAAAATCGACCGAGAAGTCAGTTCAACAAAAAACGAGTAAGTCATTAGTGACAATATACATACATAATCTATTATGTGAGATGTCGAATAGAATAATTATAAACTCCCTCAGCATATCAAATAACCGCAGTCTAAGTAGTGTATCAGAAATTTTAGTTACCAAAATAAATCATACATATAGTATGTATAGCAACTACTGGTAAATAGGCTCACCAAACCGATCAGTATGCATTTGGCCAAAGCCGACAACGGTCGAACATAAGAATGGACACGTTTATATCCAGTCTGGCGACCCGATGGCGTTTCATGGGTGATATTATACAGTCGCTATGGGGGGCACTGCTCGATGTGATTGGCGAAGATCCCAGAACGCTGTGGGTTGTTGGCAGCACTGTGGTAATTTTCAGTGTCTATTGGCTGTACGCCATTATCTTCACCATTATGGATATTACAAACCGCCCTAAGTTTCTGCGTAAATACAAAATTCAACCCGGTCAGAATGAGCCTGTCGATCTGCAGAAGCTATGGAAAGCCGTCAAGGTGGTGCTCTTCAATCTGACCGTGTTAAATCTGGGCTTTAGTTGGCTTATGTTCGAGGTCGTGTATAGGTATCAGCAAAATACGGAAATTCGCGTTTTGCCTACTTTTGGACGCGCTCTCTTCGACTTTGCGTGCTTCGTAGTCCTGGAGGAGATCATGTTCTATTATTCGCATCGTTTGCTTCATCACAAGGCGATCTATAAGTATGTGCATAAGAAACATCATGAATGGACTTCACCGGTGGCTGCCATGACGCTCTATGCCCATCCCGTGGAGCATATTGTGGCCAATTTGATCCCGGTGGGCTTTTCATTGGCCCTGCTGCGCTCGCACATTGCCGTAGCATGGATGGTTTTTGCTTTGGCCATCATGAATTCCATGAACGACCATGCGGGCTACAGTTTTCCTTGGTCCGGTGGATCGGTGCGCTTTCATGATTATCATCATGCCAAGTGAGTGATGCAAGAATAATGGTAATGCATATTTTATTTACAAAACATATTTCCTCATTTTAGATTCAACTACAATTATGGCGTCACCGGGTGGCTGGATAAGTTGCACGGAACTTATCGGGTGCCCCACAAAGAGGGTGCTGCAAAGGCACAGAAAGTAAAAACGTTACTGAAACCGAACCAACTAGTTAAAAAGAAATCCAAATAATAAATATTTTTAAAATACATTTTATAACATTTATCGTTCTTCGCTGTTTAATTTTAATTTATATTGTTTCACAAAATTAATCAAACATTTGAATTTCAGCGGCACATGCTCGATGTCAGTGTATCCACACTCAATTAGAGGCAATCGATATACGAGTATAACTGCTATCGATTCTCTGAATCTGCCATGTCGTGAGCTTTCACCAAATGTTCATGCAACGGCATCGAAATAATTTGAAATTACATTTTTCTCTTCCCGGCGGCCAAGTCAAGGTGTTAAGGCTTACACCCATCGCAGGAACTGAGCAGCAATGGGCATATTGTGCCCATTGTGATGGTCCTGGCGTTAATATTCGCAAAATATTAATTATTTATTGGATTTTATTGGTTTCGCTCTGCATGAAGTGCGCTCAACGAAAAAAGATAGCCAAATGTTGGTGCACAGAAACAGAGAGAGAAAAAGAAAGAGAGATAAAGATAGCGCAACTTTGCAACATTTATACGTGAATTTGCATTTACTAAGAACATACTATGTTCTCGTATGTGCCATCGGCAAAATGTAAATAATTTTCCGTATTTTGTATTAGATTATAAAATGTTGTGCTAAAGAGTTAAGAGATTGTCAAATTGTCTGCGGAATAATTGTTTAATTAAGCAACTTGTCTGCCCTCTTGTTGAAATGTCACTGCATGGTGAACAATTAAAATAACACCGCACACAACCAATACTGATACTAACTTCAAAAAGTAAGGCGACTTTTCAAGTTTCGCGGGCAACGTACATTCCATTAAAATTGTTGTTGTTGTGTTGGTACACATGTCCGGAACATATGTTTCTTTCTAAATTTGTATATATGTACATAATGTATGTACATATACATATATAAAAAGTATATAATGTATAATGCAACATCATAGTTGTGAATACATGCAATGTAACTATCCTAGAAACGATATTATTTAGAAAAGATCTGCTCGGAAATATTTTAGCTGAATTACAAACTGAGAAAGTTGGTAGATGCTGCAGTATTGTCAATGATGTTATAGTTACAGATATCAGCGGTTTAACTGTTATTATCAGTTTCGAAGCGCAAAATTGTCGGGTTCTTGACAAATGTAACACCATTTAACACTTATTTGAGATATTTTTAGGCCGGCCGTTAAGCTGGTCATCTGGTAAAAATGTCAGTTTGTTGAAAACATTCTTAGAAAAATTATTTAATTGCGAAAGTGAAGATGACTGTTGTATTCTTTCTTGGAGATACATATGTATGTATACCAACAGGGAAGAAAACGAAGGATCGCTGTACTAGGTAGCACTAATTAAGTTACATACATATGTACATATGTATGTATTTAGATGAGGTTTGGTTAAGCTTTGTTGTTTTGCCAAATCGGAAATGATAGAATTTAAGAATATTCAATCAAATTAACAAGAAATTATTTACCCCTCATACTATATTTTGCACTCTGATGTCAATATTCGACTGAAAAATGCTGCAATTTCAAAACTGAAGAGCACAACTCTTCGTGTATTTGCAGTAGGGGGTGTCTCTCGAAAGAGAAGAAATGCCTTTTTTTACCCACATGAAATGCTCCAAATTTTCCTTATGGAGGAGAACAGTTTTGTCGTCCTTGTGTAAAGTGATGATTGAAATGAAACTATTCGGAAAATGTATTCAAAAGATGCAAGAGGACGATCTTACGGAAACTCCTAACCCTAGTCTCCGCTTGACCGGACTAAATGGCCACCTCAAGAGCCCACCATGATTGGCAAATTGTGTCGCGTGTCTAATAGGAGGTGTGCGGCACGTAGCAAGCCATGCCTCATCCATGTGCTTCACTTAGCTGTACCGTTGAACCATTTGCTGCCAGCCTGTTGCACTTTTGTCATGCCGCGCATGCGCATGCGCATCTTTTAGCTTGTTGCAAAGTGGGAAAAAGTGGAATGGAAAGGCAGCAGTTGCCACAACTGTGGCGCACTTGCTGTGCTAACTTTAGCTATTCTGGCTGCGTCTTTTCGTTTTCGTGGCCAAATGTTCTTCTACTCTCGAGCTGACAAGTTCAGTGGCGGTCGTTCTCGTCGTTCTCGTCGTCGTCGTCGACTCTCTGTGTGTGTTTGAGTGTGTGTCTAGGTCTCTAATTGTCTATGATGGTCGGTTGAGCATGCTACCTAATTTCTTAACAAACGCCAATACCAATGAGACATACACTATATTCATATTAAGTGTGTAATGTGAGTTGAGATATTTTCATGTGTCCTTCGCAATTGATCCTTCATTAGGCGCAACGGTAAGTGGCAAATAAACTGGTTGGCTGAGACAAAAACCAAAATATTCTAAATTGAAAGTCAACCGAACCGAACAACAGCTGCTAATGCTGTTGGCGACTCACCTACTGACTTACATTCGAGCGTGTGACGGCGTCTCAGGAACAAGTTGCACGTTGCAAGTGCAGCGAACGGTACAAACGGCCTCGGCGCCCTCCTTGCCTCAAAGTCATGGCCAAAATGCGAGCTCGATTGCCACTAAGCGGAGCATGGGGTGTGCATTTGCATTACCATTCAGCTCCCAGCCAGTGGAACGACGCGTTCTGACGCCAATTCGCGCACAATTCCAGTTTCCACTCCACTTGCCCTTCACCTACAGCCCATGGCCGTAGCGAAGGGGATATGTTTGCATGAAAAAAAAAAACATAATATAAGATTGGGGGCTATTTTGAAACTATTTTTTAAGACATCTATTGTGTTAATATTTGGCTCTGTAATTCCGTCGATTTCTAAAACGATTTTAATATGCCAAGAAAAGGTTTGATCCTCCTAACTTGTCAAATTATTAAGCCACATTGAGGGTTGAACAAACTAACATATGTAGTTAATATCTAAATAAATTTCTGTTTGTTTTTCTAAACTGCCACTCGAAGCTGCTGAGAATTGGATTCGCCTTTAGCTGCAAATTTCGCAAATAGTTAAACTTCTGCACAGATTTAAGGAATAGACGGTCATATAATGGCAAATTTATTTTATTAAATATGAGAAATAAAAAAAAGAGAAATACTTTCTTTTTCAATTCATTTAATACTAAGGAAAGTCTAGCTAAACAGCGATCTAGCTTAATCACGTCACTACCATCATGATAGAACGCATGATTGAACAAATTTCAAGATTTATCTTAAATAAAGAATAAAGATTTAAAAATACAAATTTTCAATCTCTATCCTAGCGTTACAAGTATTAGTACGTTAGTCATTAAATATTTAGATCGATATTGATTAACAACACATATCATAACATTGTTTTTCTAATTGAATCGTATTCTTATTTGTTCTATTTTAATTTATACCACAATATTTTTAAAGTTACTTTTTTATTTAAATTTCAAGTTTTTTTAGTATTGTTATTACTTGTACAGACTATATGTGTTGCGTTTCATTTAGTTTTTAACACTATTTATCAAACGTTTGACAAAAAACCTTGCCCCCCTAAATCATAAACTAACTACGCCAATGTCGTCGCTGCAAGAGCATCAGCAACAACAAAAACAACAACAACAACAGGTTTTTGGCATGTGCCTCATAGTGTGTCAGATAGCGCGAAATGTAAACCACAAGCCATCATTCCATTGTGGCGCGATTGGTGCCGGGAATGAGAAACTAGGTTAGATGGGTTACATTTTAAAAAAAAACCCCTGAGTTTATACTACAATTAAATGAAGCCTTTATCCAATTCTATTCGAGTGCACTAACTGATTTCTACGGAAACTCGAATGAAGTCATTTGTTATGATCAATTTGCATAGTTAGTATATACACAGCTAATTCTGTTTTTACACGGTTTGAAACATTAAATATTTATTCCATTTCGCACGATTCAAAATAAAATATGATCAATATCTTTTTTTACATCGTTTTTTTTTTTTCACGCATAATTTCTGGAACCAATCTACCGTGTAAAAACGGAATTAGGTGTATGTACATATTGAGTATAATCATATCCAATTCATTGTTGAAATGTTTCCTATTAAAATCAAAAACATACATATAAGCCAAGAACATTTTACTGAAACCATATTAAATTTGACATTCAAGTGCTCCACAACTTGGTGAATTCAACGCCAGGTTGAAAAACGAAGGTTTTGATCAACGACGGGTCTTCCATTTCAAATATATTCATCGTTTAAAAATATTTGTTTTGCTCTTTTCTAGTTTTAGCATATAAACAATGAAACAGTGTCCTAGCTAATTATTTCGTTTGAAAATATTTTGTTTAATTATATTTTATTTGCTTTACTTCACTTGAAGTCTATTGATAATATTATTAATAATAATAATTTGTTTTTTGAAAATATATTGTACGGTTCCCTTGTTATACTATGAAACGTAGTGTCCCAGTTAATTATTTTGCGCACCTTACTTTTGTAAATGCAAAGTTCAAAGTTATGTCTTTAATGCGTCACATTCAACTTAATACTAAATACTAAATACTGTGTTTGGATTGTACATAAATATTGCGTTTTGTCCATTTTAGATCAGATTAGGCCAGAAAATATTACCGCCAGATCCGGACTATACTTGTACACTTTGGCGAGTCATTATTGTTGGCCAATTGTGGTCGCTTGTTCACAAAAGCTTTCTTCAAATCGTCTAATTGTTGACAGCAGACGATCGAATTCCGTGTTTAGCCATATGGAAGGAAGTCGCTCCTGTCCAGTGCTGCCATCATTTTTTGAGCAAAACAAGCTAGATTGTAAAAAAAATTAAAGCTAAAAAAAGCAAAATTCAAGGTAAAATAAACTTTTAAAAAAAGCTGGGTCTAAAAAAACTATTTTCTTGGTTAAATGTAACGAAATATTTGGTTTAATGTTTTCATATGAATTAATGACTCTGCGTCAGAATAAGCGAGCTTGTTTACTGACACTTTCTTTATACACTTTAGACATTTCTTAAAGCAGCGAAGACAAACTTATAAAAGAAACAGCTGATGCTCGATTCACGAGGAGATTTTGAAAAATTTTATTATCGAAAGTCGTGATTTTGAGTATTGACAAAAAAAATATATAGATGGTGAAAATAAAAGTAAAGCTAAAAAAGGCTAAATAACTTTTTTTTAAAGCTAGAATTGCCGTAACCCGATATTTTCACATTTTTTCCCGCACTGGCGTTAAAAAAGACCAGATCTGGCGGGAAAAAGGCTGAAATGCCAGCACTGCCCCTGTCTTTCCACCAAATGCACAGCAAAACCTTTCTGTCAGTTAATGCTGGCTTGAACAAAGTGTTAACTGTTTTATCAAGCCTTGGCCAGAATTGTTTCCGCATTGTCGCCTGTGAACCATTTTTCATCACCAGTTACTATTAGTTTAAGAATTGGATCGATTTCATTTCGTTAAACCAACGATTCGATCCACGCATAAGTTGAACTTTTATTCAAATTGAAATTTATTGCGGAGAATATTCCTTACATATTCAATTACCCCCCAGACCTAAGCACTTAGTTTCTTCTTGGGCAGCTTAAACTGCAGCAAGAAATTGAATATGTTAATCTTTTCAAAATCCAAACTGGATTAAGTACTTGCTTATAATATCATTTAATGGAGCTGTTGGTCCGGAAAAGGGAAAAGTACAAGGTGCGTTCCAAAGTAAACAGGACTTTTTGAATCTAGCGCCCCCTGGTGGCGCTATCTATATGCGTTAGAATCTGCTATCTTTATCGATTGTCCAGTGAGAATTTCATAACATTTCATCGATTGGAAGTGAAGTTATTGCGTTTTAAGTGTCAGTATGTTTGTGTTATCGGTGAGAAAATGAGCTTCGAACAAAGAGCCAACATTAAATTTTGTTTTAAAATTGGTAAAACTTTTACCGAAACGTTTCAATTGATAGAACAAGTTTGGCAGAGTAGCAGAGTTCACGAGTGGTTTCAACGTTTTCAAAGTGGTCGTCAGGACATAAATGACGATCAACATGTGGGCCAATCAAAATTCGCCAATGAATTAATCAAAAATCAGCCGAAATCATCATTGAAATTGATGGAAATGGAATCGAACATCTCGAAAACATCGATTTATCGCATTTTGACCGAACATTTGGGCTTACGAAAGGTGTGTGCACGGTTTGTTCCGCACAAATTGACTGAGGACCAAAAATTGCTCAGAATCCAACATTCGATCGACGCTTGTGACCGATTATTTGACCAAAAATCACATTTTAACGATTAACCACTCGCCGTATTCACCTGATATGGCACCGTGCGACTTCTACCTTTTCGGAAAAATGCATTTGCCCATGAAAGGAAAGCGTTATGCAGACGTAGAGGCCATTCAAAAGGCCTGCACCGGCATACTGGCGGCCATACCGGCCAACGGGCTAAAACACTCGTTCGACATGCTTTTGGATCGTGCAAAAAGCTGTATTGAAGCAGAAGGAGATTATTTTGAATAAAATAAATTGATTTTGCCGAAAAACCCATTTGTTCTGTTTTTTTTTTAAAGTCCTGTTTACTTTGGAACACACCTTGTATTATTTTGAGGCTTCATAGAGACAAACACTGAACTGAAGCCCAAATGCCAGAGTTTAAAGTGTCAGATTTGGATAAATTAAGTTGAATCCTAGAAACAAAAATCTTTTCCAACAAACATTTTCCGGCAGCCAACAAAATTACAAGCCCTGCACTCATACCAAGGTAACATCGAGTGCTGCGGAGAGAGAGGGAGGTGCGCACAGTGGGAATAGGATTGCAATTGTGTTAAAGGTTGTTGGTGAGTCCACGTCGATAAGAGGAATGCTTCGCTCCCGCGGCACACGCCGTCCCCGTCGCATTACCAGTGGCGTCGACCATGCGAACGAGGACGAGCGAATGTGTTGGATTTGTCTGACCACCGAGGAGGAAATGCCGCGCACCGACTGGCTGCATCCCTGTCGATGTCGCGGCACAAACAAGTGGGTGCACGAAACGTGCCTGAGTCGTTGGATCGATGAGAAGCAGCTGATTAGCCCGGACATGCCAGTTACCTGCACCCAGTGTCGGACAGAGTACATCGTCGTGATGCCGCCGCTATGTCGCTTCGACTCCCTACTCGAGGTCGTGGACAAGACATACGAGCGCATGTGCCCCAGCGCCGTAATGGGGATGCTGGCGGCCACCATCTACTTCTCGGCGGTCACCTACGGTGCACTAACCATGCTCGAATTAGTTGGGTACGAGACCGGGATGCAGATTCTGCAGGAGGACCCCACATTGTTGATGATAGTGTTACCGGCATTGCCTACGATACTCCTATTGGGTCGCATTGTGAGCTGGGACGACAGCATACTGAGTTGGGTGCGACGACACAATCGACATCCGGTGCCGCCAGAGCAGCGCGATGAGCAGGGCGAGCCCCTGCCGGGTGCACCTCTGGACGACAACTACTTTGAGGAGCAGGAGCGAGAGAATCCATCCGTAGATGTCCTGCAGGTGGGCCCTCTAGGTACCGAGAACATCATGCGCGCCTCCTGCAGCTTCTGTACAGCACTAAGTCTGCCCTCGTTTGCCGTCGTCATCGGCAAGACTTTGTACGCACGCGTCGAAAGCCGCATGCTAGCCATATTGCTCGGCGGACTCACCTTCGTGGGCCTAAAGGGACTAGCCAGTGTCTATCTCCGGCGGTGCCAGTATCAGCGCAAGCGCAAGCGATACGTTCTGGATTACACACCCCAGAATATCTGGCGGAATGCGCGGCGATCGCGAACAAGGTCCGGGCCGGCGAGGCGCTGAATCCCAAGCAGAGCTCGAGCTCAATAGTGTATCTCTGTGTGTGAAAAATATGCGTTGTAGCCCAATTGACGGAACATGTGGGTCTGTTGGGTAAAATCGAATTGTCTTTTTACTGAAGCTCGGCTAAAAAAGAAAATATTACAAAACTTGGCAGGCTATTTCTTTTGGGGAAAGCTGATTTCTACAAAGAGCCTCAATCTAAGAGACTGACATCCCCGACCCTTACTTCAAATTTGAAGAGTGTTTCTGTGTGCGTGATACTCCAGGCTGATGGCATTTGAGCAGATTTGTAAAAAACATTGGAGAACAGCTTGATGTTTTGATTTTCTGAAATAATGTAGGCACCAGGATTGAATCGACCTTGCCTTTATCACAGTCCGTACCAGGCACTAGTAGGCCTCCTTCGAACCTGAAATTACCATGCGAAAAGCGAAGGGAAATCCTAAACATCCAAGGGATGACGGTTTCTATTCCTGATTCACAATCATAAGAGCTCTCTTCCCTCCATAATGACTTCTGTAGCACCTGTGTGACAAAGCGGGGTCAGAATTGGTGACCCCTGTGGTACAACCTGATATCGCTTTAAGCAAATTGAGTTGCCAGAGATTACACTTTCTGTTTTAGGAGCATACAGCCAATGGGGCTAAGGGGTATTCCCCAGACGCCACAAGCAACGCTTTCTGGGTAGCCTGCGCTCTAGGCTCTATTTAGCCGAATCTAACCTAAAGCAAACTGTTCCCTTTAAAGAAATGTAGTTACCTGGACAGCTATCTGCGAGATATCCATTTCTTTTTTAACAGCATATGGACAAGTGGGATGACAGACTTCATAAAAATATATAAAACTATAAAACTGGACTGCCACAGCAACATAGTATTAATTTAGGGATAATAGCAGCAGCTTAATATGAAGCCAAAGATGAAAAGTAATGCAGAGTAACTTAAATTTTATTACAAATACTTCCCAAATAAACTGGCCGCTGCTCAGCATACCTGTCGGGATAGAAGGCGTCGCTTCGCACGTGCTGCTAACGAGCCCAGATAGTCGAAGAGAATGCCGAAAAGGTTCCGTTCTCGCTGGTACTTGCGTTTGCGTGGCCCGCCGCCACTTGCCACTGATTGCAACGACTCTGTGGGCATGGCCGCTCCCGCCGGCAGTGGGGCAGGAACGCCAGAGTAGATGAGCAAGTAGCGCGGACACAAGCCGTCCGTGTTGGATACAATGAACTCCATTTGGTCGCCGCCAACTTGCATCACATTTGAGGGCATTAGGAGCTCACAGATGACCAGACAGCGCAGTGCGCAACCATACCGCGAATGCTGCCAGTTTTGAACGACGACGCTGTGGGCCAAGGCCAGCTCCGGATTAGCGTACAACATCAGCGTGGCGGAGACGTCTTCCTGCATCAGTTTCCCCATGGCCAGGAAGCGGTATAGCGCACATAGATTGCAGCCCATGTAGGCGAACTGCCGCCCGTTGTCGTTGCCATTGCCATTTACACTTCGCTGGGCATCCTCGTGTGCACGCTCCTGGCCCACACTCAGAAAGGAGCTGGGCTTCTTAACCGGATGTTGTAGTCGCAGTGTTTCGCATAGTCGTCGCAACCTGGCGACGGGTAGCCGACACAGGAAGGGATGTGCCTGCCAAACGAGCACCCAGTACAGAAGATAAATGTCACTAACGTTCGTCTCCAGGTAGCCAGTGCGCAGGTGGTGCAGCATGAGTCGACAACTGGGCCATCTAGACACCAAATGACGCAAGCGGTCGATGTCGTAGCCTGTCTCGCCCATGAAGAGCGGTGGTATGGGGACCAGTAGACTGCGATAGTTGTCGCTAAAGGCCGCGGCCGAGAAGATCAACAGTTTCGCATCGCAGCTCCACATCTGGGCATTAAGCAAAAGGCGCAGATCCGCAATGCGATGCAAAACCATTGTCGGCGTCTCGTCATCCACAGGGTTGAACTTATTGGATGCCCCCTCTTCGTTGCACTCACGCAGTGTCGTCTCCGAGCTGCACTGCATGACCCTATGTAGGTCATCCATGATCGTTAGCGTCGAATTGTCGGCGAAGTGTAACGGCGGAATAGTACCCGGTTATTGGAGCTGTACCCAACTCCAGTTGCAGTTCCAGTTCCGTCTCATACGTCTCGGACACTCGGTCGCCGTGGTTTCCCGTCGTCCCGCCATCACCTTCTCCCCCAGTAGGCAATTGGTTGATCAGATGGTGCATTGCATTGCTCCCATTTTCATTTGCATTGGCATTCGACTTCTGATCCATCTGCAGAGACAATTAAAGAGCGACCTAAAAGTGTGCGTTTCTGAAAAAAGATTTCGAAATTTGGATGCGTTAGGCTTTATTATTGAAATGTTCAAGGGTAACTGGGGTTCCAAGTCTTTTCTGATTCTTTTGACTCTGTTCTGCTCCAATAATATTTTTCAATGTGAATATATATCCAATATTATGTTGATTTTGTTGATTATTATGATTGAAGATCACTAAATGTTAGTTATAAAGCGCATTAATGTCATCATTTGCTTATCGCCGATTTAAGTTGAATCAGATTTCACGAGAAACTGAAAGCAGGAATAACAAAAAATAGCGTCATACCCCAGAGCTACATTCTGAAAACACCGCTAATGACGCACAGGAACCGTTTGGCAACAAAAAAATGTAAACAGATTTGCGGAAGCGTTCAATCTTCGATTAGGAATTGCATCTATTTAGCTTTTAAAGTTTTTAGAATTATATTATTATTATTAAATTATACAATTCCATCATAATTGCCTAAAATGCAAGCCCATAGCTTGTCATTAAACCCCAATTAGTCACTTATCATTCATTGGAACGTGCAGCAATAGATAATGCTAATTATAAATTCAAAACAGAACTTTCTTCACATCTCCATTATGTTAAGCAAGGCGAAGGGCTTTCTTAGCCTTAATTTAATGCTAGTCAGAAGAATTAAGTTATATCGACATCACTTAACTTCTGTATACCTCTCTTCTGTACAAACTCCTCAGAAGAATTAAGTTATACCGACATCATTTAACTTCTGTATACCCCTCTTCTGTACAAACTCCTCTGCCATCTTAGGTCTTCTTAACATTTCTATACCTTGTAGCACAACAACCCCAAATATTTAATAAGAATAATACACCTGAACAACAAAATAATGATAATGATTCGCACTCCGAATACTTGGATGTCTTCATAGGCAATGTTTTCCAAGAAATTGTGTACATTGAAAATCCTATCTACTGATTAGTACTGCCTTAAACTGAGAAAGTGAAAAGTATTAAAGAGGCTTATATATTTGGAGCACAGACTAATCAATTATTTAATCAAAAAAGAATTGAATTATTCTAAAGATAGCCTCACAACCTAGATGGTTTTAATAAAATCTTTAAAAATAAAACTAAGCCTAAAACTCTGCAGACTCGACCAAATAAAAGGCAAGGCTATAACCTTCCAAGCAAACACTATATCAATCCGACTATTCAAAAAGCTTTCAACTTAGCCATATGAGTAGCTCCAGAAGTAATATACAGCATATTCTCACGTACTGCTTATTTCTTTTTACCCACAAATAAAATTCCCCAGCTGAGATCCCACCGCCCTTATCTCAAGTCCTGCTTTTATTAAATTATTATGAAATTCAATTATTATTAAATTAAATTATTACAATTTATGATATCAATTTATGATATATAGCTGAACACCCCAAACTAAATATTGTCAACATTGTCTATTAAGTTCTATGTTTCGGTATTATCAGAGAACTATTTTTTTTCTGAGCATCAGAGCAATAAGGTCGGTATGAATGGGTTGAAAATTCAAAATATAAACGCTGGAGTGACTAAAGAAGTTGTTGTTGTTCTTAATAAGATAAGAGATTGAGCACAAAGCGTGAATATATACACATACTCGTACTATATGTATGTGATTAGATGCATACGGGCTCAGTTATTTTTATAATTTATATTTTTAAACTAATGGTTATATAACTGATTATCACTTTTAAAAAATGTAAATAGATCAAAGTCCAATTGCAGCCAATAAATCGGTATTTTAATCAGAAACGTTTACAACTGATTAGCTGGAAATGGAAAACGTAAATAACTTTGTAGGTAAGAGGATAGCTTTTGGGAATTTTTCTTTACTTCAAATCTTCTACTTAGTAAGCAATATTGAAAACCACCCTCTTGAGGGGAATGAGTATCGAATATAATATCAACAAAATGTTGTATTTATATTTGTTTACTACTTGCATAAGAATGCGATTTAAAACCAACTGAAATACGTATTGGCCTTGGCAAGACTGTTCGAGAACAACAAGTAAAGCGATCCAGACATGCTTTATGACGCATCAGCGATCGACTCCGCAAACCCAGTCCGTAATTGTAAACCAAAACAATAACAATTGGGCGTACATTTCTACAAAATATAAAAAAATGGGGGGCTCGCTATCGGCAAGATAATAATGTGTGAGCTTAGTGGAAGCAAAACAAAGTCAATACCGGCAATTGAGACGAAAGTAGTCTACGTACATATGTATGTGTGTACATAAATACAAATGTATGTGTACGGTTGATGGTCGTCTGACGGGATGACCAGGGGTCAGCAGCAAAATGACGTCAATGTGACGACGAAAAATCCACAGATTAAGCGCTGGCGTCTCCTCTGATCAACGTCTATACAAATATGTACATATACATACATATGTATGCATGTATGTACATGCATGTGTAGACACTCTATGTACAGATGTACATACATACGTATGTAAGTACTGGCGACGGTGCAAAGTACAATATCTTAAGCCCCCCACATTGATTGATGAGCGGCATGTCTTATTGGGTCTTATGGGTTTTTAATTTTATTCATATTCTTACAAAAATGTTAAGCTACACGCTACAAATACTAAATTCATACAAACATACATACACACGAATAACGGTCTGTTTCGTCAGCCTTATCAGAACTGCCAACCAATTGGACTTAAAGCTTTTTGGGTAACGTCCGCTGGTGTATGTGTGTGTGTGTGTGTGTGTGTGTCTAATAAACTAAAACTAAAACTACTAAGTACAAAATACATAGTTGTACATACTATGCATTATAATAGCACTTTAAGTAACATAAGTATGCGAATTAATTGACTGAAAGCAAAGCCTGAATGCAAAGGCAGTCATTATTTCGTTTGTTTGTTCGTTCTGGTGTGTTCATGGGTTTGTGTCCTAAAGCTTTGCTCCGAGATTAATTTGCCAACCAAGTTTTAAACTTAATTATAGCAATGCGAGTTTTGAGATGGCATTCCATAGCAGGCGCATGTGGCAGGTTTTGTTGTGTTTGTGTGTGTGTTTGAGGCAGGCTTCCAAATATGTGTAGCCCTGTTGGATCTTTTTTTGGCATTCTGCTGGTTTGGCTGGAAAGATACCACCAGAAATACACTTGATAGACGTTCAGTCTTTTGACAATTGCAATTGCAGCTCACCTGCGACTTGCAGGGGTATCTAAAACTTCTTATTATTCTTGAGATACGCCTTTCGGCGCACCTTTTCCTGTAGGCAAGTATTTGCATCGTCTCCCGTTCCTCGCTGCTGACAAACACGCTCAGACTTCAGGACAAAGCAATGCGTTTGCACCATGTTGAAGAAGAGCTTGCCAATTGTGTTGGCGTCCTCATCACCAGCCATTTTGAGGCAGGTGCGGAAGCGCCGATCACAGCTGCAGTGCGACAGCGTGTAAGGCCGATAATTGAACAGCTCGTAGCGGTTTGACATGGCCGGTATGTAGAGCTGGCAATGGTCGTGTTTGCGGCAGCACTTGTCGGCCAGCGACGCGCCACCCAAATCATTATATGTGCCATTGGCCAAGTTGCCGCGGCCACACCAGCGTGTATTGGGCGCTATAAACCAGTCGGAGACTTGACGGCGTACGCGTTCGGGTGCAACGACGTCATCGTTATTGCCACCACTCGCCTTATCGCGCGATCCGTGACGTAGCTCGGCGCTGCTGTATCTTGTTGCTGTTGCAATGGCGGGCAATTGCCTGGCTGTGCAGAGTTGCAGGATTGGCCCCGCAACTAGAACACACATTACGTATACGTACTGTTTGGCAACCATGTTGCTTAATTTCATTCACGAGTTTTATTTTAAGGTTTCACGGCGAGCACGTTTGCTCAACAATTGGTTTCCGTACGATATAGCTCCCGCGTTTTATACGACCGCTCGCTGCAATCCAACTAACGAAGGCGAATCCATATCGCACTTGCAGGTGATGTGCAATCATATTTGAAACACTGATGGCCAGTGCTGTAAGTTGCGCGTACAAAAGCTTAGGTGTCAGTGCTGAGCAACGGCACAGTCGCCATAAAACAGCTGTCGCGACAGTCATCACATGAAAAAGAAGAAGCAGAAAAACGCACCCAAGAGAGCGAAGCAAGTGCAATTTTTTTACATATAGTATTTATTTACATTAGAAAAACACAATTTTAATGGTCGTGCCTACACATAATACCCGCAAATTATGCAGCGACCGCAGCAACAACAACAGCAGGAATTAAAACAGCCGCTCAAGAATCGCATTCCCAGTGTCAGCAGTTCCACTAGCACTGCAGTCAACACAAATCCTAACCATTTGGCCACCACGTCCACCTCCGCATCAAATGCTGCAGCCGTAACGCCTCCAAACACACTGACACCCAATCGCAACTATGCCGCCTCGGATACATCGGGCGAACACGATGTAGACTATACGGACGCACGCTACGAATGCGCGATTTGCATTCACTGGCTGAACGAGCCTGTGCTCACCTCGTGCGGCCATCGCTTTTGCAAGTCGTGTCTCAGCGATTGGCTGCACAATGAAAATCAGTGTTGTCCTTTAGACAATAAGCCGCTTTCTGCCGAGCACGACATCTTTCCGGACAACTATACCCGTCGCGAGATTGAACAAATAAAACACAAGTGTCCGAACTCGCCACTCGGCTGCTCCGTTGTGGCATCGCCCATTGAGGTAGACCGTCATCTGCCCAGCTGCCCTTATCGCCGCCAGCAGGCGCAACGCGAAGAGAAATGCCCCTTTGCGAGCATTAAGTGCGATTTCGTGGGTCGGCCAGAGACAAATGCGCTCGAGGAGCACCTGAAGACGGATATGCCGCATCACATGCAGCTCATGCTACAGGCTTTTCAGCAGAAGGCCATAGCCAGCTGGCAGCCGCAGAAGCCAAACAAGGGCACAGGAGCCGTGGAGAATGGTTTTGGGAGCCATCAGGTGCAACCACCCGCGCAGTACGCAAACGAAGCGGACGAACAGATCGTGCAGGCCATGTACCAGCGCATTGTGGTGCTGGAGCAGCACACACGTGAGCAAGACACTCGACTGGAGAATCTCGGCAAGCAGTTGCGTCTCGCCCGTCAGGTGGATCCGCGCTACAGCAATGGCACCATTGTCTGGCAGATCGAACAGTTCAGTGCCCTCGTCGAGCGTCTGCGCTCCAATGCTAACAACCAAGTGTATTCGCACGAGTGCTACACGTCACCCTATGGTTACAAGTTCTGTGCCCGACTCAATGTTCAGCCTCGTAAACCGCAAATGCTCAGTCTACATGTACACCTCATGCAATCCGAGAATGATTTTCATCTGGAGTGGCCTTTCAAGGGGCGCATAAAGCTGTGTATGGTGCATCCAAATGATGGGGGACAATCACAACTGGATACCATCATGACCAAGCCCGAAATACTGGCCTTCCATCAGCCGCGCGAGCGCATCAGTACACGGGGCTTTGGTTTTCTTGAATACGCCAACATATCGGACATTGTGGGTTTGGGATTTTGCGCCAACGATCGACTGGTTATCAAAATCGAGATCAATATTGTCTGAGCTTTCAGTTAACAAGACAGAAAGAAGTAAAGCAACTCGGGAGCCAATACACATATACCTACATACTTATACATACATATATTTTATACGACTTACATACCTACATACAGTCGTTTGTATGTGTGGACACAGGACAGGACCCGTAGACAACGTACCCAAGCAATTTTTGTACTGTAATTTAGCCAAATGCCAATGGCCAATGGCTATAGGCTGTGTGCCTAGTAAAAATAGTCTCTTGATATATGAGTAGATGTGTATAGATGCGTATCTACAGTAGTAGCTCATTAGATTTGTTAACTCAACGATCCAATCACACGTGCCAGATTATTTCCAGAAGCATATATACATCAATTGATAACTCAAGACATCAAATCGGTGATAAAGTTGAACGAGCAGTTAATTAATAATTATAAACGAATCCGTCAGAATCGGAAGGCTATTACTGAATGGCTTGCATTATACAGACGGTGACTCTCACATCCAATACCAACTTATAGGGGGTAGGGGATACTACCAATCTTATGCTTATACAAAAGTATAATATCTTTTTGAAAAATACAGATCTTAAATATTTTAAGAATTTAATATTACATTCAAATAACTATCCTATTTGAATTGGTATGTGCATACGATATCAAAACACATTAATTGAACAAGACTATAGTTTGACTATAGTTTCTTTCGTGAGTGAAATATTTTTACGATATGCAGACGTATTTCAATATTCATATGTATTTAACATCGGTTAAATACAAAAAGAACAATCAATTTTCTGGACAGACAATCTAGCAAGTGTGTAGAGATCTGATTACTCAAAAAAAATTCAAAGATCTTCGCGTTGCAAAGATATTAACTGACGGCCTACAAAAATCATACGTACATAGCCTAATTCAGACCTAAATATGTATTCGCAGTAGCGCTCTATCGATTAAGTTGGTCCCATACAAACAAAATGCTCCATATATTGTAATTTATTCTCTTTCTCTTTTGTTGATGCAAATATTTTATCTATTTTTCTTGCCAAATTCCAAATGATATTCAAGGCCGGCAGCAATTAAAAAGGACTTCAAATTCCATAATCCTAGTATATCAAACAGCTACGTATCTTTAATAGACCTAGTACTTAATATTTTATAACTATCTGTCAAGTCTCTACTTTGATTTCTCAATTGTAAACAAAAACGTCCATTATGTTTAGTTCTTACAAGTAGTCGCACGACTCAAGTCGGGTGTTTTAGACGACCATATACATACATACATAGTAGAAGTAGCTATATACATATACATATATAGGTACATATATAGTACTTAAACATTTATATAAACATATTATACATACATACATATATAACAAGCAATATTACTAGGGAACGTTGTGGCAAATAAAGGACGGCAAAATAGCGCCAACCCAGCGACGATTTTTGCATGTGTACTCAAAAGATGGCATTTTCAATTCGCGTTGTTTCAGGCTCTAACTCTACATAGTGGCTCCCAATTTTTTAAGCCATAAAAGCGATTTCTTCGATTCTTACAGAAGAAGTTAGATTAAGCCTTGTGTACATGGTATGGAATGGTACAGGCGTTGAAGAATTTCGATAAACAGGCTATGTCCGAAAGACAAGCTTTATGGCATAAAATGTTCAAGAGTGGTCGAGAAAGCGTTCAAGAAGAGCAAGAACATCAACTTATGATCATCACGTTAAGCAAATCAAAGAATACCACTGGTTTAGAAGTTAGAGCACTTTAAAATAGCAGTAATTCGTTAAAAAAAACTTCGGGAGTAGAAAAGCATTTGTTCCGAACTCAAAACATGTCGTAAAACATTTTTACATATTACAATTCTAGATTGGAGTTTCATTTACAAAATTTTTGTTTATTCTCATAAAATAATTGTTTCTTTAAATGATGATTTACGTATTTACATATGTATGTTTGTGTATAATTTGATGTTTTACTTGATTCCGTTAAATAAAATTAATCTGAATCACATTTTTTCCATTTCACAATTTTCGCAAATTCCGTTTTCAAATATTTTTTGGCAAACTTCTTTTAATAGTTATAACATAGTTATGATTCTGAAAAATAAAATAGATGTATGCAATATTTTCGGAAGCATTAAATTAGGAACAGGTTAAAACTTTAAACGGGCCCGTAGGGGCTGTCATCTTTTGTCTCGAATGTAAAGATTCCTTTGACTTGCGGCACATCAAGCGGATCGCCCAACCTGACCAAACCGTTGAGTGCTTTGCACTTGCCGAGGGACAGTATAAGATCAAAATAATCGGCACATGTATAGTATGGTTCGAACGTGGACACGCCCTGAACCGCCTCGGCATACAAATCGACGCAACGGCCGTGAGAACAACTACCCGTGGGGTCCACGCCACAACCGGGCTGGTTTGCGCCTCCATTGGCATAGAAATCAGCATGACCCACCGGCCCAATCTGACCTTTGAACATCGCATTTGTGTGCAGGCTAACCACAAAGTCAGCATCGGTGTCGGCTACCCGACTCTCTTTGTTCGCATAGGTGAAGAGTGGGAGGGCAGCGTCCAGAGCAACGATGGCGCCTAAGCGCTGTTTGTTATCGCTCAGAAGTTGCAGCTCCTTTCCACAATGGCCGGCTATGTGGGCGCCCATGCTATGTCCAATAACCACTAGGCGCTTGGGATCGAGACCAGCGCTTTTGATCAGGAAGCGCACAAAGCGGGCACAGCTGGCGCCCAAACCGAACACATATGGCCTAGCCATGACGTAGTTCATATCCGCGATCTCTGACCAGTCCATCGATATTATATTGTGGGGCCCACGAGACTGATAGGCGGCACGGAGCTGTGGGTTTGGTATTTCATTGTAGGATGTCGTCCAGCCATGTATAATAATTCTAAAAATAAAAGATATAAATCTGAACGAGGGACAATCCGAGAATATGGGTGAACTGCAACTCACTTGGTTGGCAGGGCGACATTGAAGAGAGACGTTTGTAGGGATTTCAAGTCATTGGTGTAAATGCGTTTCGGAACGCTAGGACTTGCATTCGTATACAAATAATAGGCGGCATCATCTGGGTCAGTGCTGGCCAAAGCCAAGGAGCAACAGCCGTACAGTAAAAGGCCGGAAATAAGGGCGCAACGAAGGCCAAGGCTTAACATTTTGGACTGTGCCTGCAATATGTATTGAGTCAGCTCTTATTTTCTCTTGCGATTGAATTAGAATGCGCCACGTAGCACGCCTAATTTGGCAATTAGGGCGCAACAACACACGATTCTACCACTATCTTACGTGGCCGCGTTCGAGAGCATGACCAATGCGTAAAATAGCTCATTCATGTGCCCTGACACTTATTTATGACAAGTTCAAATCATCATCATTGGCATGTAATAATCACGATAATAAACCAAACAGTAGAAGCCACTCGACCTTATATCTAAAGCTTAATGTAGTCCATTAATACGAGTAGTGGGTGGTGTTTTTACATGTTACACATGCCAGCTAGCCGGCTCCACATCCATGCTGATGGTCACTAGTTCGTCCTTCGACTGCAGTTCATCATCTGTCTCGACCGTTAAAGTCAATGGATGATCCAGCAGCTCATCGGCTACCTTCTGTCCAGATGCTTCGCCCGAGGCTGCGGATGCTGGGGATCCTGTTGCCGTTGTAGTCGTCGACGCCGTCTTCATTTTGACCCTAGGTGACTCGTGTGTACGCATATGGGCGTTCAGACCGCCGGACTGGGCGAATGTTTTACTACACAGTTTACAAGCGTATTTGCGCTGCTCCGAATGTAACAGCTTGTGAACACGCAGAGCTTTCTTGCGCTGGAATGTTGAGCCACAAATGTCGCAGACGAAGGGGCGCAGATTAGTGTGAGATACGGCGTGCACGTTGAGGTCGTGAAAGCTGTAGAAGGCCTTGCCGCACACATCACACTTGGCCGGCCGTTCTCCGGTGTGACGACGCATGTGAGCGGTGAGGACACCCCGGTCTCGACACGGCCGTCCACACACCTCGCAGATGCATGGCATGCGACCCGTGTGGCAAATGTTATGCGAGGTGAGCTCTTTCTGCGTATAGAACGTGGCATCGCATTCTTGACACTTGTACGGCTTAATGCCACTGTGGCGCTGACGGTGTCGCGTCATGTTGCCGGATTGGCTAAAGGGCTTGCCGCAGATGTCGCAAAAGATACCCGTGTGCTTCCAGCGATGGCCGCGCAGATCACGCTCTGTGCGAAACGTTTGGTCGCATTCGTTACACTTATGAACCTTAGCCGGACCCTTTGGCTTGCGTCTCGCTCGACTTGGGGTTGTGCATTTATCATCTAACGCAACGTTTGGATTCTGTTTGTTTGAGTGTTTGCTGCGTTTGTGGCTCTGCAGACTACGCTTGCTGCTGTATGCACGATCGCATTCATCGCAGGGGAAAAGCATATCCTTAACCATATCCGCCTCGTCGGCACTGGACTCATCGCCGTCTTTAAAGTGGTGCATCAGGGCGTGCGTACTTCCTTCGCTGTCCTCCCAATCCACGTCCGTTGCTAACTCTGCCTGCTCTACCTCAAAGGCTTCGTCAGGTTGGTCTTCTTCCGACTGTTGCCTAACCAGCGTGTTTTTTAAAGCGGCGGCACGTCGTCGGCGTGTCATAGTTTTACCAACTTCGAGCTGCCCATCCAGCTGCGCTATGCGCGCCAGGTCAGCTATTTCATTGGCTTCATACGTCTCGTGTGCAATGGGATCGTCCTCAACCTTTATCGTCTGCTGCTCGTCTGTATTTATGGGCTCGTTCACGGCCTGTGGCTCGATCAGCTTACAGTCCTCCTCAGACTGCGACAGATGTTCCAGCCGGAAGTGTTGGGGAAAGCTTTCATAGGTAATCTTCTGTCCACATAGTGCACAGCAAACATTGTAGGTGGCTGGACCAATACAGACAACCTCACCGCAACGAAAGTTGTAATAGGCGCCGTGGTTCTCCGACGGTGGTTCCAGTTTGATCATTCTATCAAGAGCTTTTTGAAATTATCACAATGGCAGCTCCAGGACAGTTTGCTCAACCATTCGCACTGGTGTCGGCGTCGCCCAACTTCATTCCAAAATCAAGCCGCCTTCTAGTGTACATTGTACAGCTGATTGGCCTTGGCCAGTGTTGATGAGCATGCGCATGACGTCAACCCTATTGTGTTAGCACACACTGGTTGCTTATGTGTATAGACACTTTTTCTACCGTTTTATTGATTTTCTTTTGCATTGCTGAAAATTACGCCAGGGATTTTGAAGAGCTGCACAACCACCGCAAATTTGCACATAGAGAAAATTCCATTAAAAAAATGTCGGAAAGTGCGTTATCAGCCAGCAATGCAAATGCCAATGAGAAAATGGCCAGTCTGCTAAAAGAGGCGGAAAATTTGAAAACAAAACTCGAAGAGGAACGGCAAAAGCTGAACGATGTTAACTTGTCAAACATTGCGGAGCGGCTAGAGCAGATCGCCTACGTAAACATCAAGCCTCGCAAAGTTTTGAAAGGTCACCAGGCCAAGGTGCTTTGCACAGATTGGAGTCCCGACAAACGCCACATAATCTCTTCATCACAGGATGGACGGCTGATTATCTGGGATGCGTTTACCACTAACAAGGAACATGCTGTTACCATGCCCACTACTTGGATCATGGCCTGCGCCTATGCTCCCTCCGGAAACTTTGTAGCTTGCGGCGGCTTGGACAATAAAGTTACAGTTTACCCGATAACCTCGGATGAGGAGATGGCCGCCAAGAAGCGCACAGTTGGCACACACACTAGCTACATGTCGTGCTGCATCTATCCGAACTCAGATCAGCAAATCCTTACCGGCAGTGGCGACTCCACCTGTGCGCTATGGGATGTGGAATCTGGCCAGCTGCTGCAAAGCTTCCACGGCCATTCGGGCGATGTCATGGCCATCGACTTGGCCCCCAACGAGACAGGCAACACTTTTGTGTCGGGCAGCTGCGATCGCATGGCTTTCATCTGGGATATGCGCTCTGGACACGTAGTGCAGTCCTTCGAGGGTCACCAATCGGATGTCAACAGCGTGAAGTTTCATCCATGCGGCGATGCTATCGCTACTGGCTCCGACGACAGCAGCTGCCGCCTTTACGATATGCGCGCCGATCGTGAAGTTGCCGTCTTCTCCAAAGAAAGCATCATCTTTGGCGTGAACTCTGTGGATTTCTCGGTTAGCGGCCGTTTGCTTTTTGCTGGCTACAACGACTACACCGTTAATCTATGGGATACGCTTAAGTCGGAGCGCGTTTGCCTACTATATGGGCATGAAAATAAGGTCTCTTGTGTACAGGTCTCGCCAGATGGCACTGCGCTCTCCACCGGCAGCTGGGATTACACCATTCGCGTGTGGGCCTAAGCTGATAAGAGCTATGTTATCCCATAGGGTATTCCCAATCAGGTATTCGCTTTATTGCTTGTGTTTTATTTTTATTAGATAAAAAAAACTTAAGCTAATAGGCTACTGAATGTGAATACCCTAATGGCTCAGTTTTTTGTTTTTTTTTCCTGTTACGGAACATTGTAAGTACTCGTACACTAACTCACTGTTTTATGTTGTTAATTTATGGTGTAGCTATATTAGCGTACAATTATGTATGGAATTACACATATGTATACATATATATATATATATCTATTAATATACATTATAAACAATTCATGTATCTAAATGAATGTATGTATATCGAAACATGTTACGCGTCTAATTCTAAGTTCCTGTTCAAGAATAAATGTTGAAAACAACGCCGTTTATTTATTTAGGCGAGTTACACAATTTTATTTAAAGTCTGTAAAAAGCAAACCAATATGTATTTTTCTTCTTTTCAATTTCACAGTCCTTGCTTCAAAACTATGTTTCCGAAAAACAACGAATTACTAAGCTTACAGCTATTTCAAAAAAAAAATTACAAATAGCATTGAGGTTAATTTTAAATGATATTCCAGTTGCATTTCTAGTTTGTGTGACGAAAATTGTTTATTGACCAAAACTATCTGAAAAACAAAAACATGTATTTTGGCACCCACATGACACTGCGGTAAACAATAGACTACACATTTTTGTTCATTTTGGAAAAGAGACGGAAGCAAACGTGTGAAAGAGATAAAACATAAATCAACAGCTAGCTTTGTCAGCGGCAACAGATGTGTTGCAGCGTAAACAAAGCGTTTTTTGCTGGAAATTTAATGCTATACTCTTCTAAAATTGTAATTTGGCTTTTGTAATCTGTATTTGTCTACTTTACACTTAAAACCTACTTATTCAATAATGCTTAGTGGATATTTAAATTGAATAGATCGATTTTATTGTTGCTCCTTGGTAATGCCTGTCTTTTAAACGAAGCAAAAGTCCTTGGATTGGTGTGAGTGTTGTTCAAATGTTGGGCCCTAGAGAAGATCTCTAATTATTGGTGGACCCCTCTTAGATAATTTCAAGTGTTTACGAACATTTTTCGCTGAAATTATCGTTGATACATATATGTATGTTTGTATGTATTCTGGTATTGAATGGTATACTTAATAGCTAAATAGCAGCTCCATGCCGCTGATCTCGCCGCCATCGGCGACACCGTTACTGGCCTGCATTTTGTGGCCGCGCATGTGCGCCGACAGTCCAGCTGCCTGGGCATACGCATTACCACAGATTTTGCACTTAAACTTCTTAATGCCCAGGTGCAGGTGCTTGTGATGGTACAAGGCTTTGGGTCGCGAGAAGGCGGCCTCGCATTTGTCACATTTGTACGGCCGTTCCGTCGAGTGCATGGCCTGATGCTCGTTAAGCAACGACTTGGAGGCAAAGCACCGTTCGCAGGTTTCACACTTGAACGGTTTTTCGCCAGTATGGGTACGGCGGTGAACGATAAGCGCCTCACGATATCGGGACCGGTACCCACACAGTTCACACACGTAGTTGCGTTCGGTGCTGTGCACCCGGCGGTGCGAGGAGAGATTGTGTTGGTTGACAAAGGATTTACCGCAATTCTCGAAATCGCATTTGTACTGCCGCAGGCCCGAGTGCCCCTGCACATGGCGAAGCAGCGTACGTGAGCTTTTATACACCTTTGAGCACAGTTTGCAGGTGAATTCCGTATGAGCTTTGCGACGATGGGACTCCAGTGCTCGATCTACATCAAAAGTGGCCTCGCATTCGTCGCACTTAAAGGCGTTAGGATGCGGGTGACTCATTTTGATGTGTATGTTCAGGTATTTTACTGTTGTGTAGTTACGCGTGCAGTACTCGCATTTATACTCCTTGGGCAGACGATGTTTCTGCAAAAAAAATGGTGTTTCGAATATGTGTAGAACGAATCAGCCAGTGGGCTTTAAGGCATGAGTTTACCTTGAATACAGTTTGCTTTTCAACTTCACCGGTATCCGCGGCGTCCAGCACATCCGTTTCTTCCGCTGTGTTCTCCTCACATTCGCTATCGGAACTGGTCGTTATATCATTGCATTCCTGCCAAGGCGTATTGGACTCGTCCGTTTTTTGCTCTAGTTCGGTGACTGCCATGATGCGCAGTGGCTTGTCAGCTTCCTGCGTCTCGTCGTCAACGTGTTCCGTTTCTGGCAAAAAATCGGGCCCATTGTCATCATCATTATTATTGGCGATGATCAAAGGATGGCAAGATTGATCTTGGCTTCCAATTGCATTTGGAATGTTTGGTTGCAGCGTTGTCTTTGCCGTCACTGTGTGCGTCAATGGCTTGCCCTGGCTATCAAAATGTCCATTGCGAATGTGAAGCACGAAATCCTCGAAAGAAAATGCTTTCAGTCCGCACAGGCAGCATACAAGTTGAAAGCCATTGCATTCGTTTTCATAGAATATTTCACCACATTTTGGCTGTATATGCTGCTTGTAATCCACATTTAGCAAGCAATGCTTAAGCATTTTGATCCTTGGGGTCTTAATGGGACAAGTTCAGCAAACGTCCATCAAAACATAAATAAACAAGGCATCGAATATGCAGATGCAGTCTTCTTCATTATATTTGCCATTCAAAAAAACGCCGAATTACCAGTGCTGGACAACATCATAAACTTATGGCAGTTTGTTAATTTAAATGTTTGTGCGTAGAAATTTCCGCACATATTGCACCATTAAAAAATAATAATATCCATACATCCATTATTGGTTAGTGGTCATTTCAGATCATTATGCTAATTCCAATTTGCATTTCTCTGTGTTTTTAATTCATGCATTTACCGGTTGCTGCATTAATCCATGTCAAAACTATTTTAAATTCAGTTGCCACCCCAATAAAGATGTGAAGATATGCCGAAAAGTTGAATATCTGAGCAAATTAACAAATGCCATAAATTCGTCGATTCCCAAAGTAGAACGTGCAGTCGCACCTAATCGGATCTTTGTGATGGTTATAAAAAAAAACATTGCTTAAATGAAAACTATTAATTATAATGGACAAAAAAATTTAATTTCCTTTGAGACATTATTAACATGGTCTTATAAAGTAAAGAATACTTTATTGTTTTTCCATCCCTATACTAGCCTAATATCTTAGATAAATCTACTCTTATTAGATGGAAGATGCAACTTTGAACTTAATTTTTGAACACTTGCTAGATCCTTCTCGTCTAGCCTAATCTACCTTAACTATTCGCTAGCCATTCAGCTCGTCATTGCGGTGCTTGCGCATATGCCCGGCTAGACCGGCTGCTTGGGCATAGGCGTTTCCGCATAGCTTGCAGACAAACTGCTTGGTCGCCGAGTGCAGGAACTTATGGTGGTAGAGACCTTTTTGGCGGGAGAAAGTTGCACCGCAAACGTTGCATATATGCGGACGCTCCGTCGAATGCATGGCCATGTGCTCGCGTAATCCGGAGTGCGAGGGAAAAGACTTACTACATACTTTACAGGCGAACGGACGTTCTCCGGTATGGCTGCGTATGTGGACGCGTAGGGTCTCCTTGTTGCGACAACTGTAGCCGCAACTCTCGCATACAAAGTTCTTTTCCTCGGAGTGAACCTTGCTGTGATTACGCATATGGCGGGTACTAAAAAAACGCTTGCCACAGCCAGGATGCGTGCATGGGACATTGCGTTCACTGCTGTGTTTTAACTGATGACGCTTGAGTTCGTGGCGGGTTCTGTATCGACGCCCACAGACCAGACATGGGGCTCCGCCATGCGCCTCCACGACATGCTCATCAAGCAATCGCTGGCGAGGCAATTTTACGTTGCATTCAGTGCAGGTGAAAGTTTCGTTCATGGATATGTCGTGATCGCGCTTCACGTGCTGCTTTAGCGTGTATTTGCCATGGTATATTTTTTCGCAGTGCTCGCATTTGTACTCCATTGACAGCTTGGGAACAGAAACCTTGGGGGGCTTGTAGTCCGCGTCATCCTCGGTGTTGCCGGCTTCAGAATCGACGGATTTATGCTGCACCATCATGTGCCGGCGAAGAGTTTTCTTGCTCTGGTAAACTTTGCCGCAATCTGGACAGGCAAGCTTTTGCTTTTTCCTGGCCGCCGGGCCTTTGCTGTCACTATCCGCATCATAGTCACCATGGGCCGCTACATCGTTCTCCGAATCCTCATTGTAACATACGTTTAAAGAGCGAGTGCTACGTCCAGATGCGGCTTGGGTGGTAGGTCCGGATGATGCTGTGGCTACCGCTCTGGCATTGTCCCATTTCATAATTGCGCTGCTTTGTATGCCAGCCATATCTCCGTCATCTTGCCTACCGTCGATTTCAGCTCCATAGTCATAATCATCGTTATCATCGCTGTCGCTTTCAGCATCTCCTGCTATTTCTCCACTTTCAATGCCATTGTCCTCCACGTCGTACCAAGCCAGAGGGTTTACTCGAGCCACTACTGACACCGGCGGCGATTGTGATCCCCTTTGCTCCTGCTTCGGTTGCACCACTTCTGTCTTTAGCAAGCCATTCTCAAAGTGTACGTTCTGTATGTGGAGCAAAAAGTCACCAAAGACAAAGCTTTTCATTTCACAGAACACGCAGTCTATCCGGTAGCTGGTCAAATCCTGGAAATACACCTCGCCGCACTTGGCGTTAGCAATGCCGGCGTACGTGTCCGGTTTAAGTGCCTTCAACATGTTCTCCTTGTACCTTAAATTGCCGACAATTGCTAACTAAACATTTGCGGTTGTTTTAAAATGCAGCACAGCGTTAAATCTTCTTTGATAAAAACAATTGGCGATTGACAACCTTTACCAGCTGTTGATGGTCCCCCGTGTTGTACAACACTTTTCTTCGAAAGAAGTATGTGGTTATATTTAAATTAGTTGCAGAGGATTTTCGATCTGGACAAATATCTACATTGCTAATGGTCCAAATGATTATTTAGTTTAAATTTGTACTTTTTGATTAAGTGGAAGATTTCAATACGGAAAGAAGCCATTGTTTGTATGTGAGGGCTAAAAATGATTTAAAACTGCTCCCAATATAGCAAAAATAAGTCCAAAATTAGCCCCTCTAGAATGCTGTATTACATTTATTTATATTTTGCTGCAAATAATTACATTTAAGAAGGTCTTTGTCATTATCCTAACCTTGTCCTGCTTAGCTCCCTAACATTCTTTTTAAAAGCAGCCAAAACAAATTGCCAATTGAATTAAAGTCTGGACTTTAGACAATTACTTCGCTGCAATCATAGGCCAGCCAGATTGAATCATGTGGGATTTATGTTGAAATAAGAGTTTCTACATAAAATCCGCTTAGCTCTCTTTTTAAGTTCCAGATATTGCTTTAACTTATGGCATTTTCCTTAAACGATTTTTGTTCCCACCCTTTTAATTGAAATACAGCCCCACTGCTTATTTTTGAAATTTTAAAGTCTCAACAAAATAAACACACTGTATTCAAATATAATTGGCAGTTTTCATTTCACATACAATATTCAAAATTTATTGTATCAAAAAAACTTGGAATAGGTATTTATTTAGTGGAACTCCTTAAAGGTAGATGAGGATTGATTATCCTGGTATGCCACTAAAAATTACATTAAAAAAAACTGGGTATTTGCTATTAGCGATTACATATAGAATAAGAAATCGCTTAATAGATTTCGGATAGAATATCCAAGATCATGATACCCTTTCTCAATTAGAAAACATAAATGTCATAATTTAAAAAATATTAATAATTTTAATTGTACTTTGAGTGCCTAGAAAATTTGAAGGAAATCAATTATTTAATTTGCATGACATGTACATTTATAGAAACAGGTACAGAGAAAAAGCTTCAGCTTGGCTCTTTTGCAAATTTGATTGATTCCACGTGAATAAATTGATGGGTTCTCAGGCGGTCGTCGTCCACAAACTTTTGTCCGCATTGCTCACATTTATACTTGGCCAGCCGGTAGTGTTTCTTAAGCTTGTGGGTGCTGAGCATGGAGGCGCTGCGATAACTGTTGCCACACAGATCACAGGTAAACGGTAGCCTGTCCGCGTCGGCCTGGTAATCTGTTGTAGCGTTTTTAGGCTTCGCGTGCAGTTTGCGCCGGTGGGTATCCATTTGATTTTGTGTGTAGAAAGATTTGCTACAGCTATCGCAGGGCCAGCGTCTTTGCTGTGTATGACGCATCTCGTGGCTGAGGAGCGCGCTACGATGTGTGAAGAGCTTCTCGCAGTGTTGGCATTGAAATGCTTCGCGCTGTTCGTGGGTTCGCAAGTGGCGCGTCAGGGTAGAGACGGCACGAAACTGTTTGCCGCACATTTCGCACTGATGTGGCCGGGCGCCTGTGTGAATATTCAGATGTGAGTCGAGGAGGTATCGTCGTCGAAAGGTGCGTCCACAATATGTGCATACATTCGGCTTGTTACGTGTCTTGTATAAACGACGTTGTTGGTGTTTTAATAGCTGTGGCGCATAGGGTTCCTCCCAGTTCACATCGGTGATGATGTCATCTGACCGCTCTACTGGCTCTGGCGACACTTCAGTGTTGTCTGCAGTGGACACTGCAGTTTCTGGTACTGGAATCATGAGTAATGGCTCTTCCAAACATGCATCCTGCGTAGGTGATGAGGGTTGGTCCTGATTCAATGCCAAGGCCTCAAATATTTCCTCGTCCAAAGGATCAATAGATCGTTTTTGAACATCACTGCCAACAAACTCCGATATCCTGCTTGTCCGTGATATTTTTACTTCTCCATTATCTTCCATATGATCGCTGCAAAAATGCAATCGGAAGGCTTCGTAGTCCAGAACGGACAATCCACAGGCACATTGTATAGAAAATCGAAGTTTGTCTGTCTGATAGCAATGTATTTCGGCACATTTTGTAGTAAAGCTTAGGATTTTAAGCATTTAAGCAAAGTAAAGCAACAATTGCAAAAGCAACAATAACAGAAAAGTTAATCAAATGTCTCACAGCTGATCAACTTTTTGGCAGGATTACCAACACTAGAAGCTTTCCCATCTTCTTCTTACCGCCTTGTGCCAACACGCGATTGCAATTCGTGTGCTGCTTTTCATCAGTAATTGCAATAACGGTACTGGTTGACGCATCCAGCATGCATCCTGATCTGACTGAACGAATTCTGCAGCATCTGGAGACTGTCGAAAAGGTGGACACTTTGGAACTGGCCGCCATCTTTGGCCTGGATCACCAGAAAGTTGTCGGCGCGTTGAAGAGCATTCAAGCGCATGGAGAACTAGTGAAGGCGGAAGCGGCGACTCACAAAACACTTGGACTCACTGATGAAGGACAAGCGGTAATTGAGCATGGCAGCCATGAGGCTCTTGTCTATGCAGCAGTCCCAGCTGAAGGCATTGCACAGGCTGCACTCATGGCCAGCGGTGGTCCAAATGCAAAGGTGGGCTTCAGCAAGGCCATGTCACAGGGCTGGATATTGGTGGACAAGAGTGTCAATCCACCACTCGTCAAACGCAAGGTGGATAAGATCGTAGACGGTGTTAAGGAGCAGTTGGTTCGGGTGGCCAGCGGCAACATTCAATTGCCGGCTAAAGAAGTAGCGGAGTACAAGAAGCGCAAGCTCTTACAGGAAACTACCACAAAGAGCTTTGTACTCAGCAAGGGCCCAGAGTTTGCCACCACGCTCACCAAACTGGAAACGGACTTAACCATGGACATGCTCACCAGCGGCCTGTGGCAGCAACTCAAATTCAAGGCCTATAACTTTGACGCCTTGGGTGCGGCTCCAACACGCGGTCATTTACACCCATTGCTCAAAGTGCGCACTGAATTCCGGCAAATCTTCTTGGAAATGGGCTTCTCCGAGATGCCCACCAACAACTATGTGGAGTCATCCTTCTGGAACTTTGACGCTCTCTTTCAACCGCAGCAGCATCCTGCGCGTGACGCCCACGATACGTTCTTCATAAGCCAACCATCGACAAGCTATAAATTTCCGCAGGAGTATTTGCAGCGTGTAAAGACGGTACACTCCAAAGGTGGATATGGTTCGCTGGGCTACGGCTATGATTGGAAGATAGAAGAGGCTCAGAAAAATCTGCTCCGCACCCATACAACTGCTGTGAGTGCTCGCATGCTTTTCAAACTTGCGAACCAAGAAGGTGGTTTCAAACCAGCCAAATACTTCAGCATTGACAAAGTGTTCCGCAACGAGACTTTGGACGCTACCCATCTAGCCGAGTTCCATCAAGTGGAGGGCGTTATTGCCGATGTGGGTCTCACTTTGGGTGACTTAATTGGAACACTCTATGAGTTTTTCCGTAAGCTGGGCATAACCCAATTGGAGTTTAAGCCAGCCTATAACCCGTATACAGAGCCAAGCATGGAAATTTTCTGCTATCACCCCGGCTTGGGAAAGTGGATTGAAGTCGGCAACTCAGGCGTATTCCGACCAGAGCTCTTATTGCCCATGGGGGTTCCCGAAAATGTCAACGTCATCGCTTGGGGCTTGTCGCTTGAGCGCCCCACCATGATTAAATATGGCATTAACAATATACGTGACTTAGTCGGACCGAGAGTCGATCTGAAGATGGTAGAAGACGGACCCATATGCCGCTTGGATCACGCATAGATCACACCAACACAATCCATTGAAGCTGAAACGTCGCTACGACATTGCATTTTTGTTCAATTTTGTTCCAATTAAATTATATAAATCGATTCAAATTGTACATATTACGCGCCTTTTATTTAAATTTGTTTTCCAACACTGCAGACGTCATTATTTGATAAAGAGGAAGAGAGAACGTCATCAAAATAAAAGCAATACGCATCACAAATATTTTATTTTAAAACACTCAGGGACTGAAATATGGCAGACACAGATTTGGAAAAAGAACAAAATCAAACTTTGCTACAAGCCATACAAAACAAATCCGATAAACAGAATGTCCCTGGGGACCCAAAATCCAACAACAGTGAAGGCTTTTCAGCATTTGTGATACCACAGCTGAACATAAACAAACTGACGTCAGCTGCAGAAATGTCCACAACGGACCAAGAAGAACGAAGACGCGCAGTGGATGCGCACAATGATATGCTGCTTAATGAAATTAGGCGCCGCCAAGAGACCGACAGACTGGGGACTGCTCAGATGGACCTCTTTAAGCCCACAATGTTTGCATTATCGCAAAGTGACGGTCAATCTCCACAAACGAATACCCTTGCCGGCTTTACGATTCCGATATTACGTTCAGCTGCTGGTGAGCCGCTCGAGCAGTCGCATTTTGACATCCCACTGCTGAACAAACTACGCAGCCAGAACAACTTGTTGGGTCTTAACCAAGTAGAGCAAGGTGTCAGCAAACTGAAAATTACTCCTGCCGACGAAGGTGGTGACAGTGCCAAGCAGAACACCACGATGCAGCATCATGTCATCGACCTTACATCAACCATCATTGCCGTTAATAAGGACGCGCCGCCTCGGGAATCTGCAAGCAAGATGCGATTAAGACTAGCTGAAAACACCGAAAAATTCGACATCCCATTCATAGCCTGTGATCGACGTCGTTGCCGTTTTTCGGACGGACTATTGGCATCAAAGAAGCGTCGTTTCAGCAGCGGATCAAAAGAAGACGTGGACCAAGAGCCAATCGATGACATTGTAGAGGCGGCACCCAGTGCTATAGGCAGAATGTTTGACATAATACACAACTATCCAGCCCCACGGCAGCCCCAGCTTAAATATGCCTCAACGCCCCTGGAACGCCAGCATATTAAGATGTACAAACATAAGGATTACGGATCCAATATAAAACGGTTTCTTTTCGATACTCCTTCACCTGATGAGGTAGTCAAAGAGGCATTGAAGAAATCCTGGTGTATTTCGCGCACGTGATTTATCGTTGACATTAGCAATAAACTGACAATTTTTTAAATTCAATAAATAAGACCATTATTTGGAGGAGGCATTTTGCTAATGTTTACGAATTCTAATTGGGACTTTAATATCGCAAACGCATATCGATAACATCGACGACGCATCCGTGAATGTCTTGCCATCCCTATTTTTGTTATGGTGTGCATGTGTGTATGTGTGAAAAATTAATTTTATTTTCCCTTTGATTTCGTGTATGCGCAATTGTTTCGTATTTGCCAAATGCAATATTTCAATTAGAAAAGTGAAGTGCGTAATTACGGTAATTGATTATATTGGCGATACTGCAAATGCAGAGTCTTTGAATCGAACTGTAAATAAACAAGAAGGAAAAAATTGCGAGACCTTCAGACAAAAGAACAAATACCCACACACACATACACCTAATAAGAGCTTGTGTGTAGGCTACATGCCAGACATAGGTGCAGTATTTATATTTTATATACCCAATATCAATACAAACTGCTATAAGCAACAGTAGCGCCACAAGCAAGCTATATACATACATACATACATATGTGCTGAAAACAGCTGTGGAAAGGGACTAGAAAAGTATCCCATAAAGTGCGAAAGGTCAGCAGCTGCGGCAGGCGCAGACGACGGCATTTCTTACTGTGTGTGTATGTGTTGCGTCTAGCTATCACTTTCTGACGCGCGCACACGCACCGTCGCAACGGCAGGCGAGTGTGTGGCAAATTTAAATCAGCGCTACCTCCTACAGCACCCCACCAACGTACTATAACACACTACAGACAAGCCAGACAGAGCAGCACAGCGCAATAAAACTGGACGTGCGTGTATGTGTGTTGTTGTTATTGCCGTCTGAAGACTTGCCGGTGCCGGTTGCTGTTTACATGTGGAAGCTATTCGTACACAGGTAACATAAAACATCTGTATACAAAAGTCGCACATTCATGCATACATAAAGCAGACATATACATACACATATAACACTTACATACATACATGAAAACTAACGATCTTCTGCCGAAAAGTGTGTACACAACTTTTCTCCATGCAGTTTAACACATTACAATAAAAGCTAAATCCTATTGTGGACTCACTGACAACATTTGGGTACTATCACTAACCATACAACATATAGATGCGTCATTTCATACAACGAAAACGTCCCATCGAAATTGTTAGCGACAGCTCCCATAGCTGTTCGGGTATTTGCCGAATGGGAGCTGTCGCACTTCGGCTATGAGCCGACTGGGAGCTGTCGCATTCGTGCTCTCTGTGAGCGAATTTCATTTCATTCGCAGAGAGGCAACCTACAGAGACGGTCGGTTCGCGCCGCTTATGCTCTTTGTATGTGTGCGTGCACATATATACATGTATATGTTTATATGTATTTGTGCATTTGGTCTTTTGCTGTTTGCGAGCAGCAGCTTCAATTTCGTTTTCAGATTTTACCTGCTACATGGGCATCAGAATTTCATACACTGTTGCCATATTTCTGTCGCATTGTATTTTGGGATGCGTATGCAAGTGAAGTTTGTCAGTAGTGTATGGGTTTCTCATAACGCCTATAAAAGCACACATACATACATATTTATGTGTGCAAATGTTGTGTTCATATGCAGACCTTGACATTGTCATGACCTGCCTCAACTTATATTTATGCACAAGCAATTTTATTGATAGACTATTTCTTATTTTTGTTTGACTTGCATATTAATTACAAAATATTTGGTAAAAATGTCAGTTGGCATTTAAATCAAATTAATTCAAAAATATTAGTTTAAAAATATATTATTTTATTTATGTTCTTGGTGAAAATGTCGGTTGGCAAATTAGCCGATATTTAATATGAAAATAAGTACATTTAAGGGTCGCAAAATGTGGTAAAATTTGTAAAACAAGTGTAATTAAATAAATAAAAATACATACATATATGTTTATATGTATGTACATCTTTTGATAATTTAATATATATTGTTTTTTTTTTTAATTCGCCGCTCAAATTTGTTACCGATCTAATGTATATGAACAAACATATTACATCGGTTGAGTTTAATCTCATCATGTCCAAAATGTTGTACATGAAAGTCTTGACATCAACAACAGTATCTGGGAACTGTGCCCCCGATGAAGATACTATGTTGATTAACATTATACAAGACTGTGGGTCAAATCAATCATCATCACAGCTAACATCTTCTGAAGATGATGACTTGATTTTCATTGATGACGAATTAGAATTAGAATTGGCTATAGAAGCAACAGATTTGAATATTCAAGACCTTTCAATGAGAATGCTTTGCGTTATTTTGCAGGGTATCTCTTGCATAAGCTCTTGAAGAAACACGACTGCAAAGTGTGTTCAAATCTGTTGAAACCGTCCGATGAAGTCCAATGCACTTCCGAGTATTTAATACTAAATAAAAACTTCGGTTACGTTAATAGTAACCTTAAACTTATGATTTTTTCACTTTAATTAAAATACACTTTGATGTTTTTAAACGGTATTTCGAGACAAAGTCTCACAGATTCCATTTGAAAAAAACAATAGTTCAAAAATGCGTATTCATTACATCAAAGTTAGATAAATACGCATGCTGGTTTTCAGAGTCTGGTCCGTGTTATAATCACAGAACTCAATTGCTTAATGAGTTCATTTTGATTTTAATTTGAAAAAATTGTAAATGGATAACAGATGGGATTGCTGGTAGTAAGAACTCCAGGGTAGCTTTAAATAAATTAAAAATAATTAAGCAGTAGAATTTTTTCTTACTTTATGTTTAAATAATAGCAAATATTAAATATTTACATGTTAGTTAATACACTAAATAAGGTAATATTAAGTGGGGAACATGGATTTGACTTAATTTCAAACACTTATAAATAGTAATTAAAATGTTATGCATTTTTGAAATTAAGTCATTTCAAGTCGACTCAAAGGTCCTATTATTTTACGACCCCATTAAAATGTTGATGGCCTCCACGTAGTGTTCTCTGGATACCGATGTAATGTGTTTGCTCATATACAATATTAGATAGGTAACAAATTTGAGCGGCGAATTAAAAAAAAAAACAATATATATTAAATTATCAAAAGATGTACATACATATAAACATATATGTATGTATTTTTATTTATTTAATTACACTTGTTTTACAAATTTTACCACATTTTGCGACCCTTAAATGTACTTATTTTCATATTAAATATCGGCTAATTTGCCAACCGACATTTTCACCAAGAACATAAATAAAATAATATATTTTTAAACTAATATTTTTGAATTAATTTGATTTAAATGCCAACTGACATTTTTACCAAATATTTTGTAATTAATATGCAAGTCAAACAAAAATAAGAAATAGTCTATCAATAAAATTGCTTGTGCATAAATATAAGTTGAGGCAGGTCATGACAATGTCAAGGTCTGCATATGAACACAACATTTGCACACATAAATATGTATGTATGTGTGCTTTTATAGGCGTTATGAGAAACCCATACACTACTGACAAACTTCACTTGCATACGCATCCCAAAATACAATGCGACAGAAATATGGCAACAGTGTATGAAATTCTGATGCCCATGTAGCAGGTAAAATCTGAAAACGAAATTGAAGCTGCTGCTCGCAAACAGCAAAAGACCAAATGCACAAATACATATAAACATATACATGTATATATGTGCACGCACACATACAAAGAGCATAAGCGGCGCGAACCGACCGTCTCTGTAGGTTGCCTCTCTGCGAATGAAATGAAATTCGCTCACAGAGAGCACGAATGCGACAGCTCCCAGTCGGCTCATAGCCGAAGTGCGACAGCTCCCATTCGGCAAATACCCGAACAGCTATGGGAGCTGTCGCTAACAATTTCGATGGGACGTTTTCGTTGTATGAAATGACGCATCTATATGTTGTATGGTTAGTGGTACTATTTAGCACACATGTATGTATGCACATACATATGTACATTCTGAATGTTAATATGTATTAATAAACAACAATACGATAGATTACACGACCATACATACTATCAGTTGCCGCCTATCGATGGCACATACATACATACATACACTCATAAATTCATACACATGCATACATACATATGCATTAAAATTATCACGTTTTATTATTTGAGCAAACAAAAACTAACTATATTAAAATTTTTAGAAACGCTCACAACGCGCACCGAAGAATTAAACATACCATATAAGAAAGCATATTCAACGGATATCATCAGCCAAAGCTAGTGCTAAGAACTATAGTACAACTATAACAAGAACAGCAGTCGCACCAGAATCGGATCAGAAGAGAGAGAGCCAGTGTTATCAAAATTGCTGAGACATTTTAAACTCTAATACGTCTCTGTTATTGGCATTGCTGTGGCTGCTCTGCTTGCTACATCATCGGAGTTTGTTTTGGGCGTGGCCTAGTGTCCACCTTCCGTGAGATGTTGCCTTTCACCCCTCAAGTGGTCAAACGTTTGTTAGCACTCAAGAAGGGCAACGAGGACAATACCATTGAGGGCAAGTGGTCCGAGAAGGCAGTAAAGAATCTGGTGAAGAAGATAAAAAAGAACGCGCAATTGGAGGAGCTAGAACGTGCCATCTCCACACAGAATTGTAACACGCGCTGCGTGACTGTGCCGCGCAGTAAACCGGCGGCCACTGGCGAGAGCCTACGTAAAGGGCTACCGCACGTCATCTATTGTCGTCTGTGGCGCTGGCCGGACCTGCAATCGCAGAATGAATTAAAGCCGCTGGATCACTGCGAGTACGCGTTCCATTTGCGCAAGGACGAGATTTGCATTAATCCGTACCACTACAAAAAGATTGAGCTCTCAATATTAGTTCCCAAGTCACTGCCAACGCCGCCTGACTCCATTGCCGATTACCCGTTGGATAACCACACACATCAAATACCAAGTAATACCGAGTACAATGCTGCGATAATACGCAGTGCATCCTTGAGTCCCCCACAATATATGGAATTAGGTGGCGGCAGCAGCAGCAGCGGCCGCACCAACAGCCACAACAACGCCACAGCAACGGCCACGGCCGGCACCTATCAACAACAACAACAACAGCAGCAACAACAACAGCATCTGCAGCAGCAGCAGCACTCACCACTCTCCTTCTCAATTGGTGGTCAGAGCCTATCGGGCGCCTGCAACATGGACTCGCAGTCTAGTGTGCTCAGCGTGGGCAGCAGCATTCCCAACACGGGCACCCCACCGCCTGGCTACATGAGCGAAGATGGTGACCCCATCGATCCTAATGACAACATGAACATGTCGCGGCTAACGCCGCCTGCAGATGCCGCGCCAGTTATGTACCATGAGCCCGCATTTTGGTGCTCCATCTCGTACTACGAGTTAAACACGCGTGTCGGCGAAACTTTCCACGCCTCCCAACCCTCTATAACCGTGGATGGCTTCACTGATCCGTCCAACTCGGAGCGCTTCTGCCTCGGACTTTTGTCCAACGTCAATCGAAATGAGGTGGTCGAGCAGACCCGTCGCCATATTGGCAAGGGTGTACGTCTCTATTATATTGGCGGCGAGGTGTTCGCCGAATGTCTCAGCGACTCGTCCATATTCGTGCAGAGCCCGAATTGTAATCAGCGCTATGGCTGGCATCCGGCCACCGTCTGTAAAATACCACCCGGCTGCAACCTAAAGATCTTCAACAACCAAGAGTTTGCCGCGCTTCTGTCGCAGTCCGTTTCGCAGGGATTCGAGGCGGTCTATCAGCTCACTCGCATGTGCACCATTCGCATGTCCTTTGTGAAGGGTTGGGGAGCCGAATATCGTCGCCAGACTGTCACTTCGACACCTTGCTGGATTGAGCTTCATCTGAACGGTCCGCTCCAGTGGCTCGATCGCGTGCTTACCCAAATGGGTTCGCCCCGCTTGCCCTGTAGCTCCATGTCTTAAAGAGTCGCAACGCGTACAGGCGGCCAAGAGACAAACACAGTGAAAAATATATATAAAAACAAAACAAAAAACGAAGAAAAGAAAACCAACAAACAATTTTTGTATTGCAAAACGAAAAAGAAACCCTTTACAAAGCAGAGTAATTGCAACAAAAGAAGTGAGAGCAACAAAAACAAAAACAAAAACAACCACAAACAAATTAACAAAACAAAATTTCAGAGAGCACATAAAAATAAGTTCAGGCAAGTTATATACATACATAATTGTAGGAGATGCAGACAGATACATATATCTATATACAAAGAGAATCATATATATATATATATATATATATCTACATATATATATGTATATATACATATAAATCATTGCATAAATATATGAAATGATGTATTTTTGCGTTAAAAATCTAAGATTTTAGTGTGTAGATATATAAGCATAATTGCGAAAAAGTCAAATGGTTCGAGTAATGAAAATTGAACTCTATTACTATTATATATACATATTTTTTTTTGTCATAACGTAAAGTTGATAAATAATAGCAAGCAGCTAATCGTTTTAAAAATTTTATACACACCACATAGTGATTGAAGATCTGCCAGGGCCATAAAATTGTAAGACCCTGGCAATTAAAGCTGAGCAGGAAGACGAGATCGGTCAGCAAGGGGCGATAGGAACGATTGTAAGACGATGTTCTTAACTCTTAAATGATATGCCTGCATTACATATCATTTTCTTGCTTATTCAAGACATTTCTTTCTTGACTTTTTATACAAAAAAAAAGTCCCTTCAACTTGTCTCATAATCGTAACAATCGCTGATTATGTTGCCAACTGGTAGGGAACCTGAAAAGGATTGATTGCAGAAACGCTTGGTCAAGACTAAGAGACAAAATTCTTTGAGAAAGAAACAAAACGAAATGGTGATTTGAGAATTTTTCTTCTTTCTTTCTTTATTTTATTTTAGTTTTTTTGTTTTTTGAATTGAGCAAAGCAAGTAACAGAAAACAGAAACTGGGATTTTTAAAGCTTGAAGCTTAAACACAAACAAATATATACAGACACACACACCCACTCAAAAAAACAGAGATCGTATCAAGAGAAGAATGGGAAGTTAGATTGGATTTTAGTGGGCCTTTCTCGGTTTTCAACCTATATATCGGAGAGAAAAAAAAACACAGAATATAACTCTTGTGTAAAAGTCAGACATTCATGCACACATACATATTTACATACATACTCGTATGTATGTATGTGTGTGTGTATGGTAATGAACTTGCAAGTTAATGTTGTTAGAAAGTGTTTAGATTTTCGCTTAGAATGTGTGTGTTAAAAATTCGTAAATTTATCAAAATTAAGCAAAACAATAGAAAACACATACATAGTATGTATGTGTGTAAATCTTTTTTAGCCGTATCTAATATACTCGTACGTTATATACATACATACATGTATCTAATATATAATAAAAAATGAAAATGGGAAAAAAAAGAGGAACTACATACAAAGATACAAACGTACATACATTATTTCCAACTTGATAATGCGCAGCTTACGAGTTTGCACAGATACCCTAAATACAACATACATACATCTATATATATAAATAAATATATATATATATATACAAATTAAAAGCGTATATTTAAATAAACACTTATATATTAAACAAAATGAAAACAAAAGAAAAACTGAACTAAGGCGTTGTGTCATTCTTTGGATTCACTAACGTGCATGTATTTTCAAATGCTGCTTGTAGTTGGACTTGCGCAGAAATCGGGATCCGCACTGGGCACAAGCAAAGGGACGCAGCTGTGTGTGCGCGATCTGGTGGTGCTTGAGCTCCGAGGAGCTGAAGAAGCACTTGCCACACTGCGGACAGGCGAAGTCTCGCTGATTGTAGTGCCGCTTCAGATGCGTATTCAAATAGCACTGGTCCGTCATCACCCGTCCACAGATGGGGCAGGTGTAGCTCAGTGCGGATGTGGGCAACGTAGTCGTTGCCTTCTCATTGCCCGCCTCCGCTGCATGCCGCAGCTTCGTGTGGGAGCGTCGTGCGTGTATCGAATGAAAGGCCATCCCACAGATCGCACACGCGTAGGGCTTCTCGCCCGTATGTAGCCGTCGATGCACGGCCAGGTAGTTGGCGTACCGGAAACCCTTGCCACAGATGTCGCATTCGTACGGCCGTGCCTTGCTGTGTGTCACATAGTGGATGCGGAGCTTGTTCAACTGCCGGAAGCCCTTGCCGCAGGTATCACAGATGTGCGGCTTCTCATCAGTGTGGGTCATCTTGTGGATGCGTAGGTTGTACGGCTCTCTGAAGCACCGCTGGCAGACGTCGCAGGTGTGGCAGGCGTCGCGTTTTCTAACGCGGATCCGCCTTGGCTTTTCCTTTGCCTTTCCCATCGTATCGGTCGCCATCGGCGCGGCTGCCATAATATTCTGGTGATTCTCCTGCAAGAGCCGGTAATTGAATGAGGCTTTGTAATGCTTTGCAGGCCCCTAACAACTCTCTAGAATCTCTTTAGCAGTTTCTTGTTAATATTTAATTCGTGAAAAGTTCCAATCAGTTAAGATCTGCCTATTATTTTCCCCAATTGCGGCCCTTTTTCCCAATAAAAAGCTACCTTTATTTGGTAGATCGTGAAACTTAGTTATTATTCGTTGTCATTCCACACAATAGCACTTAGAGTTCGTATAATATGATTGAATACGGAAATGCCAACAGACGTTGGTAGTGTCTATATCTACATATGATTAATTCGACAAAAGAATGCAGTAATAACATTCCTGTAACTGATTAGATTAACTCATTTCAGATCTAACTCAGCCGACACATAAATTAGAACTTCGAAAGAAAACACACAAAGTTAAAACTTAAATTTACTGGAGTATACTTTGATTGTCAAATGAAATCAAGGTCGAATTAATTTGTGCTGGGAGAGCAGCTTTTCTTATAATTAAATTTAAAGAAGCCTTCTTTTTACACAAATAGTGTGACCATATGCTGCCAAGCTTGTTTGGTCACACTGCTACAACAAATCTAAAAACAATCCATCAATACAATTGCAGGAATCCCACTAATCTATATATTCGCAGACAATGAAATCAAATGTCTTTTATGCATATATTTACACATACTTTATATGGCTGCTGGAATGTCTAATTCTTTTCCCTTTTCATTATGTAAATAAGTCCCACTATTAAATTTTTGAAAATTTAAATTATTATAGTATAAATATAGTTTCTAGATAGATGGATAGTATCTATCGTTTATTATGCTGGGTCGGATTGAATTTACAATCCTTCTCTTTTTCCAATATGAAAGATAGACCACTTTTTATTTTCTATTTAAAAAAAATGTTGCGATAACTGAATTAAAATAAAGACGTTGTTTGGTCATCCGGCCAAAAACAGCCAAAACCAGCAGCACATCATAGTTAATAAGTAACGTAAATAACTCAATGCAAAGTGCTCGTTTTCTTGTCGCTTGCTTTGCATAGCAAGCCGAGCACTTAACGTTTCCTTTTGTTGCCATAAATTTGCATAGGCTGCTGCGCAGCCGCCACATATGTACTAGTTATTGTCGCTAACTCTGCAAGTCAAGTTCGTTTTTCGTTATCGCATCTGGTACGGAGAAGCTTAGCTTTCCGTCTACCAGCATAAACTTTGTAAATCTCGGCGATCGCTACCTATGCAAAATAAACATTTGTGCACATCTTTTAAATTGAACAATTTCGTTTCGCTTATTTTGCAATTATTTCGCCAACATAATTTCGCATATTTGGAATCATAAAAAAGCTTATGATTATACATTTTGGTGACCCCGACGTGATTAATAATTCCACAAAACCTTGCTTAATCGCGTTAAAAAACAAAAGCGTACATAATTGAGCTCATTGTACACAAAAAATATTCAAGTACATAAGTGCAAAAATATAAGTTCATAGTGCCTACTGTACCGCCAATAAGCAGCCGTGTGAAGCGACGTTTTTGAGGGCAACGAACATCAGCAGATAAAACAGTTATTCGCGCGCGTCATTTATCTCTGCTATTTTCGGTTTTCGGTTCTCTCTCGCGTTCACAATGTCTGAGAGCGACGGTCAAATGCGCGCCTTCCAAGCTGTCGCATCAGCTGCTGCTGACGTAGCTGATGCAGCGACGCTTGCGCCAACAGCTTCGACGTCAACAGCTGTGGGCAATGCAGTGCAAGCTACGAGCAATAGTGTTGAGTTTTATAAGCGCAAGGCGCAATCATTATATGCGTGGGCGCTTTCTATTCAAAATAAAATAAATGATTGTGAAATTGACAATATTTCAGAAAGTGAGCTGCGAAAACGTGTGGAAATGCTGCAAAGTATTCAGGCCTCTTTTAATTTGGTGCATGACAAATTAGAGGAGCTGGACTTTGACGAGATTGGCAGCAGTTTGCGCTGCAACTTTGCTGAGCTGGTGGTCTGCTTGGAGGGCCGCCTGCTAAATGCAATACAAAGGATGCAATCTGGCGCGCCGCCGTGTTCGACGCTTCGGCAAGATGATCAGTCTACCATTGTGATAACTCGGTCTCGTTTGCCTGAGCTTAAGTTGCCTACATTCAGTGGTGGATATACTGAATATGCAGATTTCGCTTCGATGTTCACATCAGTGATCGCCAAGGATCCAGATCTCTCCGATGTGGAAAAGTTGCAGCATTTGAGGTCAAGCTTAAGAGGATCTGCGTTGGGCACGATTCGTGCGCTTGAGATAAGTGGTGCAAATTATTCAGTGGCGTTAGACCTACTCGACAAGCGGTTTAACAATAAGCGTCTTATTTTCCAGGCACACATCTCCGAGATTTTGGGCATTAAAAAGGCTGAAACTACAAGCAAGCTGCGAGAGTTGTCCGACAAAGTCAACGCAAATATGCGTGCACTGTTGAGTTTGGGCAATATGCAAGATGTAGCTGGCAGCATCGTCGTTCAGACAATTTTGGGCAAGGTGGATGCTGCGACGCAGGCAAAGTGGGAGGAAGCCGCCCCATTAAACGTTATACCGTCGTGGGAGCAATTTGCGACGTTCTTGGATAGCAGGTGCCAAAAATTGGAAAACATCGAGCATGCAATGGCATCATATTCGTCGAATTATCAGGTGGGAAAGAACAAAAACACTAACACCAAACGCTCGTTTGTCGCCACTAACCCATCCGCAAATGGTTGTCTGTTTTGTGACATAAATGCACACGAAATATACAGTTGCCCACTTTTTGGTAATTTGTCGCCTGTACTTCGTTTAAAGGAAGCGAAACGCCTCTCTCTGTGTATAAATTGTCTTAGAAAGGGACACAGAATGAGAACTTGCAATTCTGGATCGTGCAGAACCTGTGGTGCCAAACATCACAGTTTATTGCATTTTAATAATTCAGCTGCCGTAAATTTGATGCCTGAGCAATCGTCCGCTTCTGACTTACACTCGCGGCCGTCTTCATTGTTACTGCCACGTAGCGCTCTCGCAGCTGTTTCGCCATCATCGCTTGCTTCATTGCCTGCCCAAAATCTCGGCTCAGATGTTGTGCTCTTGGCCACCGCTGTCATCAGCATTCAAAATCGCGCCGGGACTTGGGTACCCTGCCGTGCACTGCTCGATTCCGGATCACAGTTGCACATAATAACTTCGCGATTCGCTCACCGGCTCCAACTTCGAAAGACCAAGTCGTCGGCCTCTGTGTCTGGTCTTGGTGACGTCAGTTTCAAGTCTGATGGTTGCACTGTGCACTTATGCTTGCAATCATTGGTCACTGACTATTCCGCAAATATTACTGCTTTGGTCGCTCCTTCCATTACTGAGAACCAACCAAATTTCACGGTTGACATATCTCATTGGGATATACCAAGCAATGTCCGCTTAGCTGATCCGGCGTTCTTCAAGCCACAGCAAATTGATATGCTTATCGGTGCCAATGTATTCTACGAGTTGTTGTGCGTAGGTCAGATTAAACTGGCTGATGGCCTGCCACTTCTGCAAAAGACTCGTTTGGGCTGGATAGTTACTGGAGGTGGCTCGCAGCGTCAGAAATCTGCTTTGGTTGCATCCAAGTCTCCGTCTACACAGGATTGCAATACACGAATCGAGCAGATGGTTCGCTCTTTTTGGGAACTCGAAAGTGGTGTCGATCCGGCTGTAAAACTCACCAAAGAAGAGTTCGACTGCGAGGAGCATTTCAAGGCTAATTACAGGCGCCTGCGTACTGGCGAGTATTCCGTCCGATTGCCTGTAAAGCTCAGCACAGATCTGCTTGGCGATTCCTATACGCAAGCCTATCGTCGGTTCATAAACTTGGAGCGAAAGTTAGAACGCAATCCACTTCTCAAAGCACAGTACTCTGCATTCATTAAGGAGTATTTAGAGTTGGGTCATATGTCGCTTGTATCGCCAGTTTCGCTAAATTTGTGCAAGTATTTCCTGCCGCACCATTGCGTTCTGAAGGAGGACAGCACAACGACAAAGTTGAGAGTCGTGTTTGACGGTTCCGCATCCACATCCTCTGGTCATTCTTTAAATGACATCCTAATGGCTGGTCCTTCCATTCAGTCAAAGCTCGCAAACACGCTTCTTCGATTTCGCACGTTTCCTATCGCTTTAACAGGAGACATCTGCAAGATGTACCGCTGCGTGCGAGTATCAAATCCGGATAGCTATTTTCAATGCATTCTATGGCGTGACTCGCCTCAAAAGCCTATTCAAGTTTTCCGTCTTGATACCGTCACTTACGGTACAAAGCCTGCCTCGTTTCTCTCCGTTCGCACTATGCATCAGCTGGCTGAAGATGAGCATGAGCTATTTCCTATTGGCTCCGATATCTTGCGCCGCGATTTTTATGTTGATGATTTAATCACTGGTGGTGCTTCTACAAACGAAGTCATAGAAATTATGAGACAAACCACAGGGCTACTTGCCAAGGCTAATTTCAAGCTAAGGAAGTGGTGCTCCAGCAATCCTGATGTGCTCAAACAAGTTCCGGAAGAAGACAAAGAAACTCTAGTTAAGTTTGATGATGGCAGCGACATAACAAAAACTCTAGGACTGTCGTGGGATCCTGCGACGGATTTATTCATTTTCACGTTTCTGCCAGCATTGACATCTGGTCGAATTTGCAAGCGCACTGTTTTGTCAACTATTGCCAGATTTTATGATCCGCTTGGCCTTATTGGACCAGTAATCGCAAAGGCTAAGATATTCCTGCAGGCGCTTTGGAGAGAAAGGCTTGATTGGGATGAAAGCCTTTCAGCATCATTGACAACATCTTGGCATAATCTTATTGCAGATTTTGAGCGCACAAAGCAGCTGAAATTTCCAAGGCTTGCACTTTCTGTTGGTGTTTCCATTGAAGTGCATGGTTTTAGTGATGCCAGCATAGATGCCTATGGAGCTTGCGTGTACATCATTTCGACCACGCAAGGCCAATCTCGTGCGGAGCTGCTGTGTTCCAGATCTCGTGTGGCGCCGCTCAAATCGTTGACCGTGCCCCGACTAGAGTTGTGCGGAGCCGTTTTGCTGGCACAACTCATAAACGAAATATCTCGTATGGAGTTATTCGACTGCAAGTTTTATTGTTGGTCTGATTCTGCAGTAGCGCTATCTTGGATTCGCAGCGAGCCATCCAGGTTTCAAATTTTCGTTTCCAATCGCATCGCAACTATTCAAGAGTTGACCTCTGGCATGGAATGGCGATATATTCCAACCGATTTGAATCCTGCGGACATACTTTCACGTGGAGCTTTGCCCAGCGAATTAGTCCAGTCCAACTTGTGGCTACATGGTCCCGCATTTCTGACGAAGGACAAATCTTCTTGGCCAGAGTCTTGCATTTCCGCCTCGTCGCTTCCTGAGCAGCGCTCTAAAGTGTTTGTAAGCACCACACTGTGCGAAGACATTGCACAGCAATGCAAATATGTTAACACATTTGGAAAGCTGCAGCGCGTGTTTGCATATGTATACAAGTTCCTGCACCGTGTACGAATTCCTGGGCTATCGGTGGACTGCATCCGTCATGGTACACTGCTGTTGATGCGCTCAATTCAAATGTCTACGCTTCGGGACGAATACAAGACCTTGCAGGCCGGACACATTTTGAAATCGTCTAGCTCCTGTCTTTCTTTATCTCCGTTTCTCGACAGCTCTGGATTGATGCGCGTTGGTGGCCGTCTAAGTAACTCTGCGCTCGACTTTGAAGCCCAGCATCCAATTATACTTCCAAGGCGTCATCCAGTCACGCGTTCAGTCATTATGCACTACCATGTCCGTAATCTGCATTCTGGACCTCGTGCATTGCTGGCCTCAATTCGGTTGCAGTATTGGCCAATTGGCGGTCGGAAAACAGTGTGCAGCGTAGTCAGCAAATGCACCATTTGTTTTCGAGCCAAGCCTCGTCTTGTGGAGCATGTTATGGCTGACCTGCCAAAGGATCGAGTTGATGCTTCACATACCTTTATGGTCACTGGTGTGGATTTTTGTGGGCCGTTTTTCTACAAAAGCGAGGTCCGCAATAAGGCACCAATAAAATGCTATATTTGCATTTTCATTTGCTTCGCCACCAAAGCTGTGCATTTGGAGTTGGTGAAGGATTTAACCACCGGAGCATTCTTAAATGCACTTAAACGCTTTATTTTGACGCGCTGTCGACCTACGAGGATCTGGTCTAACAACGCTACAAATTTCGTTGGCGCACGGAACGAGATGGCTGAGCTAAAGCGTCTTTTTGAATCCAGCGAGCACCTGCAGGCTGTGCAAGAATTTTGCCTTGCTGACTGTATTGATTGGCGTTTCATTCCGCCGCGCTCGCCTCACTTTGGTGGTCTATGGGAAGCGGCTGTAAAGACTGCCAAGCATCATTTCTACAGATCCGTTGGACTATCGCTGCTCGAATTTGATGAACTGCGCACGCTTGTATGCCATATCGGGGCAATTATTAATTCTCGCCCATCGTTATCCCTTTCAGAACATCCAGCAGATCTCGATGTCTTGACTCCAGCTCATTTTCTTGGTGCTGCTCCGCTGTCAACGTACGTTGAGCCTGATCTGACGAAGCTCAATTTCAATCGGCTGGATCGATGGCAGCGCGTGACGTACTACCAGCAGATATTTTGGGCTCGCTGGCGTGAAGAATACTTGACGCTTCTTCAACAGCGCTCAAAATGGCGAGTGTCGCAGCCTGGACTCTCCATTGATGATGTCGTTCTGGTCAAGGACGAGAATTTGCCGCCCCTCAAATGGCCATTAGCAAGGGTGGTCATCCTCATCAGCGGCGCAGATGGCGTGTCGAGAGTTGCAGAATTGAGGACTTCCACTGGAACCATTCGGCGAGCCGTTCGCAAATTATGCCCGCTGCCGAAACAAGATGTTGTTGAAGACCCTGGTTCTTCAACAGGGGGAGTATGTTTGGTCATCCGGCCAAAAACAGCCAAAACCAGCAGCACATCATAGTTAATAAGTAACGTAAATAACTCAATGCAAAGTGCTCGTTTTCTTGTCGCTTGCTTTGCATAGCAAGCCGAGCACTTAACGTTTCCTTTTGTTGCCATAAATTTGCATAGGCTGCTGCGCAGCCGCCACATATGTACTAGTTATTGTCGCTAACTCTGCAAGTCAAGTTCGTTTTTCGTTATCGCATCTGGTACGGAGAAGCTTAGCTTTCCGTCTACCAGCATAAACTTTGTAAATCTCGGCGATCGCTACCTATGCAAAATAAACATTTGTGCACATCTTTTAAATTGAACAATTTCGTTTCGCTTATTTTGCAATTATTTCGCCAACATAATTTCGCATATTTGGAATCATAAAAAAGCTTATGATTATACAGACGTCTTCAACCGTAAACATTCTTGTGCAGGTAAAATTACTCTATAAATAAAGGGCATTAAGCACGTACATAATTCGAGAAAGCAAAGTACTGCACGAGTACTGATATGAAACCAGTTAGTAAATATTATAGTTATATGTACATACATATGTATGTATAATGCAGACTTCGAAATATTTAAAAATCGAGTGTCCAAACAAATTTTTAACACGTTTCACGTTTGTAAAAACAATTTCTTCAAAATGGTATGATTTCAATTTTAAAAATGTAGCCTCTGAACAACACAAAAAAGTGTTGAAATTGTTTCAATTTTCTAAAATAATTACTATTTTCAGAAGAATGTCAATTTAATTAAATTACTCGATTGCTTTTGAGTATGGAAAAGAAGTGTTGGATTAACTAAGAGTCTTATTATAAATAAATAACTTAGCGAAGGCACGGCAACCGAATTAATGAAATACCACTCTTAAGAATAGATCCAACTTTTTTGCTAATGTAGCTTTTGGAAAACATACTGTGTATAACTTTTATTCACTTTCCAAGTCGTATACTTACGCTGCTTAAGTCATTCACAAGATCGAACAAGTCACAGTTTCCTTGTGCGTCTGCGCAGCAATCCAATAGGACTTCGCTGTCATCCTCCAGATTGACGAGATCACCAAGCTGGGCAAATAGCTGCATGTCGTCCAGACAGACGGCATAATCCAGCTCATCCTCTTCGGCCTGTCGAAGGCGGGCGGCCGACAGAGCCGCCTGTTTCTCGGCGGCTGCAATGGACACATATTGCGTTTCCTCTACCGGACAGTTGCGACGCTGCTTCATGCTGGTCGGTTGCCAAATATGACTCCCGATGCATTCCCTAGGGCCAGCAAGAAAATTTCGCATTCACAGTTACACACGGCGCTACGATTAGATTAGTTTCTACTTCCACCAGTTGTGTCTTCGAGTAGTCGCCGTTTTCGTTTTATCGTAACGCGCCCAATGCCGAGCCCAATAAAAATAAAATAAAACAAAAAAAATTGTGCGCAATCGCCAGTCGAGTCGATAAATAATTTGTTGCTGCTGTTATTCTGTTTGTTTTAATTGCACTTTAAACATTTATGCCACCTGTTTATTACTGGCGACCAGGGAGGGGCCCCAACTAACGGCACGAACTTTGGCTCGACAGAAACGTCATTTAATGGCTTTTGATGGGCATGGGCAAGGTATGGGTATGAGCGTGCTTTATCTGCAACGTATGCCATATATATGTACATACATATGTATATGTATAGTACATACAAATGTACATATCTATTAACATACATAGATAATTACTAAATGCAGCCGATCGACTGACCGGCCGGCCCTCTGATCAAAGCACAGCCAAACTTGAAGCTTTGCAAAACTCAAGTGGCGATTACCGTTGTCAATAAGCACATACATATGTATGTACATACATATGTATGTATGTATATATGTACATACATACATATGTGTGAAATAAACTTGTAGACCCATCCACCCAGCAAAGAACTCGGATATTCGGATATACAGTTCTCGTATAGAAATCATTTTAAGTTGCACATTATTTTTATATTTTTTTCCACACTGTTATCCAGCAGTAAATTCAGTTAATAGATGAACCGATTTGTCAGGTATTTGTTTTAGTTTTAAAGAGCTGAAGCCATTTGAAATATCTATGTATGTTACTTAATCGTTGATTCGTCGGAAACTTTTTAAGACAATGTGCAAATATTCTTAAACATTTTATTGAGTGCATATATGTACATATGTCTGTGAATAAGTTGTGACCGAATGATTATGATTTAGTTCTCCCTAACAAAATCATTTCGATTTATAGAAATGTTTAATTTGTTATTGCTACTGAAATAATTTTCGCTAAAAAAAAACGTCTTCCTTTAGATAGTTTGCTTTTTTATTTAAATTTTTTCTTAATATGTACATATCTATATCATTTTTACACAGAATATTGTGTTTCCTTTGCTCTGAAGCTCAGCGTGTTGTTTCCGTGAAAAGTTAAAAGGCTTGAATACTTAGAAAGCTGATTTATTCAGAAACCGCGAAATCTGTTGTGCAGCCCTGTGACTTCAATATTGGCGACATTAGTAGTGGTGGCTGAATTTCGATAGTCATATATGGTATCGATACTAAGTTCTTACTATCAGCTCTCTTTTTTTAAACTGTACATGAACATTCTCTTTCGTGTGTATATGTATGTGGAAGTCACATTGACATGCGAATTGACGTCACCGCATATCGTCCATGTATAATTTTCATATATTTTGTATAAATTTCATCATAATGGGAATGGCAAAAACGCAGAGGCAGACCTCCACCCACTACCTGTGGGTTGCATTTTTAGCTGATGCTGCCGAAATACAGCCCTGCCAAACCCCGGGTTGCATTGGTTGCCCAATCTCCAACCCCGGGTTGCATTGATCGCCCAATATTCGTCCGTGCAAATCTGTTTGCAATAAGAGCGCTCTTTATTAGATATAAGGTGTACAACATACATACATATTTATAAATGTACGAAGTCTTAGGTGTATAGGTTTAAAAAATTTATTGTTTCTATGTTATATATTTTATGCAATTGGGTCTGTATATTCAATTATCCTCCGATTCCAATGTGATTTCATAAATCAGATCTTCGCCGATGAACTCTTGACTAAGTTGTTGTTGGTATTGAACCGTTTGGACATGTTGCTGAGACTGTTGAGGCTGGAAGTGCTGCTGGATGTCCTCCATCTCCAAATATTGCTCATCATCAAGCAGCCCCTCATCCACAGCGTTCTCCACCAGTTGACTTTCGTCGTAGTTATACTGTGCAACAAACTGCTGTGTCCCATTATGAGTTTGACAGTCGTCGTCCTTTACCTCGACATCGGCGATTTCATTATCACCAACGCCTTCAATGAGTAGGCCAGCGTCCTCGTCAAACTCATCCTCCAGCATGCCTATCGCCTCCTCATCGTCAACGATGTCGTTAGGAGTATCGCGTTGCTCCTTGACAAGGCGTCGCGTGTTGCTGCGGCATTGTATAGAGCGTTTGTGTGCATCAAAGTAGTTGATGTCGGTGAACTCCTCCTGACACAGGTGACACACATACGAGTCCTGGTTTAAATGCATATCCTTGCGGTGCCGGGCCATCTTGTGAGCGTCGCGACATTGCATGCCGCAGAAGGGGCAAGACAACATTCGCCGCTTGCCCATATGTACGTTGCGTATATGCTCTTGAAGCGAGAAGTTCTTATAGTACGCTTTCTCACAGTACTGACAATGGAAGCGACGCTTGTTTTCATGTGTCGCCTCCCGATGTCGCTTAAGTTGCGTATTCTGTGCAAATGTCTTGCCGCACATTTCACATATGTGCTCCTTCTCCAAATGTCGGCGCTGGTTATGGACGCGTAGGTCTTGCTTTGTGGAGAAATACAGCTTGCAGAGCTCGCAAACATATGGACGTATGCCCATATGACGACGAGCGTGCCCGGCTAGATATTTGCAATCCCGATATGTCTCCGTGCAGTAGATGCAAGCGTAGCGATTTGTGCCAGGTACCAGGTGTGTCTTTTGATGCTTGGAGAGTTTCGTCTTGTGCATGACGTCTGGACAGATGCCGCATTCAACGGGCAGCTTTTCGTCATGGGCGCCGCTTATCATGGAGAACTCCACGATGGGTGTGCTGTCTTCATCAAAGTCAACGATGGTGGCGATTAGGTCGTCGAATAGCAAATACCGACGCGGTCCTTTAAATTCATCCATCATCTTATCGCTTGGCTTAACCACTGTCGCCGGCTCGTCGTCACTTTCCTGCGCCAGAAGTTCTTCATCATCTTCCTCTTCGTCGTCCTCTTCCTCCTCATCCACATCATCGTCTTGTTGCTGCAGGAGCATTTGCGTACGTGTGTCACGTATCAGACTTTGTGAGTTGTTTTTTAATTTATTCATTGGGTATTTATTGCCAAGTGCCGACACCCTTGACGGCAGCACTTGTGAAGGAGGCGGTGGCGGTGTCGACACGGGCGAGTCATTATATTTTAATTCTACTCCATCCTCCTCCACCAAATCCTCAAGATTTCCCAAGTCCTGCTCTGTGATTATGAAGTCATCTTCTGAGAAAAGTTCGCTTTTTGGCACACGCAGAATCGACTGCTGCAAGTCGTCGCAGGAGCGCAGCTGTTGCTGCAATTCAGCCTCGTCTATGAGTAGCTCATCGCCGTTGACGTCCTCGTTCACAATGAGAAACTCTTCGTCGTTGTATACATGTAGTTGTTCTGTGGTCCCAACACCCTCGGCCCCATCCAAAATCACAACATAACGGGTGTTAGTGTCGCTGCCAGCATCGCCTTCAACGCCGTCATGATCGTAAACTGTTGTCTTCGCTGGCAAGGCAAATTCAATTATATCGGACATGTCGACATTCATCTGTAGTTTTTATTGAATCCACCGTTTGTAAATGAAATAATACCTAAATTAAAATATTTGCGTGTAAGTATATTAATTTGAAAGAAATCAAGCTGCTTAATTGGAGTTTTTGTGTCGCACGCACAAATAAAATTGGTGGATTAGGAATGTGCAGAGTGCAACGATACCACAACCAAATTCATATCGATACCTAGAATGCTATCGATTTTATGTTGGCAGCGTTGCCACATGTTACCAATTATTAGCCGTTTTTCTCGGTGCTTCACTTTTCGCGGGCTATCTTCTTTCCTCCCTTTCCACCCGGCGCGCGCATGCGTAGTCGACGTCGCTATAAGTAGCTGTTGCGATTTTAGCCACAGCCAGCAACTTGGCTTACTTCTTGTCTGCAGTGCATTTCGTCTGCGGCTTATTTGATTTGAGCGCTTGGAAGCGTGCGTTTGCACAAATTGAATTGTGTGTGCTGTCGGTTTTTGCGTTATTTTCTCGAGTGTTTTTTTTTTTTTCAGTTTTCTTGGCGTGTGAAGCGCGCGCATGCGTTGCTGCCGTTATTAAAGTCTATAGTGTTTCAAATTTGCGGTTATTCGCTAATAGAAAAAGTGTGTAATTGCTGGCAGGTTGTGAAAATTTATCTGTCCAAAGAAGTATTTTTAGAAATTCTGGTGGAAATAAAAATACTTATGTGAAGAGAAGAAATTTATTTAAAATCAAATACGCTTTAAATTGGCCAAGTGTGTGTAGTTGATGTGCAGTTTATAAATAAATCAACAATTCCTGCCACACAAGGTAAGAGCGCTGACCAACTCAAGGATAATGCATAAAATACTTAATATTTATAAATATGCACATACATATGTAAATAAGTACTTATGTATGTTAAATATGTATATTTGAAAAAATTGACCTCTTATATGTAATAGCTGCAATTGTTTGCTTAGCGACATGTCGCTTTTGTCAAGCCTCTTACTATTTTACAAAGCAAAACTTCGAAAGCTTATTAATCGTATTGATTACAGCAATATCAACAATCACTAGGTGGCAAAAGCAAATGTTTAAGATACGCAACGTCCAATTCAAGACGAGCGAGCGGCCATAAATAAACAACAGAAACACCAACAGCCACAATACAAGCATACACGAGCTACTAAAATCAAATAGGATTACGCAAAGTTGCAAACGCATTATGTTGGTTTAACTTTATTTTCTTATTTGTTTATGTTGTTTGTGCGCGTCTTGTTGGCTTGTTGGCCTATTGGATTGTTGGACTGCTTGATTGTTGGCTGGGCTATTTTGCCACTTGCTGCTGCAATGTCCGACACATTTAATTTGACTGACTATGCAAACTTGACCCAGTTTTGTGTTGGCTATATAGATTTATTTGCTGGAAGCATTGCAATTTGTTCAGGGTCATGCCATTGATCCCACTGGGATGGGCAAATGCTTTCACTCTTCGATTTAAAATCAGCAAACGACTACTAAATGTGTGGAAACTTAATTTTATTCTTTGTCATATGTGCAAGTATATAACAACCTTAGTCTACATAGCTTCATAGAGTTTATAATAATATTCCTGATCCTAAGCTCAAGAGAACCAATCAATAAGTTTTAATTAAAACCTTCAAAATCAACACTTCAAAATCAACACTTCAAAATCAACACTAAAATCCAACTTAAAATAATGTAAAACTTAAAAAAAGGCAGTGTTATGTATTTTGCAATTTTAATCAAAAGTAATTTTGTGTTGTAGTGTCGAACCTGTTTTTGATAAATCCTTCTCTAAGCATCCGTCGAATAATTGAAATTAAATCCACCTCATATTGTTTCTTTTCCTTTTACATTTATGTCAATGCGTCCCATTTTAGTAATGTTAGCTATTTACATTTCTTTCTTATTGCGTGCTTTTTATTTTATTATATATTATATTATTTATTATATAAACTTGACCTACCACTTATAATAGTGCTAGGAAGTCATAAAATTATATTAATGCACTCAAAATGTCCCGATGTACCTCAACATTTCGTTCTCCAATATGAAAAACTCATACTGATCTGTGATTAAACATTTAAAACAAATAGTTGTCTAGCCTTTTGATTATTATTAAAAGGAAGAAGTTCAGGTCGAATTTGAAAATAGCAGCTTAAAATTATATTTTCAATACTTTTAAGCTGAAGTTTCTAAACATAATAATTCATTTGCATCCGAATTTATACACATCAAAAAATGGAAAGCAATTTGGCAAAAATGTAAATTGAAAACGAAAGTTCTGGGCGGGTATTTATGGGGTCTTACTCATTTTTGTACTCCCCATTAGGAATGTATGTTTGGGATCTGAAAACCAATGCCATGGACGAGTAGCTGTTCTTTTCCCATAAGCCTTGAAACTGGCGATTGTAAATTGATTGAAATTAGCAATCCTCAAAACTGTTATTTTTCAAAGACAAATATGCACTTTTTTCATAAAAACTTTTTTTGAATGAACATTCCCTCTCCGCATAGAACTTGAAATGCCTTGGAACGAAGTACTTTAGTCTGAGAACATTAAAGAATATGGATCTGATTATCTTTATGCACTACTTCCCGCCTCTTCTACTATTCACTCACACGCTTTGATTATCTTTCTTTGCATGTGATTTTAGACAGTGGACAAACCACAAGAAGCGACAACGACACGCTCGATTTGCTTGGCCAAGAATTCCAAAGCCAAACTAATTTAGACGACACAATTTGTCGCCCCCGCCCGCCCACAGAAGACAGAAGACAGAGGAGGGAAGTATAATCCATTGACAGGTGTTGCCGGGTAGACCGGTGGCAAAAGCGACCAAGTGGCATCATTTGCGGTTACTGACAACGACGGCGGTGGTGGTGGTGGTTTCGGTGGTGGCGGTGTTGGCGGAGGCTGCAATTAGACAGCCTGGCAGACAGAAGACGAAGAATTGCGAACAGCAAACGGGAAATCGGAAACATGTTCTTCTGCTGGTCCGGTCGCCTAGCACTTGCCGCTCTTATCTGCCTGATGCATCAACAGCAATTTGTGTGTCATGCTGGTTGGGCAACCAGAACAGCAACAGCAACAACAGCAACAACAACAACAGTAACCACTTCGGCAATGCTTGGCATGCTGCTTGTCATTGCATCGGCAACGCCAGCGATTAACAGCGCCAAACAACAACTGCCGGAGTCGCCACCGCCTTTAAGCAACACACTTAAGAGCGGCATGCAGATCCAGGCAGTGCAGGTGAACTGTACTCGGGAGCTGCTGGACATGCAGCTAACACTAAGTCGGCCCTTTCGCGGCCTCCTCTACGCCAAGGACTTTCCGCTGGAGTGCCGTGCTCGCGGCCAAGATGCCCCGAAGATCGCCCTTCGTTTGCCCACCTCTGGGTGCGGGGTTCGCGCCGAGCCAATGCCCGACGGTGGCATGGAGTATACGGTTCGGGTGATGGTCCAAATGGAGCAAAAGCTGCGCCAGAGCACCGACATCCTACGCACCGTTCGCTGCTACCTGCCTCCCAAGGCCATGGGCATGCCGGTGCCGGTGCCGGTGAGCAGTCGAGACAGGTGAGGGCTTCTTTTTTTTGGCGCAGAAAGTGACATTTCCCTATAATTGAATATACTTTTCGACTGACCTATGTATTTAAAAATGTAGTGTTAATGTATTCCAAGATGGAAAATTACAAAGCATAGATTCTAAGCAATGGATTCTAAAAGAGCTTGTTAAGAATACTATGCTCCCGGTTATTCTTTTCTAGTATTAAAGTAAGAATAATGTGATTTGAAAAACTATGTTTTCTAGTAAGCTCTGAATGGCTAGACTATGATAATTTTTTCCCATTCATGTAATGAACTTGAATAGTTTTCAAGATTTTTTTTACATTACTAAGGTATTGAAATAATTAAATTTTTGGAATTCAAGTTGAATGATGTGAGGATACTTTAAAATTGGGTTATTTTTGCAAATTCTACTAGATTTCAAAGACTAGACTTAAATGTTTTGTTTACGCTCAAATAATGAACTTGTACTTCAAGAACTTAAGTCTCTTATTACTTTGAAAATATATTTACAGAATGAGTCAGCAACAAAATTAGACAAACGAAATCAATATACAAGCTACTAAGCTTATTCCCATTTAAGAGTTCAATTAAATCACACGGGGTCAGAGGCGTTAATTAGATATTATTGTAATTTGATTAGATTTCTCCTTCTTAGGCTTTTCTATCTTATAAGCTGCTTTTTATAATTTTTATATATTATCCTCCTATGTCGACAGTCAATGTTTGTTTACATGAATATATAAATAAATAATGAAAATTGCAGGGGGAAACGATCTAACTCATCGATTTCAAGTATAACAAGTAATTCGCAAAATTAACTTTAGCTAAATGGATTGTGATTTACAATAAACATCAGAAACAATGCTTGCAAAAATCGCATTTAAACGGAGCTGTTCTCAATTCAGCGAAACCTCAATGGTTACCTAAACCCAGAATTTGATTCTCCATGATAATACTTGAAATTAAATTCTATTTATTTAGCAAGCAATAGTTTAAAACTGCTTTTATCAAATCGCAAGGAATGTAGTTTATTCCAAGAAACAAGAAACCCCGCAAGTTGAGTTCAAATGCAATTAAAATGTCACTTTAGCTTAAATTTCGGCTTTAGCTAATATTTACAATTATTCTTTTTCTTTCCCAATGCTGGGTTTGTGAATCATTTGTGGGGCAGGTTTATCAAGAAGTTTGGAATTAAATTAAAGAAAGAACTAAATTAGGAAATGTTTTAAGGCCCCATCGAGCTTAACAAACGTTCTTTGTTCCGATACTAGCGGCCCGGTACGTGCTTCGCTACGTATAAAGTGAAATAATAAAAAAATGTAATTGGAACATCAAATTCATTTATTCAAAAAAAAAATATTTTATTAATTGCTAGCTATTTCAAAACATAATCCTAATTCGATTTGGATAAAGAATATTTTTTGTTTTTCCATTTTGAGCATGAATAAACAAACGGCTGGGGGTACCGACTCTGGAACAGGCAACATAAAGTTGGCCATATAAAAAACATGATTCCTCCAAATTCTCACCACAATCCCCAACTGAAAAAAGTTTCAATTTGACAGCAAAATCCCCATTAACAAATTGATCTGCCATTTATTGAATTAATTTGTTACAAAAATTGTGATAAAGGAAGAACCGCACGACCGATTTTATGCAAATTTCACACAAACCATCTACAAAATAGTCCGAACACAGCCTAAACATTTGGTTTGGAGTTATACAATTATAACGAAAAGTGGCATTGATTTTTATATACATAATATTATCTACATATCTATTATATGAGATGATTTTTTTTTTTTTTTTTTGTGGCCTACACAGGAACGCGCGCATGCGTCACGTGCATCAGGAGCAGGCCTTGGCCGCCGTCTTGCCACCAGCTGGGCCGCTAATGGATACGCCACGTGTGCGCATTTGGCTCGAGCTAGGCGGCCTGAATGGCTCCGGTTCTGTGGAGGTGGGCGTGGCCACGACACTCACCGTGCGCGCTATTGTGCCCGGCAACATTGGCGTGCGTGTCGTCGACTGTGCCGCACTGGATGGCCTGGGCGAGTCCACACAACAGCTGCTGGACGCACGAGGCTGTCCCATCGATGAACAGGTAGGTTTATTGCTAATTTGCGCAACTTATGGCCAAAGGGCTGCTGCTGATGCTGATGCGCTGCCTTACCGTTAGGCAAGACAATGTGATTAATTAGTGAGCAAGATCGTCGAACTTTCATTTTCAATAAGCGAAAGTAACAACCACAACAACAACTGCGAATTAACAAAATGCTTTGGATCGATAGATTGAATTTGCCAATCCATGTGCTGCAGGGTATCAAAAACAGTATGGTACCAATGGTGCCGTCCCTCCTGTGGCGATATATGCACATTTATATATGTATGTACATACATAGTTGTATATACTATATTCGCGCTCGCATCATTAATTCTAACAGTTGTTACGACACCGACGCGAACGCGCGCGCATTAAATGTGCGGCAAGCAAACTGTTAGACATAATTACGTTTGTAACGTTAGAACAGTTTGCGTTGTCGAAGCTACAAGCTACCAGTTTGGGTTTGTTGGTGTTGGCTGATGTTGCTTTGTGGCGTTGGTGGGCAGTCAAGCAATTAAAGCAAAGCCGCCACAACGACTGCCCGCCAACTGTTCTTCTTGAGTAAATTAGGAGGTCACAACAATTAGCCAAGAGTGAAATAGAAATATTTAGCATTTAACATTTTGACATGCTTTGGCTTTTGTCTTTCTGTATTTGTATTATTTAGCCACCAAAGAGCCGTGGCCATCAACATCGGCACACAACATACACACTTGTACAATCCACAAAACACAAAAGTGCCCGAAATGGGTCAAACAAATCTTCGGCTCTGCCACTGTCATTGCCATTGTGAGGCGCCAAGAAAGATCTCACGGCTTAATTTTTGTTTTATTTCTACGCCAGCACCACCACCAGCACCACAACCAGCCCACTAAATTTGCATTTTGTTTGTTTTATTGTTTTGCTAGTTGCTTGCCCACAATAACAGCAACAACAACAACAATAGCAACAACAGCAGCAGCAACGGCCACATTGGCTTCCGTCTCAGCGCATTTCATTTTCTTTGGGATCCGCGTCGCAGTTGCAAATTTATGCGCGCGCATCCATCACCAAGCATCCAGTTGATTTGTTTGGATTAGAAAACTTCTAGGTCACAGCATGGTAGAAAAGTGAAACAGACTTTTGTGTTGTTCTTGTCCAATTGTTGTGCTCAGCCCAGGCACACTTTATTTGTTTAGTCTCACACACACACACACACACACAAATACACGCACATGCCAGCAATGCGACCCACTCCGTTGACCCACAACTGGCAGTAGATCAGATGAATTTAAAAAAAAACTGCGCATATTTAATGCAGATATTTCTATGCATAGTTCCTTGTTCGCGTCATTTCAGTTCTAATTTCGAAATAACTCTATGCACACAAACAAATATGAAGCGTACTTTTAAGTAATATGTACATATATTAAAGATTAGTTAAAAATAACTTACATACATAACTTACATATCCAGCAAAAGTGAACATTTAATTAATCATTTTTGTTGTTACATATGTAGTAATGCATTTTGCGGATAGCCGCACAGCAAAGGGCGTGCGCAACTTTTACAAAAGGGGGGCCCAAAAAATAAAAATGTTGATTACATAAAGCATGATGCATTTAAAAAATAATGCTCTTGCCGGAAAGGATCAAACTATATACTATGGATGTTTTCAGATCTTGACACAAAATTTGTTGAGAATAAGAGTTGCATAAATAGCCTTTTTGGTATGAAACACAAGAAATTATCGCAAGACGTTGTAGATATAGAAAGAAAGAAAAGAATCTGAAACGGTTCGTTATTAAGTGGCTCGCACGGCCGCTCACACCGACACCAAAAATAACAATAATTGCACCTGCATTATTGTAAAAGAATACGCATTTTATTGTTTACTTCTTAGTGCATATTAATTTGTATTAGAAATGTTTAAAGTCGGTTTTTTTTTGGAATTTGGAACTGTACTTTAGGGAATTAAAATTTTTTCTTACACTTGGGTTTTTATTTTAATACATATTCTAAATGGCTGCGTATTTTTTATGTACAATCATACTTTGTACATAGTGAGGGCATATCGCAATTTGGAATTAAATGCTTCACTATTAAATATGCTTAGTTTAAAGACAAGTAAAGTGAAAAGCAAATTAGGATGAATAAAATTCACAGCACAGCTTTTTAGACAGCTTTTTATTTAGAGATAAGTTAATTATTTATTGCTACATTTAGTTTTATGAAGCATATATAATCTTTTGGTCAACATTCCTCTTGCCTTTTTAATTATAGAATTTTTAATTCAATATTTCAAAATGTGAACATCCAATATAACGACCAGTGTACACACACCCACTTGCGTACACAATACGCTAACAGTGCCACCATGTCCTGCAAAATGGCATCACTACAAAATACCGTAATGTCCTACACTCCAACTATCATTTTTTGAAATTTATTTTGCTAGAGTGCGCTTATCTGCATTTTTGAACTCGTTTGAACTTCCGCGGTGATTACTTTTGTAATTGTTATTGTCTTAAGATTCGCACACACACACACATGCACCCGCGCACTCACACAGCAGCAACACGTGCTTCGGTGTGTAAATTGAAACCCGCCAAGTGGACCGGCCATTCCAGCGCCAACTAATCAAAACTAATACATACGTACAAACCCTCACAGACACACTCACACAAAACAATAACAATGCGAGAAGCACATTCATTCCTACATACATAAATCACATGGGTGTGTAATTTCATACATTTCCACATGCATTTACATACGTACATACTATGTGCATATGTATGTGTGTATTTAGTGGGTAATTTGCCGTCTCATAGTAGCTGCATTGTTTTTGTCATTGAACTTGGCACATGACTCTTGGTGCCTTCCAGTTTTTGTAACGGAAGTGTCGACTGCACGTGTAACCGCCATGTGTGTACATAATATACTTACATATGTACATATGTATGTATGTATGTATGTCATCAACAATAATAATTGTATAACTTTTGATGAGAAACGGCGACATTAAAAAGTAAGCTGTTTAGGGCCCATCAAACTGGTTGGGTCAGTGACAACTATATAAAACTATGTATGTAATACATACTATGTATGTATGTATGTATATGGTGGCAGGTGTTGCGGCCATTGCTCTCCAAAACTACAAATACTCATAATTACATATGTACATACATATGTGCATATACATACATATGTACATATTTACGCATTCTATATGAGTCGAGTTTTTGTATCCTTTTCTAGGTTATGCCCGCCTTGCACACCCGACACAAGCCAGCCGAGGAGGGCTGGTCCAAGCAAGAGGAGGAAGATCTTGTGGAGCGTACATTTACAGCCACATTTCCCGCCTTCAAGTTTCCCGATCGCGAACGCTTGCATGTGAGTTGTGGCGTGCAGCTTTGCAAGGGGAAGTGTCCAAATGTGAGTATGCAAAAAACAAAAACAAAGAAGACCTAAAATGCATTTCAATTAATTGTAAAGAAAACGAAAGTGTTGCCATTGCCTTGGCTGTTGCTACTGTTGTTGTGCGCAGCAAAGCGTGCTGCTGTTGTTATTGCTGTTTGTTTATTGTTGCCGGTGGTTGCAACTAATTAATGTGGTTATTGCACCAAAATGCACTGAACTGAAGCCCATTAAGAGGCATTGCAGCAGGTACGCAGCAGACAGCTAGGCCGGCAGATGCAACAACTCTTGCCCAAGTTGTGGGTGGGTGTTGACTGACAATTTCTTTATACATCCATTGCCCAGCTCAATTGTCGCCTGGCCGAGCAGCAGCCGCAACTAAATGCTGATCTTCATCTAGCACGCATCGAGGTATTCAATTCGTTGGCAGTAACAGCTCCCCAAATAGAGGTAGATCGGCTGCGTTATGATCGGCGCTATAACATGAGCGGTAAGTTCCATCAACAAACTACTTATTTTTAATATTTTGAGAGTTAAAAAATTAGTATAGCGATGGTTAAAGTGCATGCGATTTTTAATAATATATGCCTTAATGTATTTAACTACTCGATACAAGCTAGTAACAACTTTTTTCTAGCACAATTAATTTTCTGAACAATGATCGCTGCTATTATGGTTATGTCATAATCAGTTCGGTTCCTTTTTCCCAATCCGATCAATTGTGTGTTGAAATCAACTCCTGTTCCTATATGAGAGGTACAATTTATTTTTAAAATATTACTAGAAATAATTGGAGAAAATATGACATTTTGCACGAATTGGAATAATAAACCAAATGCAATTCAATAAATTTGATTGTAATAGGACCGATTTAGTCTAGAATTGGGAAAACGTTTATTGAGGCTGACTAGCTTAAACGATTTTCTTAAAACAAGCGCTTACTATCTTTTTACATTTATACTGTACTCTTGACCATCTTTTTAGTAGAGGAGTACGCACCAAATGTTCGTCCTCTACCCAGTGAGGGTACGCTCTGTCTATCCATCTCCAAGCTAGCCATATCCTTTTGCATACTTGGCCTGATATTCCTTGTGGCTGTCATCGTGGCGATATTTTCGCTAATACGCACCCGTCGGCGCGAACGACGTCGTGGCATCGGTGACTTGGGCAGTGGTGGAATCGGTGGAACGACCACTTCGAATAGCAGCAGCCGTCTTCAACGTGCCGACATCTGCACATCCATGTTTTCCTCAAGGTCAGTATCACACATGATAGTGCTAGTATGGTAACAAGAAAAATAAATAAATCCTCCACTTATCGACATCTCGTAAACATTAAAAATAAGGTTTATATTTTACCTTCAAGTTGTAATACTATTTACATACTATTCTTTATATTTATATATATTTATACAGCAGCGAGTCAGCGCAGTCAGCGCCCCGCTTTGGAGGCAAGTTTCTGATGCCCTACTATCCGAATACCTTGCCCTACGGACGTGTGTACTAAATAGCGCCACCTCCCGTGTCTTCTGAACCTAACTTTTCTCTCGTCTTTGGGCATGCTTTGGTTCACCAATTCTATAGACTGATGTGGCTTAAACCTCAAAACCCTGGAATTCGTTTAACGAAAACGCAACGAAAATAGCAAACTAAGTTTTATTTTGTAGCTATTATTTGAAAGCTCCTTGAAAACATTTTATTGGATTTTCCCTTAAAATGTGCTTTAATGAGCTTTCATCAATTATTTTAGTACTTACAAAAATTTTTTTTTCCATGTACCTATTAGTTTAACATATCTTATTGTGCAATCGTAATTAAATTTACAAGTTTATGAGTAAACTAAAAACAATAATATTCTTTCTCTTCTTTTTTCGCTACACGTTAGTGAGATTGATTGAAAAAGTTACATAAACAATGATTTGTAACTAATAAACAAGCATAATGTAAGCTTAAGTCATGAAAAACATGCTTGGAATTATTTATGCACAAAAGGTGAGTTCCTAGTTGCCTTCGCAAAGTTGACATTGGCCAATCCCGAGCACTTTTGTTTGCATTGTTAACTTAGTGATCAATTGAAAATAGTTATAGCATCATACACATTTTTTGCCTTCAAGCATCATCATCAGTGAATTCGAAAAAATTAACAGAAATTCAAAGAATATTGAAGATTTTGAAAAGATGCCAGAAGCATTTTCTAGTGCTTTGGCTTGAACCAGTGCTGCCACCCATCAACAGATTAGAGGGTGCACGCTATTCCGATATCGATTTCGACAGACTGGCCTTCACAGCTGATTTTGACTTCAAGAAGAAGAAGAAGCAGCACGTGCACTTTGGGCACCGCACTTTCGAAGCGTTTAATTTATGCGCAATTTTTATTTGTAAACTAATCTGTAACCATAAAATCTTGACCCACAAAATGTCCTCGGCGAGGGCTACTGGCCGAAAGCGATATTTTGATGCTGCCACAGCAAACGTCGCGGATCGGGACTTGCAACCCGTTAAGTTAAAGCGAAAGAGTCAACAAAATTTCAAAGGCGATTTTGTTGTTACGCATGCACAGCATAAAAAGGAGCATGTCCGACCCTTTCAGAACAAACGCTTTGGAAATGATGTGAAGCCGAACCCGAAGCCGAAGAAGCCAAAAGTACCGCAGCACCTGTTGGATAAATATTCACGTGGTGGCCAGGTAATGTCGAAAGGCGTTAAGACGAAGCACTTTCAGCAGCAGCAAAAGCGGAAGGAAGTGTATCTAGAGTATGCCGAAGAGCAGGCAGCACGTACAGAGCTGCTGCTCCAGGAGGCGCCCGGGATGTTGGAGGCGGATAAGGAAGAGATCACAGCAAACTACCGGCAGGCTGAGATTGCAGCCAATCTCGATTTACAGTCGGCAGCGAAGCATTTCCAACTGAATCTCGACTTCGGTCCTTACACTTTGCGTTACACAAAGAACGGTCGCCACTTGTTACTGGGCGGCCGGCGGGGACATGTTGCAGCGTTCGATTGGATCACAAAACGGTTGCATTGTGAATTTAACGCCACCGAGAGCGTAGTCGATGTGCAGTGGCTTCATGTTCCCACAATGTACGCTGTGGCGCAAAAAGAATGGGTTTACTTCTACGACAAAAAAGGAACCGAACTTCACTGCGTCAAGCGTTTGACACGCGTAAATCGCCTTGACTTCCTGCCCTACCATTTTCTGCTGGCTGCCGGTAATAGCAAGGGTTTTGTCTCTTGGCTGGATGTATCTATAGGCGAGCTGGTGGGTAACTATAACACGGGCCTGGGTGACATAAGACTCATGCGTCACAATCCTGCCAATGGAGTTTTGTGCATAGGCGGCGGCAAAGGCGTTGTCTCTATGTGGTCGCCCAAGGTGCGCGAACCACTGGCCAAGATGCTGTGTCATCCAACGGCAATGACGGCACTAACTGTGGATCCCAAGGGCCAGCACCTTGTAACCGCCGGTCTGGATCGTTGTGTTAAGGTGTGGGACATACGGCAGCTTAACGATAAGCCACTGGCCGTATTCCGTCTGCGTCTGCCCGCTAACGAGGTGGAGGTGTCACAACGCGGTGTGCTAGCTCTGTCCCAGGGCACCTATTTAGAAATGTACACAGATCTTTTAACCGGCGGGGGTACCCGATTCGGCGACATAGCCCCCTACCTGCGCCATCGCTGCGACTCATTTGTGCACTGCCTGCGATTCTGTCCATACGAGGATATTCTCGGTGTTGCAACCGCCACCGGGTTCCAATCCTTATTAGCGCCTGGCTCTGGCGAGCCCAATTTCGATGCGCTTGAAGACAATCCTTATGAGACACGCAAGCAGCGACGCGAGCACGAGGTTCACGCTTTGCTGGAAAAGATACCGCCCGAGCTAATAACGCTAGATCCAGAAGACATAACAGCCGTCGATGCACCTACGTTAGAAGAAAAGATTGATGCTAAACGGCAGCTATTCCACCTGAAGCCGCCTCGTATTGACATGAAGACGCGCCACAAAATGAAGGGCCGTGGTGGCACCGTAAAGGCGGCGCGTAACAAGCAGATAGTGAAGGATCAAAAGCGAAAGGTATGTACAAACATATAATGTGATCAATCGACGTCACAAAATTTTCATCTTCCGTCTCCTTTACTCTCAGGAGTTTATCGCAGATATTCGCGAGGCCAAGAAAAACGTTATTGCAACACATCGGCAGAGAAAGAGTAGCGGCGGCGACAACAACGATAGTGCGGAGCCATCCGTACGCTCGGTATTGGATCGATTCAAGCCCAAATACCAAAAGAAGCAGAAACACCAGAACTGATTGCAAGTTTGGTTGGGCTATTTTAATTATTTTAATTCAATCCAAGAAAAAATGTGTACTGTGGTTCATTTCGGAGAACTTTGTATATGAATAATTAAAAAACAATTCCAATACGTGATTGAAGATATCCTAAATCCAATTATTAAATACTTCGACGGGATGGATACCTTTTGGGGTGTGTCACGGCTTCTTTTTGGCTAAAAATATCAAACGGTTTATGTGTCGATAATTAGCTTACAATTAGGGATAGATTACCTCATACTACCTTATTAAAGATTGTTTAGAATACGTACAAGTACTGTTTTTTTTATGATTTATTTCAAATGAAAATATTGATATTGTCTTTGGCTATTTATATTCTGTACATAAAATGTACAAGAGTATATTAGGTTTGCGGGAGCTGAAAATGTAACCGGCAGAAGGAGGCGTGGCAAACCCCATAAAGTATACATATATATTCTTGATCAGCATAACGAGACGAGTCGATCTAGCCCTGTCTGTCCGTATGAACACCTGGATCTCAGAGACTATAAGAGCTAGAGACACCAAATTTTGCACAAAGATGCCTTATGTGTGTACGCTGTGCAAGATTGTTTTATTTTTTTTATTTCCCCCCCCTCCCCCCCCACTTACCCCCTATGGGCGTTTTCCCGATTTTCCATTTGTATTATCGCCTATATCTCGAAGACTATAAGACCTAGGGACACCAAATTTTAGTCCCAGGTGCCTTATGTGAATACGCAGAAAATGTGTATTTTGGAATTTCCCTCTCTCCCCCCTCTCCCTATCATATCGTAACTCCCGCAATTCTTGGAATTTCGAACTCAAACTTGGCAAATACCTCCATTTAGTTATAGGTTTCATTATGATAGGCCGATTTAACAGGATGTTATAGTCATATATGTACATAAGACCAAGTAGTGCCCGCAGCTGTTGTTGTTGTTACTGCTTTGCTCAGGCACACGAGACATACACAGACAAACACAAATCCACACATACACGCATAATTATTCTACACATATGTACAGAGTATTTCAAAGTCGGTTTGAAGAAAATGAACTTTTTATGACTCAACGTTTTCGTTGATATTACATAGATATTTGAAGATAAGGTCAATAAATGCCTTTCAAACTAATGTAAATGAACAGATGAAACACTTAACCATATTAGAGGATACGAAATTTAAACCCTCAAGCCCTTTGCCTCATTTACCATCTTGAAACCCTAAACACATCCATTAGTTAGCTCTAATTGTAAATCTTTCGAAACTGTTGTTGCACATCATAAAATCTTATCCTTATACCACTGGCATTTTGAGAGATTGAATTTTAACGCGTGCTTAAAAGTGTTGTTTAAAATATATTGCTTTACATCAGGTACTTAAAAATATACGAAAAACTGTATTGAACTATTTTATTATGCGTGTTAAAGCAAAGCAGGGCAATAGTTTGCAGGGCGGCCCGTTATCATATCCAAGTAAATTTAGTTGTGAAAACTTATTTTAAGAGAGGCGATACTATCAACCTCCCCTTACTGTCTAGGGGTAGGTAAGCATGCATCTAAAGTAGCTGGTGATACGCTCATCGACAGAACTGGCCTCCAATTGCTGCAAGCACTCGTTCAGCTTCTCCTTGCTCTGATTCCCGTTGCAGTCACGCGCATAATAGAAAAGATTCAAAACGCGCTTTTTGCTTTCAAATGCATCGTCCTTGTCTGTGTTAGTGGCATCTGCTCCTTGACCTGCTCCAGTCATCTGCAGTTGCTCGATGTGCGCCACTATGGCGTTTGCGTTCTCCACCAGCGCCATCATAAAGACACGATTCAGCTGTCGGCACAGCGTCGACATAGCGCATAATGTGGATTCGCTCACAGTCGGCTTGAGCAGCAGCTGTGGAAGATAGCCCAGAAATATGGCGAATTGCTCATCGCCGCCGTAGGCTGCAAAAAGATCTGCGTGCTGAACAATGAGGCAGAGTGTGTGAAGTAGACGAGTGGCGACGCCTTCACGAGTTGTGTAGCGTTGCTGTACGTAGGCTTCCATGGTGGTGCGCAGAAGTGCGCTCGTAGCTTCTGGCTGCACCTTCAGCAATGCAGCACCATTGTCATGGAGCAGAGCACGCAGAGCGGCAACCAGTCGCAGCTGCTGCTCCGGCCCCAAATTGTTGAGGTCCTGCAATCGCTGTTGCAAATATGATAACAGGCGTTCGTAGGTGGCCGTAAGCTGTGATGTGGCCGGTTGCGGGTTAAAGTGACTCATTAGCTGCACCAGAGATAGGTTTTGTAGTACACAGAATGGATCAACGCTAGTATCGGCCTTTTTTGTACGTTTGGTGGTCTTTGCAGCTGTAAGGATTAAAGATAATTAGTTTGGAATTGGCATTCAAGAAACTAAAACGCAACCAACCTGGAGGCACCATCTGCTCATAGGGAAAGTAGTCGGCGTCCAGAAAATTGCGCACGAATGATGCTGCAAAGGTGGTGCGCGTCCAAGAGCTCAGTTCGAGCGTGTTAGTAGCCGCTTCGTGCTGGTTCACCAGTGTCCACAATTGCATCATGATCTCAAGGAGGACGTGAAGACTGGTGGCCGCCTCACCAGTGAGCAGAGCTCGCTGTCTTTGCGTTATTGTCGTTGATGTGCTCTGAACCGGCTGTGGTCGCACCTCCAGCCAATTGTCTATCAGCAATGGCATCAGCTGCTCCACATAAGTACGCAGTTGTGTGTCCGGGCCCTCAACTTTGTCCTCAGTACTCAAACCGAAAAGTTCGCATGATTCATTCGTACTCAACTGTTTTGGACGAAGCACGCCATAATACTGTGGCGTCTGTGCATCAAACATAACGACACGGGCCGGCTTGCTGGAGCCTTTACTATTGTTGTGCTGCACCAGTGTGCTTAAGATCTGATACAAGCGTTGAAGCACTTTCGTACGCCACTTAATAGTTGTCTGTTTGCCATGACCCAGCTGCAGAGTTAGTGTGCGGTTGGACCGCTCGTTGTCGTGGCGGGCACGTGATATCATGCCGATAAAATTGCCAATAATGGTGTGTGCGCTGCGTTCAGCCAGTAGCTGAGGTGGAAGGCGATGGAGTAACACGTCCAGCATGAGGAGTGAGTCCTCCTGGATGGCCGGCAGCACATGCGTCATGGCACAGCGCAGGTAAGTGGCAAGTATGTGAAAGAATGGCGTCACAGCCTGTGGTTGAAGGTTCTCCAGCACAGCGTCGAGTGTCTTGAACGATTCTCGGCGGGCATCGGGCTCAATATCAAGTGCACCGGCAGCTATGCCTTGCAGCAGCTCTGTCAAATGGCCAATTAGGTGGTTGGCCGTACCTGTCTTGACGGAGTCGCGCACGTTCCGTAAGGCATCTGAGCGAAACTTGAGGCTGTGGTGCTTCAAACGTGACAGCGTCTCCTTCAGATTCAATTGGCGCTGGCCGCTCTCATTTATCACTGAATCCTTCAGCTGTTCGCGTATCGCGATCTTGCGCACCTTGAAGTCGGTTTTGGTAACGTTCAGACCTTTGGGCAACTTGGCTCCCTTTAACTTCACTTTTGCCTTCTCGGAGCGCAAATTCTTCTTGTGGTGGCCTCCCATTTCGCATCAAAAGAAACAGTACCGGCACCCACCAACATGTGGCTGTGGCGCAATAGCGTTGCCACCTATTTGGGTTTATAAATTAACGATATTAGAGATGTGAAACTAATAAACATTTTTTTCATACTTTCATTTTCATAACCATTATTATGAAGCAACTTATCTTGAAGAATAAAATAAAAACTTGGCCCAGTATTATGGCTTTGGCATTCAACTTTCTAGCACCTAACTGTCTGTTCTATGCCTTTATTATAATTATCAAATATATAAAAAGAAGTTAACTTTTGCTCATTTTTGTTTTACAAATAGGAATAAAAACAACTCATTTGGAAACAATTTTTTTAAAGTTTAAAAATAAATTGAAATGCTATACAAGCTTTAATAAAATGAAGGAATTCCTCTATATTTATGCAAAAAAAGTATTAAAACGGTAAATTTTCATACTTGTAGTTTTGTGAGTGCTGCCCCCTTTTAGATAGAGATTGGTTACTTTAATAGAAACCTCTTTTGAAACTCTGTAGGTATTTGTATATCGGGCAGCTAAAGCAAATCATTCTAGTAGTCTATGCAAAAGATGTCAACCTGAAATGGTTTGATATTCTCAGTTTTCTGCTAATGTTCGGAGTGCTTCTACAAATAATATTTAAAACAGTCAGTAATTAACAATAAAAAAATCAAATATTATTTGGTAAACTGTAACTGTAAACTATTTGTTTGACATTATTTAAAAGCCATAACTCTGTTCTTAGATCTCATCGAATGTGCGTTTGTCATTGTGAACTACTGACCATCCTGTATTGGCTTAGCTGGTAAGTGAACAATAATGTCTGTCGAATCTATATACAGTTTCTACTTAAACAAAATCCTTCAGCTTTCCACTTGAAATTGTCTTAAGTTCAGTCAAGATTTTCTGAAAAGGATTCAAAAATGGTCAAAATAAAAGAGCTAACAAATTCGTATTCGCCCGATGATTTATCGTCTTCTGATTCTGACGATAATTCATATCCAAATTCGAATGCTAGTTTTATGCATGGATCGAGTACGGCGGTGAATGAGGGACTTGGACAACCGTATGCAGGTGTACCCAACAGGGGCGGATTTTGGCAATGGCACCAAGGCTATGAAATGTTTCCTTCGCATATACCACATCAGTATCCTCCATATCCCTACCAGCAATATTTGCAGCCAACTACATCTTTTATGATATTTAATCCAATGAACGGTTTTATTCAGAGACCCTTTCAAACAGTACCGCCTACTACAAGAGTAAACGAGGCAAAATGGCAGTCAGGGAACGAACTGCGAACAAATGGTTCAACAACAGGAAACAATTTTAGCACAAAATACTATGACGAGACGAATGCAAAAGAAAAAGAGGACTCAGAAGATTCGCAATCGGGCGATCAAATGGGGGAAGAGGATAATGAATCGGAAGAGACAAGCTCTGAAGGATCCGATTCAGAAACAGAATCGGAAAAGAACGAATTAGTAGGCACCGATTCACTGGATGAACCGAAATGCTTGGAAGAGAATGAGTCGACAACAGAAGACGAATCAGACTCGGAAGAGCCGGAGATGTTAACAAAGCCGGTGCAGAAATATGCCGACAGAGTATATCGCAATTTTGAAATTGGACGCGAAGATTTTACCCGGGTTCCGCTAAAACTTGAGAAGGACTTATTAGAGGAGGATGAGGTGGAATCGGAAGGCTTGAGAGACGAAATTGAAGAGTCGTCAACAGAAAGCGAATCTGACCCTGAAGAACAGCAGACGGCATCACAGCCCGTGCAGAAATATGCGAACAAGCATGAAGTTCCCAATCCGGTTCCTCTACAACTTAGCCACATTAAACCATCATCACGTGGAATGATCCTTAATAGAGCTAGCACATCGTTCATGAAGCAAAATGCGGAATTGGACGAGATCGAATCGGAAAAAGACAAATTAAAGAAGGTCGAATCCGAAGAGAATGAAACGACCACAGAATATGAATCGGACTTGGAAGAGCAGGATGAGGCATCAAAGCCCATGAATAAATATACCGACAGACGCGAAGATCCGAATCGAGTTCCGCTAAATTTTTACCACTTAAGACAATCATCGACAGGTTCGACAGAGAAAGAAGAAGAGTCGTCAACAGAGGACGAATCAGACAATCCTACATATCCCTACAAGCAGCATTTGCAGCCAGCTACATCTTCTATGATATCTAATCCAATGCACGGTTTTATTCAGAGGCCCTTTCAAACAGTACCGCTCACTACAAGAGTAAACGATGCAAAATGGAAGTCAGAGAATGAACTGCGAACAAATGGTTCAAAAACAGAAAACAATTTTAGCACAAAATGCTTAAAATACGTTGACGACACTAATTCAAAACAAAAAGAGGATTTAGAAGATTCGCAATCGGAAGATCAAATGGGGGAAGACGATATGGAATCGGAAGAGACAAATTCTGAAGGGTCCGATTCAGAAACAGAATCGGAAAAGAACGAATTAGTAGGCACCGATTCACAGGATGAACCGAAATGCTTGGAAGAGAAAGAGTCGACAACAGAAGACGAATCAGACTCGGAAGAGCCGGAGGAGCCGGAGATGTTAACAAAGCCGGTGCAGAAATATGCCGACAGAGTATATCGCAATTTCGAAACTGGACGCGAACATTTTACCCGAGTTCCGCTACAACCTGACCAGGACTTAGTAGAAGGGGAAGAGGTGGAATCGGAAGACGAAATGGAAGAATCGTCAACAGAAAGCGAATCTGACCCTGAAGAACAGCAGACGGCATCACAGCCCGTGCAGAAATATGCGAACAAGCATGAAGTTCCCAATCCGGTTCCTCTACAACTTAGCCACATTAAACCATCATCACGTGGAATGATCCTTAACAGAGCTAGCACATCGTTCATGAAGCAAAAGGCGGAATTGGACGAGATCGAATCGGAAAAAGACAAATTAAAGAAGGTCGAATCCGAAGAGAATGAAACGACCACAGAATATGAATCGGACTTGGAAGAGCAGGATGAGACATCAAAGTCCATGAACAAATATACCGATAGACGCGAAGATCCGAATCAAGTTCCGCTAAAATTTTACCACTTAAGACAATCATCGACAGGTTCGACAGAGAAAGAAGAAGAGTCGTCAACAGAGGACGAATCAGACAATCCTACATATCCCTACAAGCAGCATTTGCAACCAGCTACATCTTCTATGATATCTAATCCAATGCACGGTTTTATTCAGAGGCCCTTTCAAACAGTACCGCTCACTACAAGAGTAAACGATGCAAAATGGAAGTCAGAGAATGAACTGCGAACAAATGGTTCAAAAACAGAAAACAATTTTAGCACAAAATGCTTAAAATACGTTGACGACACTAATTCAAAACAAAAAGAGGATTTAGAAGATTCGCAATCGGGCGGTCAAATGGGGGAAGAGGGTAATGAATCGGAAGAGACAAGCTCTGCAGGATCCGATTCAGAAACAGAATCGGAAAAGAACGAATTAGTAGGCACCGATTCACCGGATGAACCGAAATGCTTGGAAGAGAATGAGTCGACAACAGAAGACGAATCAGACTCGGAAGAGCCGGAGGAGCCGGAGATGTTAACAAAGCCGGTGCAGAAATATGCCGACAGAGTATATCGCAATTTCGAAACTGGACGCGAACATTTTACCCGAGTTCCGCTACAACCTGACCAGGACTTAGTAGAAGGGGAAGAGGTGGAATCGGAAGACGAAATGGAAGAATCGTCAACAGAAAGCGAATCTGACCCTGAAGAACAGCAGACGGCATCACAGCCCGTGCAAAAATATGCGAACAAGCATGAAGTTCCCAATCCGGTTCCACTACAACTTTACCAAACTAAGTCATCATCATGTGGGATGATCCTTAATAGAGCTAGCACATCGTTCACGAAGCAAAAGGCGGAATTGAACGAGATCGAATCTGAAAAAGACAAATTAAAGAAGGTCAAATCCGAAGAGAGTGAAACGACCACAGATAATGAATCGGACTTGGAAGAGCAGGATAAGGCATCAAAGTCCATGAACAAATATACCGATAGACGCGAAGATCCGAATCAAGTTCCGCTAAAATTTTACCACTTAAGACCATCGTGGCCTGATAGCATTAGGACTTTAATAGAGAAGGAAGAGGGCGAATCGGCTGGTTCGACTGAGGAAGATGAAGAGTCGTCAACAGAGGACGAATCAGACTTGGACGAGCGAAAGAAGGCAGCAAAACCCGAGCAGATATATGCGTACAAGCACGAACATCCCAATCAAGTTTCGCTACAACTTGAACAAAAAGACGATATAGAATCGGAGGACTCGGTAGATGCCACATCGGTGAAAGAGAACGAGTCGACAACAGAAAACGAATCAGAGTCGGAAGAAGGTTCAACGTCTGTTCGGAAATATTCTGACAGAGCATATGGAAATTCCCAAACTACTCGGAAAGATCCCTATCTATTTCAAGTAGACAACATGAAAGTATCACCGCATTACCAGAATCTTATTAGAGCAAGTGTTTTAGCGCAAAAACAGCAAATAAATTGGCCTAACTTCAAAAAACTAGAAGAAAAACAGTCGATTAAAGAAGTGACACAGTCACCTTTGGTTCTACAAGCAATTGAGAGGAAACCTGAGATATTAAATACCTTTCACAATCCGAATAGGAAACGTAAACTACAAGAAAAGCAACAACCAACAAATAATTTGAAGCAGCATTCGATTAATCAAAAAGAACAACAAAACAAAAGAAAAAAATGGAATAACTTAAAATGAACCTATATTGGACCGTCCGAAAAAGAAATGTAGAATGTGAGGAAACATAAATATAATTATCATTAAAATAAATAAAGAAGCTATTTTAACATTAAATTGTTTCAAACCAAATATGATTTTGTTTCGTTTTTGAAACTGATGAAACTGATTTAGGTATTTCTAGCCAGTTTTTAAAATAACCAAATACCGATTGCTGATGACAAATGCACTGATATAGTATTTTTGAAAATCATGTAGGACTTATTTCACAATTTCAAACTTGGTATTAAGGTGCTGCCAGCATTCGGTCACACTCTGCCTAGTGCATTTTTGGCCTGAGTGGTAGAATTTTGCATACATTTTCGCATCAAAAAAAGTGCTTTAATTAGTAAAAGTGTTTTGAAAATTGTACGCAAGTTAAGGTAAGTACAAATGCAAAGTGCGTAATGTATTTTAAAAAAAGCAGCACGGCCACATAACGCCAAAATAATGTGAGAAAATTGTAATACAGTGTGTCTGTGTGGTGCCGCTACTTTGCGTCGATGTTGCCACACTACGCGAAGCGCGCTGTTGCTTGAAGCCAAGTTGGAACACTTGGACCATGGATTATTACATTTAAATATGGAAACTAACATAAATCAACTTAATACCGAAAAGTACAGTATAAAACAGCTAATACTTGTGCGTGCGGGCCAATTACAATGCTAATAAATGCTTAAATTAAGCCCCTAATTTCAATGTGGCCGATTTCCACACGGGTGTGCACTACAAATTTCACTACTCGAGGTGTCTTTTTTTATTTCTGAAATTTCTTCGCTGCTACTGGTGCGTGCTTCTTCTTATTGCTCGGCACATTTTGTGTGAGCGCTTGTCAAAATACGCGTACAACATTTTTTTTTTCGTTCGTACATTGTATGAAAATCGAGTTAGTGTGTTCAAACAACCTGAAACTGAAGTTACATTTATAAAATAAAAATCTAAACGAAACGCCCGGGCACAGAGTCGAGGAAATTATATATCTTTACCACAATTCGCTTCTTCGTTTACTTCGCGAGTTACGTTTCTTAACTGCTCCGTGTCCGTGCCCGTGCCCGCTACCACCGCCTGTCCGCCTGCGCCCTCTTATGGTTTTTCAACAATAAATTCGTTTGCAGTAAATTACGCAAAATAATTCCTTTAATGTACGTTTTCTGAGAACTGCAAGGTAGACAGGCGGCAGTGCGGCCCCAAACTGAACAGCCATTACGGCTCCTCAGGTCGCAACCGAAACGTGCAGTCGCCCTGCCCCTGTCAAGATTTCTTACATGATCAGTAAAATTTGGCATCTACCCTTTTTTCTCCTCTCAACAGCAAAATGAGCAGCTCCGAGGAAGTCTCTTGGGTTACCTGGTTCTGCGGGCTTCGTGGCAATGAGTTCTTCTGTGAGGTAAGCAGCCTTTGGAATTTCAATTTCAGTTCTGTGTGTTATCTAAGCGCGCGCACCGGAACTAGCGCCAATGCAGGCGCCGCCACACTTGACTATCACGTCAATTGCGGCCGTACGCACAAATATATATTAACGCTCCAGGTTGCTGACAAACTGTACACGATTTAATAGGATCGCACAGTCAGCCAACAAAACAGATTTTCAACCAGTTATATGTATATATTGTCTCATTTGAACTCAGGTGGACGAGGACTATATTCAGGACAAATTCAATTTAACTGGTTTAAATGAACAGGTGCCCAACTATAGGCAGGCCTTGGACATGATATTAGATTTGGAGCCCGGTAGGTGCTACTCTCACATTCATATCCATCCATATGCACACATGCACATTGCCTTCCCAACTTATTGATGAATTGTGTTGATTTCAGAGGACGAGCTCGAGGACAATCCCTTGCAATCGGATATGACCGAACAGGCGGCTGAGATGCTTTATGGTCTCATACACGCTAGATATATTTTAACAAATCGCGGCATCGCTCAAATGATTGAGAAATATCAAACTGGCGACTTTGGACACTGCCCACGTGTCTATTGTGAGAGTCAGCCTATGCTGCCCCTAGGTTCGTATGGCAATTTGTTATTATATTGATCTTTATAACTAACTTATCTATCTTTATGCCTCCTTTTACAATTCAGGCCTGTCGGATATTCCCGGTGAGGCAATGGTTAAGACCTATTGTCCGAAATGCATTGATGTCTATACACCAAAATCATCGCGTCATCATCATACTGATGGCGCCTATTTTGGCACTGGATTTCCACATATGCTCTTCATGGTGCATCCTGAGTATCGTCCCAAGCGTCCTACTAATCAATTTGTTCCACGGTAAGGACAAAATAGCGCCCAAACACACATAAAAACCAATTTGTCAATCTCAACCAACTTTTTTCTAATCAAAACTCATCTTCTTGTTTGTGTTTTTCATGCCCTTCCGATCGACTGAACTGCCAAAACTTCGACCACAATATGAACAATCACCAGGCTGTATGGCTTTAAAATACACAGCTTAGCTTATCAAATTCAGCTGCAGGCAGCAGCCAATTTTAAAATGCCACTACGAGCGGTAAATTCAAAATGAAATTTTTTTAAAACCTTTTATTGACTAAAAAAAAAACAAAACAAAAAACTACACTAAATGAAAAACATGCGACAAAAGTCAACTAAGCATATATTTTTTTATTTGTTTCTCTCCCCACACATACTACCGACCACCACCACCACCACCGACAACCACAAACACCACCTAATGGTCATCAACGACAACCAATTTGAAATTCGAATTTGAACAAAAACCAACATAATACTGCATACGTAACGTCGTCTGTGTGTCTACTACGTGTTTTCTGTCTGATAATACAATATCTCTGTCTGCATCTGATCTCTATATACCAAAAACGACACGTACGGAACCACAAACAAAAAATATACACACAAAAAACACAAAAAAAAAACAACTCAAAACAAAAACAAACCATACACAACATGTGTCTAGAAAAACTAATTCAAAACACACGCATCGAACACATAACAAACACACACACACACACACACACACACACGCAACCGTAAAACCCATAAAACATTGCATTTTGCACATATATATATACACATATATATATATATATATATACATATATACACACATACATATGTTTAAAGAAACGAGAGACATAGGTTCAACGTCAGAAAAAAATACAGACAATTACAGACAAGAAACAATTGCAGAAAGAAAGAAAGAGAGGAGAAGAATCATTTATATAAAGGCAAAAAAAAAACAAAAACAAAAGAGAAAAACAAAAACTTAAAATTTAGATACAAATAAAACTGCGTTTATATTTTAAAGCAAAAAATCATGCAAATAAAATCGTAGTGAAGTGAAAAAGTGAAAACAACCAGTAGTAGAAAATGTATTTAAATCAACAAGAAACAAAAAGAATTAAAAACGAAACGAGTACGGATAAAATATGAAGTTTTCTTAAAGAGTACATAACACACATGCACATAAACACAGGCGGACCACACACACACACCCCCACCCACCCCCACACACACTCACAACCACAGCTGACGTTCATACATCATGCAGCCAAGAAGAAGTTGAAAAGCTCATTAGTAGGAAACTTATAAATTGCTAACAGAGCGATATAAATTCATTTAACCTTTCCATTGATTACAGAAAAGTAATATCATGCACATACGCCACATATAAAAATATTCAAATGTGGGCCAAACACGTTTCAATCGATCTTCCTTCTGTGGGCGCATTTTACAGGAACAACTGTAAATAAAGATGATGGTGTGTAATCATATTAATCATAAACCAACATGTAGACGAATTGTTTGCGATCAGAATGAAGCGTGTATGGCCCGCATAACACAACAGTGTGTACATAAGTATGTTAGCAGGCAGGAAATAACAAACCACATGAACACTAAATAGACGGAACAGTTAAGAGAGAGAAACTCTCTGCTCCTCCATTCACACATAGCAGAAGCAAAAACTCCCACTCACACACACATTTACGCTCAATTGTTGCTGGTTGCATTTTTTGCTTTTCTCATAATTTTAACAAATCTGTTTTTTTTTTTTTTTGTTTTGTTGTCTATCTATTTTCTTTTGACTTTTGTTTTGCTGTTTGATTTAAACAATTTACATATGTGTGTATGAGTAGTATGTGTGTAATTTTTGTTTTGCTATTTCTTGTGTTTGTTATGTGCGGGACAATGTTACCACAACACTTTAAGCAAAAAACTTAGAGTATGTTAGACAGAGAAGAAGATAGAGAGATATCAGGAGATGTTGAGGGTGATACGAAAGAGAGTAATGTAACGTAAACATACAACGATATAAGCAACATAGTACTTCCAATTACCTAAATACAATACAAATCCAAATACATACATCAACAACAACCACAATAATAATAAATTTAAAAATAATAATAATAGTTATAAACGCATTTATAAACGTTAATAATAATGTTTAAAACCTGCTCACTAATATAGCAAGAAGTAGTCGAGATTAGCGAGTTGCCCTTAGAATCGACATAAGCTCCAAGCAAGATAAAAATTCAATCAATCAACCAATTAATCAGAAACGGCAAACATACCAAGCAGCAAACAACGAGCAAATGTTACACAAAAATTGGATACCAGAATGCCCCTGGGCCAGCACACACCCAAAACCATTCATCAGCACGCTCAGTCCATCATCCACACTAACACATGCATCCACATACAAATATAACGAATAATAATATACATACATACATATATGCCTACATACGTCCTCAACGCAAGTGAAGCAAGAAATCAACGAATCAAGCAAGCGGATATCAAGCCAAGTCACAGGCACTGGCCTGCTACCGGTTCAACAATCAATCAGTCAATCAGATCAAGCCCAACCCATCATGCACTTGCAGTTGTTCATCACATGGCCGGTGTGTACACACTGCCTCCAATTGCCTTATCTGCTGTACGAAAAAGCAATAACAAAAAGCAAACAAAAAAGAAAAATGAAAATGCAGCGCACAAATTCGTTAAACTTACTACAAATGCATTATAAAGAAAAGATACAGCAGTACATCATTATATAGATCAGTGGTTTATTGATTTTTATATATTTGTAATTTATTACATTGATTGAAAAACAATGCTTGTTAAAAGGCAGCGGACAGCTGCCGCATAATAAAAAAAAAACATTTTAAAAAAACTAAACATAATATATATATATATAGAACATAACAATAAACAAAAAGTAACCTTAGAGCTGGGAAGCAGCTACTTCATGCATCTACATATACTACATACATCTTCTACATATTGGTAGCAAAAAATAATTGGGTGTGTGTGTGTGTGTGTTTAACAATATCGAAGCTGTTTTTTGTTTCAAGAACGTAGCATAACGAATTTAGTTCTTTAAGGGTCCTAATAAAGTAGTTTTGTGTTTTTTTTTATAATTATTATTATTCTCATATTTTATAAATATATAGTTGAATCAAGTTAAAAATTTGTACGAAACTCTTTAAGTATTGCCAAATTAAAAAAAAATAATAATTTAAATTTTGTGTGCAGTCAAATAAAAAAAAAAAACATACATACATATACATACATAAAAAAAATGAAAGAAAGAAAAACGAGAAAAGCACGTAACAATAACAGTGAACATTTTTTTAAGGAAATTAGCAATAAAAGTATATATACAAACATAATATAAAAACGATTCAAAGACAAAGCGTAAAGAGAAGAGCGTTGATACCGAGTACGACAAACTTGTTTACAATTGAAAACTGATTAAATTTAAAACGAAAACAAATGATAGAGAAAACCAGAGAAGAGGAAAAGTAATAATAACAATAACTAAAATAATAAAATGGAAATTGATATTTAATACAAGTAACGAGGTGTATCATTTTAGATTTTAGCTCACGCACACATACACATACATATGTAGTAGATACTTATACATATATTATACATTCATATGTAGGTATAAGGTGCAAAATTTCAACTTCAGCCATTACCACCAAATGCACATGTGTCCCATCTCCATTTTTCTCACACACAGATACTATATACACAAACTGGCATGAGAGAGTGCATGTGTGAGTGTTTGTGGTGTGAAATAATTTAGCGATATACTGTAAAAGTTTTGTGATCCTGACTGTTCGTTCTGTGTCCGCCCACGCTCCCAGAATATGTCCAGCTTTTCTCTTACTTACTTACTTCTTCTATGCTATGCTATTCTATTTATGCCCAATCGCCTTAATCTAGGACTACATTGCACTCTGTCAGGAGATCCTAAGTCGTCCAGATCCTGAAGCTGAGGCCGAGTAGTGGCCGTAATGTTGTTCTTCCACTCTCCCAAATGCTGAGCTGCTACTATCGCCTTTTCACTCTCTTATTAACAACAAATACTGGTCAGACAGACAGACAAAAGCAGGCTGCTACCGCACTATTTTCTATTTACCGTTTTGCTTTCTACGCACGCCCTACGTTATGCTATATTTGCTATTTGCTTGGAATGTGAAACTGAAATTGATATTTGAGAGATCAATAAAAAACAAAACAAGAGCAAAAACCGTAAAGTTTATTAGTTGCCTATACTATATACAAGTAAATACATACAAACACACATGCGTGCTTCACATCATGTCCCTCATACACATAATAAGTACATACATATATAAAAATAGGAAGAGTTATTGGAATAATCCGCTCACTACGCCTGCACCATAGGCTTTCCATCACGCCATCATCCGCAAGCACGAATTTTAACACGAATTTTTGACACCGAAAACCACACAAAAACTATAAATATTGTATGAACAATTCACACACACGCACATTTACATGCACATATGTATGTACATATGTATATATTTATGTATATGCATAGTATATGTATGTGTGTATTTGTTTGTGTGTAGTAAACTAGGACTGTTGGACAAGCTGCTAATTGGCATACAGAGAACGTGTACGTGGACTGCCAATGACGCCAGTTGGTGCATTTCCTCCTGAATCCTTAAGCTTCCGTTTCCAATAATACGCATCCATCAGGGTGGGGTGGGAGGTCAAACATTTTCCACATACATACATACATACTACATACTTGTATTTTTGCATTTCTCAAATGCGTTGCGAATCGAATTATAAACTAGCCAGCCCCACTGCGTACGAGAAAATCCATTTTCTTGGCACTGCCATTATTTAATATATAAATTTAAATAGTATATTTATACCTTGTATAGAACATTTAAAATGAATTTATTAATTTTGATGTGTGTCTAGCGAAAATTGTTTGAACAATGTTTTATCTATATTCTTCTTTTTCTTCTGCTTTCTTTTTTTTACTTTTCTCTCTTTCATTGTGTCTTTTATTCTTTGAAACATTGTTCTAATTGTTGTGGTCGGTCGGTCGCGGTCGGTCTTTTGAACATCGATGCTGGTCCTCCAAACCGTCTTCCTCGGCTTAAATATGTATTCTCTCGGTCCCGCCATGCTCCCCTACAACAACATCAACAACAACAACGAAAACAACAGCAACGTGGTCAGCCACCAAAGGATGAAGAGCCTGAGAATAATGCCATCGATACGATTCCAAAGCGCATCTAAAAGTGCAGGCTTGCACACCCACTCACACATACAATAAACGGTACACGGATACACACACACACACATACACACACACACACAGTGAAGTTACAAAATCGTCTTTGAGGAATACATTCAATAAAAGGACCAATATCAGGGCAAGAACTACAACAACAACAACATGAAAACAAATACTATATGCATAACACGGCTGCAAAAATTCTCCAGCCATTTCAAATTTTTGAGCTGCCTTTCAAAGCAAGTAGAGCATACAAATACACTCACACAGACACACACACACACACACACAGCCATACGCAGATACCAGCCGATGATGCAAGCTTTGCAGTCCTGGTTTAATTTTATTCTTTGCATTTTATTTACTAAGTGAGAGCGGCTAAGGCTTAGCCTGAAAACTAACATACATACATAAATACAAACGACTATTTGTAGTTTTAAATAGTTTTGATGAAATGATTACACACACAAACCCTCCCCCACGTCCCCTACTCCATGTAAGCCGAAATAAACCAAATTTCCTGTTACCCACACCCATGCTGAACCGTTATTATCCTAGACACGAACCGTATGGTTAGCGTTATGCGTCGTCTAAGAACTCAACCTCAAAACGCAAAACGATCGAAGGGAAGTGAGAAGAGAAGTGAGAAATAAATAGAATCATGGGCGCCGGTCGGTCTCTTTTCGACAACTGAGAGTGCATACTTATATATATAAAATATATAAATAAACAATATACCGTTAGCTTATTTATACATGCATATATATACATACTATATATATATATATATATTTAAAAAATATTTTATGTATTTTTTTAATGTATTTAAGATACAAATTTAAGAGTAACGCAAAGCAGTTAGTGCAAAACAAAACAAATCCGCAACACAAAAAAACAAAACAAAAACGAAAAAAGCAAACGAAACGGTTCGTTCGCAATAGAAAATGGCGCAGTCTGGAGGACGGACGCACGAGCGTAGCGTAATCGCAAATCGGATATATACTTACATATATAGAGCAAAAACAAATTTGATAGTAAAATGCATAAGGAAATGAAATTAATGAAGAAAAAACAACAACAAAAAACAAAACAATATAAAAATTGAAGAAAAGAATCGTCTTAAAATATGAATTTATTTATTTTGGTACACGGGGTCTTTTTAATTTAGAGGCTGAACATCTACACTCAAAGGATAATTCGAAGGTAAGTCGATGTCGAACTTGGTTTTCGAAAACTGCTTCTTTATAGCCAGTGCCAGTATTTTGACTTTAAATTCCTATAGGTATGGCTGAAGCTTTACATACGCCCCTACGTGAAGACCAAGAAGACGCATTTGGTCCTCTATGATTTTATTGGTCCGCCTTCGTTAATGGAATTTCCTAGAGATAGATAAGCACTAACTGGATGTGATTGTCGAATTTGGGTACAAAATTCCAAGAATAACGGTCCTAGGAGAATCTGGATACCAAGTTTGGTCATTCTGGCTCTTTCTGAGATGACGGACATGATTATATCCATTAGTCTTGTCATACTGTTCAAGAATATATGTATATACATATATTGTGTGATCTGCCATTCATTGGATACAGGGTATAATTATGAAGCTGTATATGTTTCGTCTGAATAAAAAAAGTCTATATACTTATGCAGTTTCAAAAGTTCTAGGTATTCATACAGACGGACAAACTGGGGTCTGTCAAGCCCAATTCTGCCTGTTACTGTACTTTTGGCGGTCATACTTTCTAGTAAAGGTTTCGTTTACAGCATTCCAACTCCAACGATGCACTCTGGATTTTATTTATTTATTATATGACACGGGGACTCAACTCTTTGATTCCATTTGATAAATGTGTCGGAGCTCTGTTTAAACAGATTGGCGTCTATTATCAACATTCATGTTAGAGGTATGCGCGTGGGCTTAGAAATTGTTCAAAGTATTTTATGTAATCCCAATAAGGAAGTTCCCTTCCCTTGAGCAAATCTATTTGTAAACGCGATACTTTAGTGGAGTGGCCCGAGTGGTTTTGTACAATCGTTAATTAACTTTTACCGAATTTCATGGTCAGTCGTTTTCACAACCTCTTGATTATTCCGATAACGCACGTTCATGCTTGTCATCACGCCAAGCTTAATATAGTATGTGTGTATTGCGAAAATGAGACATTCCTCTTTCCTGCGGTTTCAGCTGACTCATGAAATTCTTTTAATTTCTCCATTTATGGCTCAATTATCATAACTGGTGAAGATGACTTCCCATAGACATCTAAAACAAAATGCTGGTTGCAGACCTTTCAAACAAATCTCGTCTTAAGTGGAAACTTGTTTGTTGCATTCCGTAATTGTTTTATGGACACCAGTCCCAGAATGATCGCGTATTTATAAACTGCTTCGATAGAATGAAACATTTTAAGATAAATAAAAAACACCAATGTCTCTAATTTTTTATGTCTTTATTTTATTGTTAAATAAATTATATAAAATTCTTCGTAAAATCGAAGAATCTGTTATTATAATTCTTGCATTTCCATCAAATCATTATTCTGTTGTTTGCTATTACATTATCATCCGTTTAATATTATTATTTTCATCGCCTGCTTACTCTCTGCGCCCCAAAATTCTCATCACGCGCTTATACATAACATTTGTTTTTCTTTATATCGTAAGCTAACCTATCGATTTGTGATTCCTCATTGACAATTGCGTTTGCACGGCTGTGTTGTGGTTATAAAAAATATACAGTTATATTTATATAGTTAATTGGAGAACGTGCAGGAGGGATAGGGATTGGGGGCCGAAGCGGCCCGCGCAGCTGCTGTTCGACGTTTGTTGGTAGCGCCGTGGAATATGAGGAACACATTGATTATTCATTCTTCAAGTAGTTGTTGGTTGCCGAAAAAATACTTTAGATTATAAATTAGAAAAAAAAAATGTTTAAATATGCTACAACAAAATTTTAACCAGTTTGGTTGTTGTTTTTTTCTTTCTCTCTTTTGAGCTTGCTACGATTTGTTTTAAAAGCTGGTAATTTCATTTACGGATTGAGGAGCGACAGTCTAGGATGCCGCGATTACTGTTGTTGGTTTATTGGTGTGTGCTTATTGTTGTTGTTGTGATTGTGGTTGTTGTGGTTTTTGAAATTAAGTTATATAGTGTTTTAATCAGTCTGATTTACTTCCTACTCTGCCTTCGACAATAGAGCAATTGTGCCGCTTACAGCTCATCCTTGAGATCGTCCTCACCGCCCTCTGGGGGTGGGGCACCGCCTGTGCTTTGATACAGCTTGGCAATGATTGGCTGCACAATGGTCTCAAGATCCTTCTTCTGCTTCTTGTATTCCTCGGGATCGGCTTCGGGATTCTGTTCGAGCCATTTGATCGATTCATCGATGGCGGCCTCCAACTTGGTCTTCTCATCATCGGCCAATTTGGCACCAAGCTTATCCTTGTCGCCGATCTGGTTCTTCAAACTGTATGCATACGATTCCAGCTCGTTGCGTGACTCGACGCGCTCCTTCAGCTTCTTGTCCTCATCGGCGAATTTCTCAGCATCCTTGATCATGCGGTCAATGTCCTCGGGCGTTAGTCGATTCTGGTCATTGGTAATGACGATCTTTTCCTTGTTGCCGGTGCCCTTATCTTCGGCACTGACCTGCAAAATGCCGTTGGCGTCGATTTCGAACGAGACCTCAATCTGTGGAATGCCACGTGGAGCGGGAGGAATGCCAGTCAAATCGAATTTGCCGAGCAAGTGATTATCCTTAGTCATGGGACGCTCGCCCTCGTACACCTGAATGGTAACAGTGTGCTGGTTATCGGAGGCGGTCGAGAACACCTGCGACTTCTTGGTAGGAATGACTGTGTTACGTGGAATCAATTTCGTCATCACACCTCCGACGGTTTCGATACCCATAGTTAATGGGTTCACATCAAGCAACACAATGGCATCGGTATCCTGTTCGCCAGATAGCACGCCAGCCTGTACGGCAGCACCGTAGGCTACAGCCTCATCGGGATTGATGCCACGGGATGGTTCCTTGCCACCGAAGAAGTCCTTCACGAGCTGTTGTACTTTGGGAATACGTGTGGAGCCACCGACCAGCACAATTTCGTGCACATCCTTTTTGTTCATGTCAGCATCCTCAAGTACCTTCTGTACTGGCTTCAAAGTGGAACGGAAAAGATCCATGTTCAGCTCCTCAAACTTGGCACGTGTAAGAGTCTCTGAGAAGTCATCGCCTTCAAAGAATGATTCGATCTCAATTCGCACTTGATGGGAGCCAGACAGAGCACGCTTTGCCTTTTCAACCTCACGACGCAACTTTTGTACAGCACGATTGTCCTTGCGGATGTCCTTGCCCTTCTTCTTTTTGTACAGCTTGATGAAATGATCCATGACGCGCTGATCGAAATCTTCACCGCCCAAATGAGTATCACCATTAGTGGCTACCACCTCGAACACACCATTGTCAATTGTCAGCAGGGAGACATCGAAGGTACCGCCGCCCAAATCGAACACAAGCACGTTTTTCTCGCCCTCTTTCTTGTCCAGACCATAGGCAATGGCAGCTGCAGTGGGTTCGTTGATGATGCGCATCACCTGTAGACCAGCAATGACACCGGCATCCTTGGTAGCTTGACGCTGTGCATCATTGAAGTAGGCAGGGACTGTGACGACAGCATGTGTGACTTTCTTGCCAAGATAGGCTTCGGCAGTTTCCTTCATCTTGCCCAACACCATGGCAGAAATTTCCTCAGGGGCAAAGATCTTGGCGCCCTGAGATGTGTCAACACTGATGTGTGGCTTCGAGTTCTTCTCCAAGACCTTGAAGGGGAAGAACTTGATATCGTGCTGGACATTTGTGTCGGACCATTCGCGTCCAATCAGGCGTTTGGCATCGAATACGGTATTCTCAGGATTTGTTGTCAATTGATTTTTGGCGGCATCACCAATCAAACGCTCGCCATCGGCAGTGAAGGCCACATAAGAGGGCGTGATACGGTTACCTTGATCGTTAGCAATAATCTCCACACGGCCGTTCTTATAAACGCCGACGCTGCGAATGAGGTAAAGCGTAATATTTTCAATTAGTATCCAGGACTAGGCATCATCATGTTGTCTTTGAAAACTTACCAAGAATATGTGGTACCCAAATCGATACCAATTACTGTGCCCAAATCTTTGTCTTTCTCCTTCTTCTCCTCACCAAGTGAGAGGCCCACAAAGGCCACAACGGCCAACAAGATACATAACCTCATTGTGAGTTTTTGCTTTAACTAAGCTGTTGTCTTTCACTCAAAAAAACTGCAACGAGAAATAAATGCAAGGTTGATTTTAAATAAAAAATAATTACAAAGTTAACACGAAGAGCGCGAACTATGTATAATGGGGGTTGCACACGCAGCGTTTTGGACACGTCATACACAAAAATATGCTGACGTCGTTGTTATGGCCACTGTCAACAGGTACCGTTAAATGCGTGGCCGACCTTAAACAACAATTTAGGCCACAGTCACATTACTTTCTTACTAGAACAAATTGTGAATTGCTTTTACTCATACAGATGAGACTGCGGTTGAAAGTGGCACACAAGATTTTGATAAGTGACAAACCTCGAATTAAACACGTCTACTTCGTGGCCTAACAACCGAACAACTGTTAAAGCTGCCGCCGCACCACTGACATTGACCGCGGCGAGCATTTTGCCGACGTCGACAAGCTGCTGGCGAACAGCAAGTCAGCAAAGACAGAAGCATCGGGGGCGCGACGTACATACATACATACAAATGTATACTGTAGTTGTAGAATTTTTGTATACGTGTAACATTTTTTTTCTGGTTCTTTCTTTTGGTTTGTTAATCTCCAAAAACAAGCACCGGTTCTTTGTGCGTGTGTGTGTGCGAAGCAAAAAGAAAGCTCCAAACGAGTTTAGTTTGCATTTCATTGTAGAAATTTTTTCTTTAGCCGAGCCGAGCATGAAGTTTTGAATACCCAATGAGATGTACAACAACATCAATTGTACCAACAACAACTAGTCTTACCAACGCACATATGTACATATACACTTGAACATACACCCACGCCCGTCCGGTGAAAGTCTTTCGTGTGCATGGCACATGGGACGGCGGCAGCCGGCAAATAGGCCACAATTCTTAATTTCTTTTGCACAGCTGTTCTGTTCCTACTTACGTACGTATTTAGTCGTCGAGTTAAATAACTTCTTATATTTTATTGTTTGCTTCTGACTTGCACAAAATATTGTTAATAAACTTCGCACTGACGTGTACTTTACCAGACTTTACTAGCCTGCTTTACAACGACGTTTGCTTAAATCTGGTCCTATAAATGACGTGTACAAAGCTGATTGAATATTTCTGATGAACTCACATACACCCATACATATATATGCGATAGCCTGAAGCGCACGCGCGTATCCACACAGATGCAAATTTTATGCCTAATAACGTAATTTTATGTATCGCTTACGTTTTAATAGTTTATATTTACGCCCCACGCTTTAAAGCTTTGTTCTCTTTAGACGAAAAGAAATTGTTGAACAGCTAAGGAAATGCACTGGTACAATGGAGCGAGCGCCAGTGTGTGCACAAATGTGTTTATGTTAATGAGCGCTAATATGTAAACGAGCTGAGGGCAAGCGACGACGCAGCAACCAGAAGTGAATGAACTTTATGAATTATTTTAATAAATTATGTTACGCTAATTTGTTGCTATCGGACACATTAAATGCACGAATTATACACGGTAAAGGTCAATGGCGTTGCCACACATCATGCACTGCATGACGTTAGAATGGGGGTCACACTGGCGTTGCAGTATTATTCTTGAAATTTCTGTGCAAAAAAAAAAAAAAAAAATTATACAAAATCTAAGTGTAGTATGCTTTGTGGATGGCATTCAATATTCAAATTAGACACGTGTCGCCATGGCCGTGCAGAACAAAAGAATTGAATTTGCTGATTTGCCAACATGGCGCCTGAGTCAGTAGTGTTAATTTATTACATTAATTTTGTGTCAGTCCTGTATGTATGTGCACTGTCTCGCCCTCTCCTAAGCACCATGTAATTTGTTAATAATAAAGAACTTACACTTGGTGTTTTGAAAAGTTTCTTTAAACGTTCACAGCACCAATTATATTCACTTCTTTTCGGCTTGACGTATAAAACAGAACTGAAAGAATGTAGCTTGCTCTGACAACCGGCGCTTTCTACACTATCACACACACATACATAGGCATAGGGTACACGTCAGTTGTATCGTCTACTCAGGGACAGTGTTGCAAATTGTTTGTCTTATAACAAAAATAATCGTATTTCTAACCCAATGGGGCATTTGAATTACAACTATACTGAAGCTGTTTTTGCATACTTACATTTCTTAACGATATAATTAAACTATTTAAACACTAAATAAAAAAATGTCACTTTGTTGCTCGCTATCAGGTTTAGCAGTCTTTGTTGGCTTGCTTTTTGGCTTTGATTACTTTTTTGCTATTGGTATATTATTCTAGTTTGTACACAGTTCAATTTTTGTTTACAATTGCTATTCCTTTAATTTTTGCTCGCACGGTTTTTAAATATCACGTTGTACCGTTTTTAATGTTACTTCTTTGTCATTTGTATTGGAACTGTTTGTTGCTCTCGAAGACGCCGGCTATTTATTCAACTGAACGCCGTAGTTATGCTCTGACGTGTACGACACGTCAGTGGCTGCTGCAATTCTGATTGGCTTTTGTGAGGCTTTGTCTTGTTTTCTGATTGGTGCGCACTGGAAAGTTCGCCAATGTTGTCGAGAGTACGCTGAGAAATTACGAAATATTTTGTGTTTGTTTCAAACATTTGGCGATAAGCGCCTATGCAGACACGTCAAGTTGGTTTTGTTTTTGTTTATTATGATATGTGAGCGTGCAATTTATAGTGAAAATGCGTGTGCACAATTTAAGCACTGACGTGGTTGCAACTCTGGGCATTAAAAGTTGTTTTTATTGAAATTAAAACTAAATTAAAATAGTTTTAGGAAATTAATAACTGTACATATACGTTTAATAATGTTATTAACCACTTCCTAATTAATAACTTCTCGTAATTGCCAGATGCAAAATTTTCAAAATATTAAATAAAACAAATGATATTTTAGTTAACAAACAACTAGTCCCAACTAAAATAAAGCAAATTATATGTATTGAGTTAAAGTCTTTAATTTTTCAATATATTAGCAAATTACATTGACCAATTAAAAAATGTTGTCTTTTCAATGCCTTAGTGCATCAACATACTTATGTATTTCACAAATATTTACATATGTACATATGTATGTTGCAATTCTTACTTGATCCTATTCTACCATTCTAAGGCATAACTTTATTTGGTTGAGAACAATTTCTTAAAAACCAAAACAATATAGAATGTTACAGTTAAACAAGACTGATAATATAAAACTTTCACCTCTGTGCCATACGCGCTTATAGTAGAAACAAAAGGAAGATGAACGAAACTGCTGCTATAGCATGGGGGCGTAGAACTGTTTTTTTTTTTGTGCTAATTACTTACGAGTTAATCAATGGAAGATGGAGCACAGATAACGTTTGCAATATTAAGTTTAGATGGCTGTAGAATTCGGACCATTATAACCAAAATTGTAGAGCAGTGAATGGAAGGTGGGGGAGACCAAAATATTCCTATTCTCTAGAACATACGAGAGATCCTACACATCATGTTTATTCAATGTGGACTCAGGCGATTCTATAATCTAGGCGGTCCTCTAGAGAGAGACGGTAAAGGCCAGATCCATTTGTTTTTTCAAGCTTTTTAAGAATGTGTATTATGGGGTCGGAAATGCTGCCTTCAGCCTGTTAAATACATTTGAACAAACCTAATGCACCATTTTTACCCTTTGGATACATGTCTTGGTCCGATCCCAGGTTTTAAGCTCGACTCTTGCATACTCAGAGTGGCAAATAGCTTCCACGCAAGCCTGCGACTGTTACAAGTATGTCATGAAAATTATGTTAGTTCAATTAAAATTAATTGAAAATCTATACTTAAGTGTACTTTTTGACTACAACAAATCTCTACTTTGGGATTTACTCTTCAAAGTATATTTGTAAAATACTATTATTACGAACTATTTGCGAAGCTGTAGACTTTCTAGTATGCCCTTCGTTTTTTTTCTTCAGGTTTTTAGATGTTCTTTACAATCCAAGCAAAACATCTGTAAATTTTTTAAATAAATAGCGAGAATAAAACAAACAAATATTGGATTTTTTAATGACGTTCAATCAATATAATGTGTGTATTTTTTTTTTTTTTTTTTTTTGTAACAGCATCCTTAACGTTCTTGTCATTTTCAAATGCAACGTTCAACGCCTTCTTACATAACATTTTCATAACTCTTCAATAATTACAATTATAATAAATGATCTGTCTGCTCGCCATCACGATTGCAACTGCTAGGACATTTATTAAGTTGCCTGTGATAGCACACATAAATAAAATGGCGAACCATTTTCGGATCTATTAGCCATTTGTTTATGACGATTCTTGGCCATAACTCAAATGCGTTAAATCATGCCATCATTAAGCATAAAGTGTATGTACATACATAGGTATGCATATGAAAAAATTTTGCCTTATGTATATATGTAGAATACATGTTTACATGTATACATGTATGTATATTAGGGCATGCCAAAAATGTTATATACATATAGTTTGTGTATATAAGTATTTATAAAGTGCGCGTGTATGTAAAAAAATGTATGGCGCTTTGTTTTCAGGCAAGTGTTTTCATTTCTTTTTTGTTTTTAATCATTATTATACATAATTACATAATAAAGTATTGTTAACGTGGCCCGATTACCAGTTATTTGGGCAGACATCTTTTTTTTCTTCTTTTTTATATACATACGTATGCATTGTATGTATCTATAAATATTTAAAGCTAAAACGACTTTAAAGAACAACTTGTTTGGTTTTTCCATATTTTTTCATTAATTTTCTTTTGAACAGGGACCGAAAATAACAATGTTAGAACTTAAAATTTTTGTTGAGTATTGCTTAAACAAATAAATAATGAAGCTTAACCAATGTTTAAAATCACAATTTGTAGAAATTGAATTTTGAATAGTCTTTTCAAGGTTTATAAAAAATAGTCAACTAATTTTGTAAATTAATTTGCCTTTTTATGGAACATCCAAGCTTGCACTTAAAATCAATCGACGCGTCAACAAACAAACTGAAGTTTTACAATAAATGGTTTGAAAACCAGTTTTGGTTTTTGTACGGTCCCTGTTTTTAAGGATAAATAGTGCTGCACAATTTGTATATATGCATATTATATCTAACATCTTTTTTGTGTATAATCGTATGGATGTATCTAATATTTGTTTGTATTTGTATATAGTACGTCTGTGGCTTTGTAGGTTGGTCAAAAAGTGGCTAAGCGCTGTCAGAACCCAGCACAAGGTCTCGCTGTACAAAACTAAATGTGAGCAGCAAAAGAAAACACATCGAAAAAGTAACAATTACAATTGTGTACGTTTGCATTCACGTTAACGTTTTAATAGTTAAAGAGTGTAGAGAGTGCATAAAATTGCTTATAAAGTTGCGTTAAATTCTGCTTGTACAATAGTTTGTTTGTTTGCATTTTGTTTTTGTTATATATTGCGCTTGAAACACATTAGTTGCAAAAGTTTTTCTTGCCTTTCTTCTCACTATCATCATCATATTAATCTTCTGCTTCTGCTTAAAGTGTTGGTCCGAAAAGAAAGAAAAATGTTATAGCATTTAGAAATTTGTATATGGTGTAGATACATAATATGTAGATATACATGGGCTAGTTAACAATATCAACAAAGAAAGTGCGAGCGAGTGACCGAGCGAGCAAGCAAGATAGCAAGCAGTCCTCGCTTCATTTGTGGTTGCAGTGGCAGCGGCAGCGGCAATGGCGATTAGAGATTCCACCCTCGTTCAGTTACTACTCGTGCCGCACTCCGCAAATAGAGAGGAAAGTACTGAAGTTGTGTAGACTGCACGCCGGCAGCACAGTGTACACTATGCACGCCGTCTCCTGGCACTTGTGGCGAAAATCGTTCAGCGCCTGCTGCAGCAGCTCTACGGATGGTGCCGCATTCACTTGATAGAAGAGCTTCAGGTGTATGGCTGGCAAGCTGTTCGGCTGCTGGTCACCAGCGCCAACGCCTCCCGTGGATAACGTAGGCGCTGGGGGAGATGCGTTCGTGTTGGCATTCGCATTGCCGCTGGTATTGGCGGAAGTATTGGGGAGCTCAGCATCGCGCCTTCTAGTAATGGGATAGTCTTTAAGCAAACGGTTGACAATGTAGGTAAGTATTTCATCCAGATGCTCAGAGTTAACGCTCTGCGCCAATCGGCAATGGTTGCCCAGAATGTCATCGCTTAGATGCGTCAGTTGTGTAGTCGAAGAGGCAAGTCCGGTGGACACATAGCAGACGATAGCTGCACAATTGTTCTCATAGTTCCAGCGTCGACGTATAGAAATCGTGTAGTCGCTCACCGAACAGCCGGTTTCCTCATCTGCGGAAAGAGTGGGAAGGATGTGAATATAGTACAGGAAGGCTCAGGGATTGCGCCCACTCACAATCAAAGCGGTCGTTGTGCGTATGCGCCCACACCTGCCACTCTACCAGCGCTTCGCGCGGCAACGCCGGCAGCACAATGTAGTCCATGATGGCATTGGTGGTGCGACGCTCCCATTGGCGACGCGCCTCGGCAATGAAGGCCGGATGCGTGACAAAGCAGATGCCGTGGACAACATCCCGCAGCTGACCCTGTGCATTCATGGCCTTGGCAATGCGGCTGATGTGCCGAAGGGTCAACTTACACTGCGGACGGATGCCGCCCTCAATGATTGTCATGCTGCCGGGCACAAGCGCAATCTGGCCGGAGATGTACGTGATGTCGCCGATCTGTGGGCAGCAAGTGGGCAAGTTGAAGCTTGCAAGAGGGGGATTTGGGGATTGCTGGCTAGAACGCTCACCCTTGTCGACTGGCTGTAGGGCCCAATGTTGGCTGGCGCCCAATGCGAGATGCCCTGCACATGCATTGTGTTCCTCTTCCCATTGGCCAGCCCTGCTGGCTCCTCATGAATCTCCAGCTCCTCCACTGGTGTCTGCGTCTGGGCCAAAGCCGTTGCCTCTAGCGTAGCGCGACGCGCACGCGCCAAATTCGAGCGATAGGCAATCGCCTCCATCACCACCTGACAATCGTCCGGCAAGGGGCACTCAACACAGACACGCGTTGGAGGATTGTGGAAGTCAAAGTTGTCGCTGTAAATGCGATTGAGCGACGGATATTCGGCTATGGAGCGCACGTAGAGTGTTATGTAGCAGTAATCCTGGAGCTCGTATCCATGAGCGCATGCCAGTTGGCGCAGTGTGTCCAGCGCCAGCTGCATGCCCTCCTCCATGGTGGCGGCACAGCCTATCATGACACAGCATTATAAAAAATATATATAACTTGTAAATACGTAGTCTTTGAACCAAACCAAACATCCGGCGCCGGGGACTCAAAATGTTTTGGGAGGTGTGGAAAGGACGAAAAGTCAGCTGGCCTATATATTTGAAGACCTGTTTGGCACTCACCCTGTATGCCCGCCACCCACATCCAGCCCTTGGCATTGATGGCTGCCATGGCCTGGTTTGCTAGTGGACGGAATTCGCGTTCGTACTTCATTGGACTGGGTGGTTGCGTGGTGCCCGTTGCCACACCTGCATTGTTGCACGTCGTTGTGCTCAGCCCAATCGAGGAGATGGCCAGCGACAGCGAGCCGCAAACCGCAGCCGTGCTGGTGCCCAGGGGCCGTGAACTGCCAAAGCTGCCCGCCTGCAGGGCGCTGCCCAAGGCCGCGGCTGAGGTCGAGGTGGGAGCCGCCGCAAGCAAGAGGGAGGCGCTAGAGGCCGCGGCTGTCGGTATGGGCTCGTCGACACTGGCGCTCTTCGTCACGATTGGTATGGGCGAGGACGACGACGTGGCCAGGTGGCGGCCGAACGAGTTGCTGCGCGAGATCAACTCGTTCTGGCTGAGCGACTCACGCAACCGTGTCTCCTTCTCGATGAGCTCCAGCTCGGTCTCGCTGAAGTCCGGATCACTCAGATCACTGTAGGTGGACTCGTTGAGGTCACTGATGTAGTCTAGAGATTTCTTAACGAACACCACATCGCCGCCGGTGCTGGGCTCCTTAGGCTGTAGTGTCAGTTTGGTGAAATTTATGTAGCCCACGGGGCAGATGGGATCGGCACTGCTAATGATCGTCTGAATGTCCTCCACTTGAATGCGCTGCTTAAAAAGTGGACAGTCCAGCGTGAAGGTCTCGTACTCTCCGCCTTCCCCGCACACATTCAACCCGTACTTGTCCCGCATCTTCAGCAGATGGGGCTGTATCTCGCGCAGCGATTTCCCAAGATGGCGATCCGGCACCAAGCCCAGGGCGGCGACCTGCAAGATATTCTAGTTAGTCGCTACTTTTAAAATACAATTTCTGGAATTGGACAATCATTTGAAACCTTTTTTCTAACTCAAGGGAACTGACCTTCCCTGTTATTATCAATATATTAGAGTTTAAAGAGATCACTTTTCCTTCTCACCTTAATAATGATAGCATGCACCTGGCAGTCGATCATCTCCTGCAATAGTTCAGTCTGATCTCTCCTCCATAAGTAGGCCAAGGATATCAGGTTGAGGCGACTGCACACATTCTCCACACGCACCCTCTGGTAATCTGAGAGTATAGCGCCAACGGCCACAGCCTCCACATGCATTTCGTGCTGTAAGCAATGGGGATTGGAAATTAGTTAAGATAATGATAGTAATTGCTATAAAGAGTGTGTTTAGAGTGATTCCAGCTGTTGAAGTTTAGGTAATAACATGTAGTTCCGAAAATAGATTAACGAATTTGCTAACAAATTGAGTTTAAGCACAAGGTTCATTTTGATTAGATAGATAGATAGTGATGTAACTTTTATGATTTCCATTTTTATTAATTTTTTTCATTTTAGTGATCTTTATATTTACATTTTGATAACTAACTATAACATACTCCATTGCAAAATGGTGAGCAGGATGCCGGAATTGCTAGCCGAAGGGCACATTGTATTTCCCCACCGGGTCAGTGGCGTTAATTAGATATTATCGTAATTTTATTAGATTTCTCCTTCTTAGGATTTGCTAGCTTATAAGATGCTTAATATAGTTTTTAAATATTTTTCTCCTATGTCGACAATCAATGTTTGTTGACATAAATAAATAGATTTTTCGGAAACCTCGTAACTCTTTTCCTTAACTCACTTGGTCGTTCCTATTGCCTTTGTGATATGGTGAGCCGATTTTGATTAAACTTTAAATCATAATGAGGCACGCTACAAAGCTCATAATCACCAGATTTTCGGAATATACATACATATATATTAATAAGCAAAAAAAAGCTATATACTTTTATGATTAATTAGTTTGGTGTCCCTAGCTGTTATGTTTTATATATATATATATCCATATAGTAGAAACTATATAATGGAGTCCTTCTGCATAGTTTTTCACTTTACATTCGGTTAGAGGATATAAAAATCCCTCAATAAACACATTTCGACTATATAATTCGACAAAGGTACGTTTGAACAGCGCGCTAATAATCGTTAATTAAATCATCATTTCTACAAAAACGTGTTCCTGGATCGCGTGCTTCGGCCTGGTTGAGACACCAACGTCGACAATGGGACGACGAGGGCGTTGTATTTCTATTGATAAGATAAGGAATCAGAATTCAAATTTCCTCGTTGTTGGGTTTCCATTATAGAGAGCGATTCGCAGCCACAACACACTATTGTTGCGTCTCTGACAGTACATTTTCAAGGATTTTATCGAGTGCAAGCCCCATAGCTACATACATACATTCATGGATGCATGTGCACCTATTGTTCGGAGACCAATATAGAATAAACATGTAAATGTTCAATTCACATCAAAGTCAAAACTACAACTATAAAAACTGCATTATTGCAGGCATCTTTGGCAGTCTTTCCGTCCGCCGTTAAGGAAAAATAACAAACAAGCGAACTGAATTATGAAAACAAACGCCGGCAATCAGGCATTTAATCGCAGCTCTTAATCTCAGAGGCGAGTGCGCGACGTCATATCGATTGACTGACAGACTGACTATGTCTGTCTATAAGCGAATATAATATATACATGTGTACTTGTACGTAGATATCCATCTAGCAGGTGCATATAGAATGTATGTAGCTGAATGTCGGGCACTGTGCACGTGTCGCCTATAATTTATTATTATATTCTGTTTACATTTTGTTTTCGTTTTATTACATTGGCTACATAATGGCCATACAAAAGAAATAGCTGATATAATTGGGTAAGTAATTATAAAAAGTAAATTAAACAGCCCGAAATTTTGAAGAACAGCTGGGGAAATTTCGTCCAACAGCTGATGGGGAACAAAAAAACAAAGGCCCGTCATTAAATGTTGGAGCAAAATAATTTGAAATAGTATAAGGAAGTCCACTCTTAGTTCACCTCAATATTCGATTCAATCAAGCAACCCCTAAATGTTAACAATTACGACCTAGTTTTCAAATATTTCAAGATACTAACAACCGTCTAATATACCAAGTGTTAAGTATCCCATTGAGAAAGATGTAGGAGTTAGGTTTAACAACTAATGAGCGTCTTTGTGAAGACCTACATTATCGAAATAGCTTCTCAAATAATAATTGCTTCTTCTTATACATGATTTGGCAGATATTTCTATATATGATGTTATGATTTATGAAATATAGTAACTTAAAAGGCTTAAGGCTACTTATTTAGCCTATAATTTTTATTGCCACGTCTGATTCTTGCAATAAATTCTTTTAATGGTAGCTATAGAAAATGGCCATAATTTATGTCCGCAGATTTCGAGAGTTACTTTCATTAATTTATTTATTTTGTAGTACTAAATATATCCTCGATCTTGGGGCCCATTCATTCATTTGTTAAATGGGGACTGCGAATTGTGGCTTACCTTGCATGTCTCCAGCAAGCTATAGAGATCCTCAACCTCATCATCATCCGTGGGGACATACTGTTTGCCTGTCTGTGTGCTCTTGCCTTTCGTTTCGCGTCTATAGAGCGGCAGGCCCATGGCGCTGGCTAGTATTTCAATACCCATGTGGCCGACCGTCTGATACATGAAGCTATCTAGCTCATCTGTAAATGGGAAGCGAAGGAGGGATAATGTTGATAACGACGAAATAAATGGAGAAGAAATCAAAATAGCGCGTGGGTGCTGCTGACATTTAAAGCTTCATCGTCAAAACAAATAGGTTAAGACGACACGGACATGCGTTTATTATTACTATTATATTTTTATGTTTATGTGTGTACGTGTATGTATTTGCTGCCGAAATGGATGGGTAAATATTGATGGGACAAATATTTAGATAAGGGGCAGGCAACAATGGAACCGCCCAGGCAGTTGAATTGTTGGAGCTCTCTCTGTTTGTTGTTTCAATTCGACGAATTAGATAAGACTTACCTCTGTCTTTGGGATGCAAATTGGCGAGTGCGACAATCTCGTGACCCTCGGCGACGCACTGCATCATGTTGTAGCAACTATCCTTGCCACCACTAACCATGGCCACGACACGCATCTTGATTAACGAGACGGCGCACTCGAGTGACTCTCGAGTGCTTCTCAGGATCCTGGTACGTTGCTTGCTTGTTTGGTTGGTTCGTTCGTTTGATTGTTGGACGCCGTTACTTTAATGTTGCTAATTCTCTTGCAAATATTGTTGCTGCTGCTGTTGTTGTTGTTGTTGTTAAGTTTCTAGTTTTTGGTCTTTGCTGCTTGCTTTCTTGTTTGCTATCCTTCTGGCTTGTTATTTTGAGTGGTGCTCATTTGGTCTGTTGCTCTTCGTTGACTAGAGTTGGTTGCTTTTACATTTAGAAGGACGCGTCGTCTTTGGTTAACACAGTACAGCTGTTGTTGCTCTTCTTCTTGTTGTTGTTGTTGTTATGGGTGTTGTCGCTAGTTTGTCAACTGTAAAGCGAAAAGGAAAATAGCTCGTTAGTGAGGTGGCAGGCCACAGGTTGTTGTTGTTTTTGTTGCAGCAGCTATTGTTATTCGTTGTGCTCGTTGGCAAATTGCCGTGCCAAATGAAGAAAAATCCATTAAAGTCGCGAATTTATGTATATTTGTCGACAGACACTTGAACGGCGTCAGCATATCCACACAAAGAAAATGTGGCACGAGTTTTTAGCAATAAAACTGGCGGCGGTTGGGTAAACAACACACACATTTTCATTTTACCGCGAAACGAAATTTAATAGCAAGAAATTGCGAACATACACAATGTTTAATAAAACACACAATATGTCCAGACGTAATCGAATTACTGACGACACTAATAACACTGACAACACCATGCAACACACATATGCACAATTCAATAAAATGTTTTCTGCGCTTTTTCTCTACTTTAGTCGTCCTTAGACTAATGCACTTTGGCAACCGGCCGACAGCTGCCAACGGTAAATACAAATACAACAACAGGCAATACACATGCAGACACACTGGGTAGTGCATAACAGTAACATTGTTGGGATTAATTGCATTATAAACATAAGGTAAATGGGCTTAAAAGCTTTCTGTTTGGCCAGCATGATAGGCAGGGTACTGCTTTGTTGTTGTTGCTGTTGTTATTGCTGTGCTGTGATTGGAAAGTCCGTCAATGAATTGGATGGACCAGTGGTTCGATCAACGAAGGTCACACTCATATGGATGGATATGTATGTATGTATGCATCGATGTTCATATATCTACATATGTACATATACATATGTATATATAAATTCACGCAACGCATAGTATTTTGCATTTCGTTGTTGCATTTGGGTGTTTGCTGATGCTAACATTGACAATACAGTGAATGCTGCTGCTGGTTTTGTTTAAGCAAAATTTAAACATTTGTTTTTGTGTATAAAAATTTATAAATAAATCGAATTAGCTGCGCCGCCGGCACACGAGCAGAGCGAACAACATCAACATCAATCCCATAGACAAAGACGCGCGTGCGTCCAAAAACAAAATAAAGTCGAAAATTAAGGAGCGACATAGGTATATGTATGTATATACGTATAAATATACATATGTACATATCTATGTATAAAAGAGAACAACAAACATGATGTATGTATGTATGTACATACATACATACGTATGCACGAATTTAAATGGGATAAACGTACGCCTGCCTGCTTGTTTGTGTTTCACTGCAGATAGCCACATGCATAGATATGTACAAGTAGACACACATGGCACATGTAGGTATACATATGTATGTATATGGTATGTAGGTTTGACCCAAATACAATTTTTCTATGTATATATCCATTCATACATACATATGTGCAAATTTATGGTTACTGTGATGAACTCACTGGTGCTGCAGGATACCACTAACACGCATTAGAAATAAACACACACAACCGTATCACAAACTGAAACGTGCACACTCAACTGGATGCCAGAATCGGTAATTCGATTGTCTTTGGAATCGTTTGGGTGACAACAGACCGAGCGGATGACCGTTACTCGATTCTGATGGCGGCAGCTGGACCACAGATTACGCGAAAATAAAGTAAAATAAAAGTTTGCATGCGCGGGTAATACTACGCGACTGCCTCATATCCATGCCCCTTGCGCACCACTTTATTAGAGATGAACACTTTATTATTAAATGTTACTCAATAAAAAGTGCTAGAAAATCCCGGACTACGCAGTGATTAAACACTACTAAACACTTTTTTTGCATGCATGAATAATAATGAATGATCGCTTTAAATTAAATATGCTTACATTAATATTGATATAAAAGTGTTTACTTTTTGTTTTATATTTAAATTCAAGCATTCATTTGTAAGAATGCTGTTTTAATTAAGTGGACATCTTTATAAATACATGAGCATACTTTTAGGCTTCAAAAAAATTGACATTTACCAGCACTGTGTGGAAAAATTAGCCATCGGGACGTTTTTGTACCGACTACAAGTTTCGTCCATCACTAGCTGCTGTTCCAGCTGTGTATAGCTTTTGTTGTGTTTTTTTTTTGTGGTGTCTGCTGCTCCTTTCATAGCCGGTTAATCTGAAATATGAACGGTCTGCCACAAGCTAAGCATTACAATTTAACGCACTACCAGCAGCGGTATAACTGGGATTGTGGCCTCTCCTGCATAATCATGATATTGTCGACGGCACAGCGAGAGCAAATGCTGACCAACTTTGAACAAATCTGCAAGGAGGAAGGCTTCGGTTCTAGCACATGGACTATTGATCTGTGCTATACGCTGCTGCGTTTTCAAGTGCGTCACGAATACTATACGAAAACCTTGGGCATCGATCCCAATTACACGCAGCACTCATACTACTCGAAAATCATTGACAATGACGAAAAACGTGTGACGCGCAAGTTCAAGGATGCCAAAGCGCATGGGTTGCGCGTGGAGCAAAGGACGGTGGACATGCAAGTGATACTAAAGCACTTGGCCACACACGGTCCCGTGATATTACTGACAAATGCCTCTCTCCTCACTTGCGAGATATGCAAGCGAAATGTTCTCGAGAAATTTGGGTAAGCGTTGTTGTTGATGCAATCCCTTGGGCTTGCTCCGGGTGTTGGGCTCTTTTCCTCTACTACTAACTGCTGTCATTATCAAGTTGTTTTCATGTGTCTTGTATCGCCCAAAATACACGCATGCCCACACCTGTCAACAAAAGGTATGCGGGCCATTATGTCGTCCTCTGCGGATATGATTTGAACGCCAAAAAGCTCTACTATCACAACCCGGAAGTGCACGACGGACGTGAGTTGATGAATTAATTATAAATACCGTGGTTGACTTATACTGTTTATACTTTTCTTTGCAGATATCTGCCGTTGTCTGGTCGATGCCATGGACACGGCTCGCAAGGCCTATGGCACAGATGAGGACATCATTTTTATTTACGCGCCCCAGAACAGCACCAAATAGATGAAAGCATGCGGTATCTAAGCATTGTACCTGCCAGCAGCAATTTGTTGCTTTAAACGTTCCAGGCAGCTTCTGCCAGTTGTTAAATAGAGCGCAGTTAATCCAGTGATACAACATAGCTGCAGTTGCTTGTACCTGCATTGTTCGCTTTAAACAATTGCTTTGGCATTTTATTGTAAACTCTGTCTGTGTAACATGCAATTATTTAGTTTTTTTAAAATAAGGTACACACATACTTGTGTATATTTAAGTTAACTTTGACGGCCAATGTCTGGCGCAATAATTTGTTAATATTTTATTTAGGATAACAAACGTACATTTATTTATTGTAAGCAGCACACATACACACACACTCACACACACATTTAACGAGCATCTGTAAGTGTGTAGTGTGCATGTAGTTTAGGTAATGAGCCTAAACTCTTTGGTCCCCCATAACTAAACAACCAATTTGTTTTTAGTCGCATATGTATTTATGTATGTGTGTGTGTGTGCTGCATTTAGAGACAATTTGTCCAACTACAAAGTACCTTGTTCTTTATAAATATATGTATATAAGAGTAGAGTTTATGTGTCGTGTATTATCGTATGCTATTAATGGTAAAAAAAATACTCCCGTTCAAATATTAATGGCTTGAAATACAAATATATCAGGTCTGTTACAAATATTTTGCAATTGTTAACTTAAACATTTCGTTACATTATCATTTATGTATCGAATCTATTTAAAAGTGATCTAAAAACTAAATGTCTAGAAATACTAAATAATAAACCAACATATGTGGAAAAAACAAATGTACATACTCGTTATTTCAAATTTCAAATTCTATCGAATTTTTACCAACGGAAATGGAGTTAAAAACAATACTAAGTACAATGTTTGTACAATTAGGGACACCAACGAATTCCATTTCGACAGATTTAAAACGGACACGGGCTTTGGAACAGGCCTGTATATTTATATGATATTTCTTATGGCGCTGCAAGTTTATTGCTGCGCTAATTCGGCTTCAGTATCCGCCTCATTTTCGTCGAGCCTCTTGTACAGCAACTGCAATTTAATATGAGGTGCCTCCACGGGCAAAATAATTTGACCCTGAGCATCGGTGTACTTTCCATAGAGCTGCTCGCTGAGCATTTCAAATCCGTTGGAGCGTAGAATTTTCTGCGAGAAAATGCCCGTGGCATCAGCCTTCATTATAGGGAAACCACAATCCCGAGCTACGCGCTCACTGCGCCGCACCAGCTCCTTGGCAATGCCCTGACCACGAAATCGAGCGTCCACGGACAGGATTCGCACATCAAAGGCTCGATCGACACCGAAGCGGGAGAACAGCTTACTCTGCAGGCCGTGAGTGTAGAGCAGCTCGAAAATTTTCTTAAAGTTGTCGTCACTGCTCAGTTCCAATTGGGCGAGCGCCCGCTCCGTATCACCCGGCCGCAGGATTCCATTGAGAATGACGCCCGCAATACGTCCATCCTCGTCAATAGCCATCAGACTTAGCCCGTCCGACAGCGTCTCCAGACTGTGGTGTTCCAGCTCTCGGTTGCCCACGCCAGGTCGGCACAGCCCAGCAGCCTTGTTCAGTGGCTCGTCCGCGAAGAATGTGTTTCGCAAATGGTCGATGACATCGTCATAGCGGTCAGCGGGTATCAGTTTGTACTCCATATTGGTGCGTTAGTTATTTAAATTGTGGCTGGTTGCTGCGTTGCAGGACGATTGACTGAATGGACGTTGTCTGTGGGTATTTCAAATATAAGTTGATTTTAAATATTCTCGCAGAGATGCAGACAAATCTCTGGGAGCCTCAAAAAAATACAGAATACGAAAACAATAACAACAAATTAGTGTTTTTTTCCGCTAGAAAGTTGCAGAGCCAAAAGCTATTTTGCCAATAGTAGTTTTTAATAATCTGGAGACAAACATTTATCACGACGAGCCTAAATTAGCGAGCCCGGGATGAAAAATCGAACAGTAAACAATAAAGTTGGACCATTGACTGGACTCTTCCTTTATTAAGGCGCCAGTTAATAATTTTAAAAATTGTTTACGTATAAAACTTACTGTATTTGTGCATTTGGAAACAACGAGTATAATTTTATTCTGATTCTGAATACCCTGCACACCACATCCTTTTCCCCGCTACAGGCATTCAACTAAAATGAACTTTGTTGTTGCAATCGTTCCCATGGCAGCTATATTGACTTGAGAATATGGTGCGGCATCGTAGCACAAATCATTAATATACAAATATGCGGGTATATCAAAATAAACACACAAACATGGAGTATTAGGATTAATTAAAATTAAATTCCTTACTTCATGTTTTCTCGTCTACTATCTAGTTTCATAGCAAAAGGCAGGATAATACGGCACAAGAGTTTTTATTAAGATGCACTCTTTATAGCCAAACGGTTTTTTTGGTATGTATAAATTTTTACTAATAAACAAGAAAGGAATGCTAAAGTCGAGCAGGCTCAACTCTTAAATACCCTGTACCACCCCATAAAAAAAAAAATTAAATTTAATTATTTAATTAATTAAATTTAATTAATTAATTAATGTAAATATAAAATATTCCATACATGCATACATACATTTACATTTACATCACAATCGTGTCTATTCGTGTTGGTGTACTTGTACATATGTATGTATGTGTGCATTGGGCCTGGTTATATGGCTATAACTTTCTAGAAAGAAAGTTCAGAAGATCAACCTATCATAATGAAACTTGGTATACGGATATATAATCAGTAACTGAATGTGTCAACCAATTTTAGTTTCAAATTCCAAGAATTACGGGAGTTATAGATAATCTTGAATAGGGGGGGGGGGAGTGGGGGGGTGCATCGGGAAAAATGAACAAACTCGTCCTTTCTCGGGCTCAGGAGAATCTAGATACCAAGTTTAGTTATTCTAGCTCTTATACTTTCTGAGATCCTTGCGTTCATACAGACAGACAGACGGACAGACAGACGGACAGACGGACATGGCTATATCGACTCGGCTTGTCATGCTGATCAAGAATATATATACTGTGTTACATGTACACTCGCACAAAACTAATATACCCTTGTACCCTTTGGGTACAGGGCATAAAAATCAAGACGGTGAAGGAGGTATGGTCTACCTTATGTTATAGGTACATTTGAAATCAGGCGAAATGAGGCGAATTAGTCGGTTCATCCGCCCGAATGAAGATGAAGAAATCTCAACTGATTTCAGCTAGGAACACAACAATTGTCCTATCCCTTTAGATGTTTTCTATAAAACCATATAATTATTTTGCATAACTTCCATAGGATGGATTTGTGCAAAAATGCGCTCTAGCTAGCAGAAATATTCTTGTTCATTACAATATCGACACCAATTTTGGAATTAAAAATTATAACAAAATGGAAATAGATTTGTTCTTGAACTGAGCCTTTCATGTATTGTTTTGTTAATTATAAAACTAAATAGATTTTAGAGAATGGGTTTGAGAATGTATTTAATTTTGGAACTTGCAGTTTAAAAAATATAGTTGTCTGGAGAGTTTAAAAAAAGAAAGCGCTGAATATTTGTACGGCATTTTCAAAATTCCCGCGTCATAAAATATATGTTTTTTTTTTGGCATGAAAAGGATATCGTCGGTTTGGCATTTCAAATATACTATATAGAGTGTTTATAAATTGCTCGACTATAGAGGTTAAGTCGTGTATAATTAATTTAGTTTAGCACTGAAACCTGTAATTAAATCTTCTATATATTTGTGATTATAATTGTGTTAGCGTCGATAGCATTTATACTTTTATGTCTGATAATCGAATTAAAAAGCACTCGAGGTCTTAAGCACTCACACCCCCCACTTACACCCGCACTCTCACTCGGCAATTATGCACTCCTCGAATGCTGTTCGCTGCTCCGATTACAATCGCATTATCCTCAACATTTACGGCGCTTAACTGCAGAGCATTTCAGAGAACACTCCCACTTTTACTCCACTCAAACATCCTGCTCCTGCTCCTACTCCTACCCCACCCCTAACGCCCCCAACCCACCCCCACAACTGCTCTATGTGGCCAGTGTCAGCGACGATGACAAGTGCTTGATGATGACATTTTGATTGCTGGCGCTGCTTTTGGAGCAATTGAAATCGGAATCGGACGGCATTACACCTTTCAAATTCTATCAATTACTCACTTTTCACTTGGCCAGTATTGCTTTGTTGCTGTTGCTGTTGCTATTCCTGACCTGCTTTCCAGCCTCGCTTCTCGTTTTGTGGCTCGATTTGCGTCTTTGTTTCGTTCGGAACTGTTGCACGGCGAGCCGCAGCACAAAATTTATAACTTACTTGCAGGCGCTGCGAAAGCCAACTGCGACGGCCACGGCTTGCTGGGAGTCACGGCAGCAACAGCATCAGCATCAGCACCAGCAGCATCCTAGTTAAGCGAGTCCTGGCACGCACACACGCAGCCACACACAGCAAAGAGGAAGTGCGAGAAAAAGTTGCCAGTGGCGTAGGCCAGGGGGTTCATTTCTTGCACCAACGTAGTTGGAAGGAAAAAATACAAATCTAACATACAAATGTTGATTTCATTACTAAATTAAATCATTTGTAAACTGCAAATATATGTATATCAATAGAAAATAACTTTGCCAGCCTCTTAAGTATAATATAGTACTCTAAAATGAAATTATAGGATAGCTTTGAAAAACGCAGCTGCTTCGCTAAACATGGATTTCGGACGAGGGTGTGAATGCATGGATTTGTTTTGTTACACAGGAATAAAAAAGGGACAAATTATACAAAAGGGAATTATTATTTCTTCCATATACTATTCACCGACAGTTATTTGTGTTTCAAAACTGATTGTATTCGAAAGTCTGAAACCTTTGTTGTACGAAATCAAAAGCGATCGACAGAGGTTTCAACTCTGTTCTCAATTCCGACTTACTAGCTTCGATTAAGTTCTACAGCTGGCTTTATGTTGGTTTTCTTTGAATCAGATTTAACAAATGTTTTCTATTAAATTTCATATGGTGAGAATAAAGTTGGGAACTAAACGTACAGGAGGTACATCCTTCTTTACTAATTCGATAAAATTTGAAGAAAAGCACAAATGTTCCCTAATTAAGTGCATTTTTCTAAAACTCCTTCAATAGCATTGGATTTACTATAAGTAAAGGAAATATCAAGCTTTTGAGAGAACAATCCTGAGAACAATCCTGATTATGTGTATTCGGGGAGTATGTATTTTCAGAAGAATGCTTTGAAATGCTTTTAAGGAGAATTGCAAACCTTTTTTGGACTTTAGTATCCCCTCTAGTATGCGTATGTGGCACCCTGCGCCGCTGCTTTTGAACGCTTCGGCATTTGCTCTTCATCGTTTTCGTTTTCGCTTTCGTTTCGCTGCTATTGCCAGAAACAAAGGGGGCGCATCATTGGGGGCGCGCCATTTTTTCGTTGACAGGATGCGTGCGACGAGCGGCACTTGACTGAGTGACTGAACTACGTGCGTGCGTGTATATATGTGTGTGTGAGTGTGTGCGTGCGCGAGCGAGTCGGTGAGCTTGCAAGTGAGACAATGAGTGAGTGAGTGAGTGATTGCCTGACCATGACTTCTGGCAAATACAAATGTTTTCGCATTAGAGAGCAGGAGAGAGCGCACTTACATAGGCGAGCGAGTATTTAATGGCGCCCAAGCGGGGGCTGCGGCATAGCAACGGCTTCAACTGTTGATTCCCACTTTTGATTTTATTTATGTATGTACGTATGCATGTACATATGTATGTATGTATGTATATGTTGAAATGTTTGTTCTGTGTACACACAATTTTCGACTTTTTCGCTTACCGACGTGTCGAGTGTGCAAGCGCCCTAGACTAGCCGATATGGGGTGACCCATATACACACAAATAACAACAATACACGAGTATATTTACATACATATGTATGTACATTTGTACATAGTAAGTATATAAGAATATGCATGTGACAGCCACAAGGGTCTTGCCGCTGGCCTTGCCAAAATGTGTATTATGGCGCAGCAACAGGCGAAATCAGGCGCGTTGCCAGGTTGCTTTTGGGCCCGAATTGGGGGTAATCTCCTGCTTACAGGCGTTTTGAAGTTGAATGCCATCGCAGCAGGAGCAGACAAATGAATAAATTCCATCGGAAAATAAGAAACGATAAAAGAATAAAGCCACACCAGTAAACCAGTAGAGTTGAACGCCGTTATTGGCATTTAATGTGCAAAATTGAATTGAACATATGTACTATATGTTTTAGGCCTCTTTAAATAATTACATTATTATGATTAAGCTCTAAATATTCATAATGTTATGCATTTAAGTTATTAAATAGAATGTGCCGATTTTTGGTATTTTAATTTTTTATTTTATATTTTCTTTCTTTTATTGAATATCTTCCAAATGTTTTTCTAAAAATAAAAATCGTTTAAGTCCAGAATTGTAATCGTTTTTTTAGGAATATGTTGAGCCAGAAAATTTGTTCGCAGTAAGCTCTTGGTTCGGACTATGTAGTTTTTACAAGTTTTTTGTAAAAGATTTTGCTTGAATTTGGAAACCTACTTGTATGCCAAAAAACACAAACGAAAAAAAAAAACGAAAACGCAAAGCGGGAAAATGCAAACATTGATCGCAGAAAGTGCCCATCAAGCTGAAAGCTAAAGGAATTAAACGACGCTTGTCACATATTTCGGGAACACAAGAGTCTTCCTCTTCCACCACGACTAGTGTAGGGCTCCCTTGATTTTTTTCATGCTGTAGCAGAAACCTAAAAAAAAAACAAAAACTCTCGCAACCGATTCTCCGAACATACTCGTATACAGCTATACCAAACATCTCATTTGATTCATTCACTTGAAAATGGAAAATGAAATTTAAGTTAATAAGCACCTATTTGCCAAGCAAAACATATTTTGATTGTAATCGTAGGCCGAGTTAACCGACCGTGATTAACTAATTGATTCCGCTAATTACATTTAATTGAGGCACCATTGTGGGTGGCATTATTATTTTATGAAAAGGCTTTGTGACTACAAACTTAATGTATTTCTGCTTAATTGCCCACAACAATCGGCTAAATGACTTTTCTTTTATGAAAATTAATTTGACAAATTCTGTTTTTTTAGGGCCATCGGCTTAAACATTTCAAGCAATTACAAATTTGATTATGATTTGCTTTTGGTTTTCGTTAGCTTATAATTTATTTACTATATTTCTTCCTAGCATTATGTTTCTCCCTTATATTTATTATATTACATTTCTCCCACGAGGAAGATGATCCTCAGGTCAGGCAGTGGACTAGGGCTTCCTTACCGTTGCATATTAGAAGGACCAAGAGCAGGTAAGAGGCTGCCCGGCGCTCAAGCTTTAAATGGAGTTCTAAAGGAGGGAATAGTTTCCATTCAAACTACGCAAGTCTCTTTCGGTTTGAGATGATCTAAAAATATATCCTTTTTGAATAAAAATAGGAGTACTTTTTGAGAGGGGAAATTGTTGATAGAAACTATGGGAGGGGTGGATTAAAGTCTGATTACTGTAAAACTTGGTAACACACTGCCTGTACTGCTTTTCGAGCCAGTGAAGGACCTTTTTTTTGTTTAATAATCAACATCTCTTACAGAAGGATTTTTTCTTCACAACCATAATACTGCCAACAAAGAGTTATTAAAACTCTTAGAAGATAAGATAAGATAAGATGAAATAAATTTAAAAAAAAATAGTTTAATGCAAACTAATATATAAGTATATCTGAAGGTAAAATAATGAAATTTGGTTTTCATATTCACTTTAGTCCTAAGCAGATCAAGTTTACGTTTATTTACTGATCCACCCCACCTCAGTTTTTCGCGATTTTCCATAGCTACCGTAGTTCTTGGCATTTATTTTAACATAATTACAATTCTAACACGCTGCGAGTTATTAAATCCAAAAGCTTAACTTAATCCTAAGCGAGCAAGGAAAGAAACTTCAATTAAGAAAATAAGCTGGAGGGGTGCTAAGCAAAGCAACAGATATTAATTTAATAATCTCAATTAAGACACTACAAGATGACTGTTGGCTTTCGATTTAAAGTGGCAACTAGGCGGCAATCAAGCGAGAATTCAATCATCTTCCTTGCCCGCTTCACGAGTATTTCTAAGTTGCACTAACTAATTATTTAAATGAATATGTATGTATGTGTTTGTGGGCTCGTTACTCTCCAGTGGGTCGTCGTCGTACTTTCGTGTGGGCGCCACTTATTTGCAAATATGCCGACAAATGCTATGTATGTGCGAGTGTATTTGAATTCGTTGGTGGACTTGGAGATGTACATGGGCATGAGGACGGGGACGGGGAGGGGGCCGTGGCCATGGCTTATATGTATAAGGCGAACACGTGCCTCACATACCGCTTTGTTTGGCTGGCTGCGGCGGGGGGAGAAAACTAAAATTTCGGCTAGACAGACTTATAAAATGACAAATTGCTGAACTGATGGACTGACAAACTGGCAGGCACATATGCCATATGACGACGCTGACCAAGACGCATACGCAAATTGCGTGACAATGGACAGCGCAGTGGACGCAGAGCGCGTAACGGGCGCAGGTCAAACGCACAAAGGTATTTCAAAGTCAATGACAGTGGCAGTGGCAGTGGCGGTGGCAGAGTCCGACTATTGTCGAGCAGGGCGTGCACCCCCAGAGCTAGAGTCCAGTTCTTATTTAACAGTTCAGTCAGTGGCCAGTTGGCAGTGTGGTGCGTACGCTATTCTCAGCAATCAGACCCAATTTAAATCAATTCGTGCTAACGGCCCTCTAACGGCCACCATTCACAGAATCAGTCGCACCATCAGCAACAGCTACAGCAACAGCTACAGCAACAGTAACAGCAACATCAGCAGTAGCAGTAGAATTAGCAGTTCGTAGTGATGACGATGCGATTGGCATTGGAAAGCAATACTGAATTTTGGGTTTCATTAAAGCCAGCTGTTGCCTAATCATAATTTTTCAACAACCGATATTGGTTTCTAATTGCATGTAATTTGATGAAACAAAGCTACCGACTCTTCCGTTCTTTCCGTTTTCAGCTGTCAATGAGCAAAATAATTAAACTATAGTATGTCTGCATCTGAGTGGCTGATTCAGCATTAGTACTATATATTGTTTGTCTCTATTTTGCTATTTACAGGTCCGTTACGAAATGTACAATTTACTGATTGATTTAAGCCGAAATAGTTTGATTCGGCTTCTAAAGTTAAATTCGAAGGTTTTATCCCCAGTGAAAAGAAAAGAAGGCTTTAAATGTGCATAAAAATTATTTTCCAAAAATGTGAATAACTCCAGTTAAAGCTTCAGATTTTAAAACGCGCTAATAATAATTATAACAACAGCAATAATAACAATTTGGATGAATCGGTTTTGTGACAATTTCTCAATTGAAAAATGTAACTACTTATGTTTTCGAATTTAAAAGGGTGTGTACAAATACATATGACCCTGAAATTGAGCGGCTGATTTGGTGGGGACAACACTTTTTATTTTTAAATTGTCAGCACTGTTATTGTTGGCCGTGTAAAATGTTCATTCAATTCTCTTCATTGCAGACAACACACAAAGTGATTTATTCGATTTTTACGATTTTATTCAATAAATTTTGAGTAGCGAATAGAAAACCTGCATCCAAAGCGTGAAGAATTCGCAGAAGGCTTTCGGTACACAGGCTATATTAGAAATATAAGTTTATGAATGTCACAAAAAGCAAGGAATTCATGAGAACTAGAGCTGAAGCTTTTATCATTTTTAACTGATCAGTCAAAACCAATTTAAGACAACTTTTTTGCCGCGTAAAAGTCATATCGCATTTGGTTCCAAAAACACTACACCAATGCAAACAAGACTCATATACTTGTAGTATTGGCCTGGCTTAGATCCGTGTGACCTCTGGGTATTTTATAAATTGAAAAGAACACGATTGAGAAGTTTCAAGCCGAAGGCCATTCCCGAAAAGGACTTTTCGGGCTACTTCGAGAATTGGAATAAGCGTGAAGGCGATAAAACGCATTTTAATCAATAATTTAAGAATTTTAATGTTATAATAAATATTGCGGGTTATATTTATACACAGTAGTATATAAATAACTGAAATAGATGTCCAGTTAGTGGGCTAAACTGATATTAAGTAAACACACACACATGCGTGCATATAGACGCACAGACACAGCTAAGCATACGCTCTCAAGCACTCTATTAATGCAATGGACGCCTATAATGAATTGTTTCCAAGCGTCGGCGTCGCCTCACCCACCCATCAAACAGAAACAGCTGTTGAACAGCTGACGTCTCATGGCTACTGTTGCCACCCCTCTGCTGCTGCTGCTGCTGCTGCCATTCGCGATCGACGTCGTCGTCGTCTTCGCAGATCGTCAACATGTTGTTGGTCGCTCGTTGACGGTTTCTTCGATCGGCGTGCGACGCTCGCGGGCCAATTTTGTCGCTCGTTCCGGAGCATCTAGACGCGTCTCTTGTGAACGCGCTCGGTGATCTTTGTTTTGCGCGCTGTCCGTTTATTTTTGTATATTGTCGCATATATTTAGTTAATATTTTGTTGTTATTTATAGTTTAGTTTGTTTCTGTTTTGTTGTCTGTCTCGTGTGCTGTGTGTTTTTGTTACACAAAATTTTGTCAGACAGACTGTTTGTTTTAAGACTAGCTCCAAAAGAAAAGCTTACAAATGGCAACCAAAGATCGTCTGCCAATATTCCCATCGCGCGGGTGAGTAGCATCCATGCTTTGGCTTTAAAATGGCGCTGAATTCAAGCACTTACTCGTATTTATTTAACAGGGCGCAAACGTTGATGAAATCGCGACTGGCGGGCGCCACAAAGGGCCATGGCCTACTCAAGAAAAAGGCAGATGCGCTACAAATGCGCTTTCGTCTCATTCTTGGAAAGATCATTGAGGTGGGTCGAAGATTATGGGATTCTATACAAGCAAGAGCGTGTTAATTGTTTCTCCCTCTCTCTTACAGACGAAAATGTTGATGGGTCAGGTGATGAAGGAGGCCGCCTTCTCGCTGGCCGAGGTGAAGTTCACCACCGGCGACATCAATCAGATTGTGTTGCAGAATGTGACGAAGGCGCAGATCAAGATACGCACCAAGAAGGACAATGTGGCCGGCGTAACGTTGCCCGTCTTTGAGCCCTATCAGGATGGTGTAGACACATACGAGCTGGCCGGCTTGGCGCGTGGTGGTCAACAGTTGGCCAAGCTAAAGAAGAACTATCAGAGTGCTGTGCGCTTATTGGTCGAGCTGGCCTCACTCCAAACCTCCTTCGTGACGCTGGACGACGTCATTAAGGTGACGAATCGACGTGTCAATGCCATCGAGCACGGTAAGTGGCAATGCGAGTGAATCGTGTCAGTACTAGAGAATGCCGATGTTTTCAGTGATAATACCACGCATTAATCGCACCATCGAATATATCATTAGTGAGTTGGACGAATTGGAGCGTGAGGAGTTCTATAGGCTGAAGAAGATACAGGATAAGAAGCGGGAGGCGAGAAAACATGCGGACAAACAACGCGAGGAGCTGCGTCGTCAGGGGTATGCGGTACGCGAGGAGGTGCAGAATATACTCGAGGACGATGGCGACGAGGACTTGCTGTTCTAAGCGACACACACACACACACACACACACAAACACACACACACACAATAACACGCACCCGCAAACAAACCTCTTTAGCCAAGCAAGCAAAAGAAATTCGCAAATTCTGAGTTCCATCTTTTTATTGTTCCTTGTCTCTCTACATATGTATGTATGCATATGTATGTATGTAGTGTACTGTGTATATGTATGTGTGGTGTGTGTGTTCCAGATCTGTCCTACTGTGTGGAGGGAGCAGCGCTGTTATTGTTTTTGTTGTTGTTGTTTCCAGAAATCGATGTTGTTTTTGTAATTAATGAAAATATGAATATGGAGCTCTTGATATTAACATTTGCGTGCGTGTTTTGTTTTCTAGTTGCTGTTTTTTTTTTTTGTCTTTTATGTTTAATTTGTTGAAAGTATTTTTTATGTTAATTCATTCATTGTGCAAATTTTGATGGCCCATAAAAATGTCTCATTAATGAGTGTATAGCTCCAATTGTCGTCGCCGACGTCGTTGTCATAGCCAAATAGATGTTGAATCGGCGGCGATATCGATATGTTTGGTTATACCCCCAGATACAAGTACATACTTCTACTATATGTATGTATGTATATGTATGCGGTTTATCTGACTTGACTTGTGTTTTAAAGCGGTTGGGGCACGTGCCTCGGCACATGGCATTCATTTGAAATTAAAATCGTTGCGTTTTTGGTTGGTATGTATATAAAATTATTTTTATTCATATTCCATGTTTCTTATACACATAATAGTTTACCATTGACCACGTTTTGTTCTTGTTTTTATTTTTTTTTATATATGTATATGTATATATGCATATATGTATGTATACTATATATAATATGCATTTTTTCTATGTAGTATCTAGTTCTTAGAGTTCAATTTTGTTTTCTTGTTGCAATTTAAATTCGGCTTGCTTATTAAATTCATAGCTACGTTTGCCAGAAGCTTGCATCAACTTGCATTTACAGTTAGTTTCTCTAGCCTTTGCATTCTTATTGTTTCGTTATGAAATCTATGTTGTGTTAAAACGGCTTTAATGTAGCGACGTGCGGCTAAAATGTACAAATAATAATAAATGTATAAAGAAATGATCGTAGGCAGTTGAAATTCTAGTATCTCAACCTTGCCTTTAAGATTCGTCGTACATTGCGCGTTCTGCGGTTTGTTTCTTCCATTCAAGTATCGGTTTGTGCCACAAATGAATGAATGAATAAATACAATACAGCAGCTTAAATGAGTCTTATTTGGCTTAATTGTTTTAGATACATTTGCTTTAGTTCGAGATTCGAACATGTAACATTTCTAATCGTAATTAGGAGACGCCAAAATACTTAATAATAAATTAATTTTAATATAATATTTCAGCGTTTTATAAATGTTGAAAAGGTATTTTTGAAAGCCAACCCATGTCCCTTTATTGTGGTGTAAAAAAAACTCTATTCATAAATATAGAGATGCACTTGGAATCAACTTTGGAACAAAAATTCAAATAATAAAAAATATTTGATATTTTTCAGCTTTTGTTAAGTCGTTTACCAGGTAGTTTCTAAGCACAATTGTGGAACTTGAAATCCTAGAATTGAACCGTGAAATATTTCAGCATTAGGGTACTTTTTTCTGCATATCTTATACATTTATAGCGGAGCATAGCATTTCAAAATTGTCAGATCAAATAAGTGAAAAAATAATCAAATAATATTATGGTCTGTTATTTTTGAAATTTAATTTTCACTGTGAAATGTGTATTTACCATCTATATAGTTTCGATATTTGAGGTCGTTATCTGTGCATATAACTTGCCTCCACAATCATGCGGTCTTAACTCCTCTGTTCGTCTATGCATCCCTCGCTTACTCGGAGTTCGATTTATATAATTAAGACAAAACAAATTTTTGATAACTTTATATCAATGAGGTTTACGAACAAATTTAGTGATAACAACTGAAATCTAATTTGGCAAATATACAAAAAGTTGTTTATTATAAGGCATATTTATTGACGGATCTTTTTGATTACAACTTCAAATAGAGTATGGGAAACTAATGTAGTTGAATGCCAATTCTTAGTCTCAAAGTATTAAGCATTCCATTAATCTATTCTGTAATGAAGTTTAAATGCCAAGCTTGCCATTTCACTGTAGACAACAGTCTCCGCTAGTGACGAAATCGATATCGCCAAGGAGCTGCAATACTCTGCCCCAAAAAGGTACATAGGTCGTCATTCGTTACAGCTTTTGGTGGAATTTATTTAATTTTTGACTGATGACAGTTTTTATAAATTGCCATATCATGCCCAATTAGGTTTTAATTAACGAATATGAACAATTGCCATTTATGCCTGTTTCAAGGGCAATTTATTTGAATTAAAATTAAAAATCATATCATTCATATCGAGTGATTCGTAGCATCGATATAATTTTTGAAAATATGTATATATTCTTTCGGTAACAAAGCGTTCTTAAACACGAGTTATGTCGCTATCTTCGACTGGGCCGAAGCCATATATCCTCCATTCTCTTCCATAACATAAAGTTGCTTCCGTCAATCTAACCTTAAGTGTCTTTATAAGCAAATCGTTCACTACAAATCATTTCTTACTTAATTCCCCAATGGTCATCCAAGGCCGTACAAACAGGACAACAACCTTCCTTATAAAGAATATATTGAAAGCATACCATTTCGTTCCTTTATCGATTCGTATCGCCAAGCTGTTCACATTTCGTCTACCGTTCTTTCTTCTGGGTCTTACAAACTTACCATCCTTAATGAATGTACCCCTTCATTTTTTTTGAAGTCTATAACTATGAGTACCTACTAAAAAAAAAATTACATTTCCTATGCACTTATAGTTGCAATTAGTTTGGTTTCTTGCATTTTGGCACTACAATTCGCTCGCTCAAACATAATAAGCGGATTCTAACATAGTTAAATATAAGGCCTCTATATTATTTTCCTCTCCTAAAGGGTTCACTTTCACTTTCCACGCCTTAACAGATCGCTTCAATTCGGTGTGCACTTTTCACACATGTACTATACGTAGGTACAAAATATCGGATACATATCTTACATAGTTCCCATTGGTATTTGTTTTGTATTTAAGTTCTCAGGTTGCTTTGTATGCATGAGGGTGGCTCGAATAAATATATGTATGTGTGCCTTTTCCAAAGGCTATATGTATATGTAAATATTTGTTTAATATGTATTTTTTGTATATGGTTTATATGTGTATCGTCGATCTCAGATAAAAATAGTGCATCTCACTTTTTCAATACATTTTAAGAGACGCAAATTATCATTTTACAAGTACAAGTAGATGGGAAACTTGGACACGATTGACAATTCAATTGGCAAATGCTAATTCTCTTGTTCCAAATATTTTCGAAACATTTCTATAACAATTTCTATAACTTTTTAAAGCACTAGGAAAGGAACAACGTGTAGGAATGACCAATCTTGATCGATACGCATGAGGATACAATTTTAAAATCACTTTTGATTTCACTGAGTGAAAAAAGCAAAAAGCGTTTTATCCGAATTCATTGATCAATATTTGATAAGTGTATGCACTTTCCATCTGACAGCAACGATATATGTATTATATGTTTGGAAATACATATAACTTCTTTAGAAGTATGTACAGCCAAGTTCAGAAATTGGGCTTCAATTCCATTAAAAAAAATTACACACGCATACCACAAACTTGCTTAATTATAGCGCTAAAAAAAATCGTAATGCTTAGCATACCTAATTAACACTGCATACATATACTCGTATATATTAGTTACATACAAAAAAAAATCGTTCGGTTTTAGTGTTTAGTTTTTGCTCCGTTGCAGGTTTTGAATATATAAAAAATTCTTTGTATATAGGCGGCAGAATTATTTAAAAAAATGTGCACATACATATATTTAAAAGTTATTCAGTTATATTAGTTAGTACCAAGGTTCAGTAATCCATAGGTTAGACATTGCTTCGATCCACCATGCAATGGGGTCTAATCGGGACACCACAGTATGAAGCCCTCCCCCTTAGTAATTGCATAACCTAGCTTGGTACAGTTGCGCGCTTAAAAGCTAAGCTGGTCTGTCAAAGAGGCAGACAGTTCGTAAAAGAGACAGAGAGACATAGAGAGAGAGAGATAGATAGATAGAGAGAGAGAGAGAGACTAACACGCGTACAGGCAGGAGAGCGTGTTGGCTGTCGCGAAGCCTTAGGCATTGGCTGCAGTTGTTGTTACTGTTGCTGCTGCCGTTACTGCTGCTTTTACTGATGCTACTGCTGCATTTGCAGCCGTCGCTGTTGCAGAAACTTGTGACGTCATAAATATTTGTGGTGGAATTTGGGCGCCAGGCATCACACATTTGTTCTGCAAACACAACAAGAAAGAACGAGCGATCGATCGAACGAAGACAAGAAGGCAAAGCATAACGGCGTGAAGCAATAAAAAATCATCATTTAAAGTTAAAAATTATATATAAATACATATTTATATATATGTGTGTGCGTGTGTAGAACGAGAAGAAGAAGAGAGTTATAGAAAGAAAATAATTTACTTATTGTTGTTGTTCTGGCTGTGGTTGTTGTTCTTTTTGTAAGTGTATGCAATTAGTTTTTGTTGTTGCAATAAGCGCAGCAAGTAACTTTTTGGTGTGGCAAACAACAAAATAGTATGCGTCAAAAAGTAGCAAAAATAGTAGTAGACATGCTACTGCGCAGATGCACGGCTGCCACTGCCTGTCACAGTTTCAATTTTGTTCGTCCAGTGTTCGGAAATGCTTACAGCTTTCTAATTAGTAAAAGCGGAGAAAATGCGAACTCTTGTAAATAGGTTTCGGTATGAGATTACAACATTTTTTATCAGGAAAAACTGAACTAAAAGTCTGGATAGTTTGCTTCTTGTATTGCATGTTTTTGAAGCCTTTCATCATTGCTTCATCATCTAGGTACCAAATGAGATATTTGCCGGATATTTAAAATAGAATTGTTTCTAATTATTGTTGAACCTTTAGCCTTAATTTAGGAAATCTGAGAGTTAAGCATTATTTGTCTATTCTTGTACATAAAGCGCAACTACACTGTGAAATTAACAACAAGCACTTGCTAAATTTGCGGATTCTTCAAATGAAGTATTTAACTATACCTATAAAAGTTCTCCTAAAGGCACTATTCTGATACCTTCTCCCCCCGCTTATTGTACCTTCGTAGGTAACATGAAGAGCAACGACAATGTCAAAAAATTTGTCATATGTATGTACGAGTATGTGTTAATTAGATACAAATATCTAATAACTAATATATTTTAAGATACAGCCTCGTCCCATTGCCCGGAGGGTTTTAATTTCTCAAAAGCATGATTGGAATTCCGATTTTTAACTAGAATTTGAAAATCCCTATGGGTAATGGACATAATGTTTCGAGGGCGATTCTGAACTAACAGTATCCTGATCAGGAATATTTTAGTTCATATTTTTACACCTTGGGTTACATTATTGGTGTTTCAGCAAGCATCCCTATCTTTTTTGCAAATATAATATAGAGTATGTTAACCGGGGATAGTGTGGCTTTGAAAGAATCCTTTAAATAGGTTCAGTAGTTTCGGAGCATATTCACTCCAAATAAGCAAACAAACAAAAAATCAAATCATTCCTCTTTATAATATTAAGTACAAGCTACAAGCATACGAGTAGATCTAACTGAAGGAATTGTTCGACTAGGCATTTACCAATAATCTGCTGATTTTTGTATCCATAGCAGTACTTTTCCGAACACTTGGTTAATCAATATGCCTGTCTCTTGGACTCCATTTGGGCAAGCGGCAGTCGCGCAGGCGCGCAGATCTGTATGTATACGTATAGTGTATAATGTGTTTGTATGTACATGTCTGTATCATGCACAATATGAATTTAAAAAATCGTTGTTAAAATTTGTACTATATACACTAAATTGATGTTATTGCCAATAAAGTGGCACATTTGTGATTTGTAGACGCTTTAATTTGCCAGAGCTTAGGGCGGGGGTGGGGAGGGTTGTCGCTGACAATGGAGAACTAGGAGGAATCATTAAGGATATTATGTATGTGGGGGTGTTTTATTTTTTTACAAAGTGTTTTATGCGCAAATGGAGTTGAACTCAACATTGGCTCACTGTTGATGGAGAATGCTGTGCATTCTCGCCAATAGTCTTCATCATTCTAGTCCTTTGTAGTCCAAAATAAAATATCGTCGTGGGCCATCATCTTCTGGTTTTGAGTGTGAACTTAATGGGGTGCTTGGGGACAGCTGGGAACAGTTTTCACGCTAGGCGGGAATAGGCTATGCGGTCTATCGGCTTGGGGTGGGAGTGTTCGGGATAGCTCTAAATGATGATAACAAATAATTATTAATATTGATGCTAGTCGAATTTCAATCCAATTGGGATAAGATAATGCCAAGCTACTTTTTGGCAGATGTGACAATTCTCAGATTGGCGCATGTTGGAGCGTATGGGCGTTAATTTTTTTGCAATGAACATTTAAGCGTTTTGTGAACACTAGTGAGAAGCAACAGCAGCGGTTGCGACTGCGACTGCGGCGTCGCGACAGCAGTGGCGGGGGTGGGGGGTGGGTGTGTGGTGGAAGGAGGTTAGCTACCTTCGACTACAGCCAAGTGATGCGGGCAAGCGAGCGGATGGGTGGATTGGTGGCTTGGTGGTGTGTTTGTGGCTTGGGGGTGGAGGAGCACTATGAAACGCAACTACGAACGAGAAGAACTACGGTGGTGTCTAGTTGGTGGCTAGAAGCTACTGCTATTAGATCTACTGCTCTGACAACTCAAATACAACTGACTCGGGAGGTACGGATGACGCTGGCGGCACTCTCAGTACCTTTTGGCCGCGAAAGCACAGGATGATCATCCAGCTGGAGCCAGCGCTTGGCGAAGTACCAGCCGTCGTATCCTTGCTGTGGATACGTGTCGCCGACACCGATGTGACCGCCACATCGGGAGGTGTTGTGTCAAGGGTGCGAGGTCGCGGACTGGCATTGCCATTATTATTGTTCCGCTGCACGAGTCTTTGTCGTTGGGCGGTATGGTCGTGGGTGACAACGATGCTGGCACAGCTGCCCTTCCGGTAGTTGACACGTTTGTTGGGTGGCGACACGCTGTGGGAGTAGAGCAGGTTAGAGGGCCAAGGACTTGGTTATGACAGACCACTTACCGCTTACCACCGGGCAATGAATCGCCCGGCTGCTGCAGGGCGTCCGTGTCCGGCGCTGTGTTGTACGCGGCCGAGTACATGGAGGTGCGCTTGGGCACCCACTCCGAATGACCACGCACAGACATGTAGACGGCAAGGCTCTTGAGCAGCACAGCGCGCACCTGCAAATATTTCGACAGCCTCTTGACACGGAGCGAAAATTGAGTTTGGCCACACACACTCACCTCACCGTTTAGGAAACAGTAGATAAGTGCAATGAAAAAACCCTGAAAGGAGGTCAAGAAATGTGTGCCATAGGACCACAGCGCGAATTTCCACGCCGTCTTCAGGTCCGGTACCAGATACAGCAGATTTGTGATGCCCAGCAGCGGCAGCAGGACTATGGCAGCGCGTACCGCTTTGCGGGTCTGCTCGATATCGCTGGCCTGAGATTGACGCAGCTTGACAACCAGAACGCGTATTATGTTGACCAGGAATATGAAGTTCAGCTGCATTATTTCAAGGTGTAATCATCGTTAGGGCTTGGTTATTCCTGGGGGAAATCGCATACCCACCAATATGACTACCAGGCGAGGACCCTCGAGTATCCAATAGTAGGGCGTTAGGTTATAGTTCCACATACAGTCGCCCAGTGCTGTATCCATATAAATGACCGTGCATAGCGCCCACACGGTAGTCATCAGCACTGGCATGCCCCAACCGAGGACCGAAAAGAACCTGTGCGGAAAGCTGCCTTGAAATACCGCAACCGTCACCATATTGTGGAGGTAGAGGCCCTCGATAAACATCCACATGAACATAGCAGTGCGTGCGTATTCCAGCAATACGTAGGATGCCTCGCAAAGATAGGGCTAAGGAAAAATCCAGTTAAATGGCACGTTTTAAAATATGTGGATAAACCAATTTCAAAAGGTTTATAACACTCTTCAACACACTGATAAAAAATACCACGTGAATTTCAATATTTTTAATAGATTTGAATATTTGTTAGTAGATTTAAATATTCTTAGTAGATTTAAATTGTGCACACTTCAATTTCAAGTTGAACATTAAAATATTAAATTTAAAGTGTGACGATATTAAATCACAAATGATGGATGTGGACTTGGGCTTATTTTTTATAATTATAAAATATTTCTCCAATTATTTTGTCTACTGTATTTAATTCTTGTACAGAAACGAAGTTAATTTTAAAATTCTTTTGATTATTAATTCTTACCAACTAATTATCGTAACGACCATATATGTATGTCACTTTGTATTTATACCACACAGCCAATGAAAACCGACTTGAGAATTCTAGTCAATGAGAGTTTAATATATTTCTAGTATGTTTAAATCGACTACAGAAAACGTCAAATTAAAGTTGAGAAAAACATTAAAATGTATTATGGAATATAGTAAATTTAACTATTTGTTATTTGAAGTGGGCGCATTTTAAAATTAAATATGGTCCAACATTAAATAGAACACATTTTAATGACAAAGACTTACACTTTGTTTTGAATATTATTCATATTTAAATCAGTAATTGAATATGTTTCTATTCAAATCTAAGATTTTTATATATGATTTGAATATGAAATAGTAGAACATTAAATTTGATATGAAAATATTCATCTGTACTTTTTTTCAGTGTAGTCCATATAAGGTTCTATTGTGTAACATTATGTGCTTAAATGCATATATAATCGAAAATTAGCAAGCACGGCCCCTCAAATATAGAGTGAGAATTAAATATACGAGCATTTCATCTCTTCCCCCAGACTTTTTAAAGCAAAAAGCAACCATTACGTAAAAAACACAAACCGGAAAATTAAATAAATTGAAATGCCATTCCTTAATTAAAAAAGCTGGAACTTAGGAAATGCAGGTAATTAATCAAGATATTATTTTATTTATTTATTTGTTTGGGTAATTTATTTATTTATTTCATCGCCAAACAATGCTGTCCACTAACTAAAGAAAGAAAAAGCCTATACCTAATAACGACTCCCACTCGGAGGGGGAAGAAAGCAAAAAAGAAGTGGAGATGGAAAAAAGCAATAAATGATAGAAGAAAACAATCTAAAATTAAAATACTTAAATAATAAAAGATAAAATATAATTAAAAGCGGACCCGTTGGGGGACAATTTATTAGCCAGTCCGCTACTCATATTTTAACGTATTCTATTCGCTTTTTATTTAAACAGTGGAGACCTGGAAAGAACGATACTTATAGGCATATGGCTTGTGTATCTTTTTATTTTACTTTACAGATAAACGGATATATGGGCATGACTTAATCGAAACTTGCTTTGAAATTGCCAATTGAAAAATTTGTAATAAAGTTTAAGTATTTCAGGTACAAGTTCTGGTTGGGATATTTGTTGAATTCCCTTCCGATATTTGTTTAATTTCCCTCTGGACATTTGCTTAGTTTCCCTTCTAGAGTACACAAAGAATTCTTTGTTTGTAATATTTGCTTGAAGATATACTCGTATTTACTGGCCGGCTTGCAAATATAAGATTCCTCAAAGAGTCGGAGTCGTTATTAGATAATCATATAGCTCTATTATTTATTTTTATTTATTAATTTTTAAGCGTTTAAAGCCCACTTGTTGACTTGACTGATTAAATGAAAAATAAATATCCGCTTACCGTATTTTCAATGCCGGATAAGCTTGTGTTGGTGGCCGCCTCCTGCCTACCGCGCTTAAATGCCTGATCCAGATAGAGAGTGAGACGGACAATCACCTGAAGCACCATGGCGATAAAGAGGTTCTTGTGTATCTTGGTGCGATTGTTCCGCAGCGAGCGGAAATTGCAAAAGATGATCAACGATACTATAAGGGCCAGCAGCGACAGACACAGTCCAACAATCTCGAGAGTGCGCGTTCGCTTGGCAATATCCAAATAGACCTGTGGATAAACCCATAGAGGATGATGTCGGCTTATAAAAGCGCCCATATACGCACATCGAAGTCGGCGTTGATCTGTTGCATCAGTTGAGTAACCTCGGGCGTGTAGCATGGCCCATAGTCGGTCCATCCCATATGGTTTGGATCAGTCTCGTTCGGCCGGCCGCCCCAATGGCCGTCCAGCTCGCACTTGCGATTGGCGAATTCTGTGAAAGTATTTGAACAGTTCACTACATGCCCGACCGCCTTGACATGATTAAATCAATTACAATTGATTTTAAATTGGGTCAACCTGTTTGGGTGGCATTCGTGGGCTCTGCCTGTCTGTCTGTCTGTCTGTCTGTCTGCCTTTGTGCAAGTAAATGAAGAGCCAGCTGGCTCTGCATAGAGTCGATTAAATAAACAAAAAGCCAAACAACCAAATGTCCACCTCTTCTGTTTCCGTTCTGCAGCCAAAGAGACAGCCAGAGGGGTGTTGTGGGGTGGGGTAGTTATGGGACTAGCCTCGTTCCTTTATTTACCAACATGTGGCATTGGCATTTTGTTGGCTCTCTTCTTTTTATTTCCAATCAATCTAAGCTGGGAAACAACATGGCTTAAAGAAGTGTTGTGCAATAAATAGATTTAGTTGGCGCTTATTCGACGAACCAAATATTTATATCCCTTTAGTTAGAAATTGAAGCCACCTCTGAGTCCATTACTTAGTACGCATATCAACGAAATGGCTGCCAAAACCAAAATGCCACAATTGGCAATTATTTTGGTTGTGTGCTGTGTGGCCAGCATATCTAAAATCGACATATTTGTGGGTCACATTGAAAGTAAAAATTGTTGAGCATTTTTTTGCATTGTAATCGTGATGGCCGACTGTCGAAAATAAAATCTATAGCAACTATTTGATGCACGACTATATGCGCTTATAGAAATAATGGTTGCAACATATTTCAAGTGGTGTTGACAAAAAGGCAATTAAGAGTATTTGTGGCGTTTTCTGAAAACAGGAAGATCACAAATTACGGAACAAAAATGTTGTTAGTTTTTGTATAAAGTTTTTTGGTTTAATTTGAATTTTTGTGAAGAACGTGCTACTCAGAAGATTATGTTAACAAATACAGCTGACTGGAAGCATGGTACATTCAACAATTTAGGATAATTGTATAAGAACCGGAAACGGCATTTCAAGAAATAAGGGGGACCATTTCTGGTTTCATTTTAATTTACAAATCAATAGAGTACCTTCCTTAACTTTAAAGCTTTACATTTTGAATAATACGAACAATGTAGCTTGGATATTCTTAAAGCTGGCAATCTGGAAATTGTTTTAACAAATATTCTTTGGGAGCTTTAATTTTTAATTTGTGTAAATCAAGTTCATCCCCAGATTTAGGAACTATCCTTAATTACTAGAAACAAACTATTTTGCTAGCAGAGTCATGCACTAAGTTCGTTCAACTGCTCTCTGGTCTTTGGTTCGCAGTCCTGAGCCCGACTATTTGTCTCCAATATTACTCAGTTCTGGTATTTTAAAGACAGATTAAGGATCTATCTTTCTTGTAATCTACGATCTTGACCACTGACCACAAACGGACCTTTGCGTATCCTCAAATATCTGCATTACAAAAGAACTTCACATTTTGTAAACGTTTTGTCACACTCTGTCCACTAATTGCAGTCAGTATAATAGGTATGTGCAATTGTTAATGAAGTGTTGGTGAAATGTCCAACAGAATTTTTGTTTGAAATGTTAAAAAGTATAAACTTTTACTGAAATTGTACCCCATTTGTGGGTTGAATTTTCAAGAAACACCTGTGCGTTAAGTAATACATACTTTCCTAATTAATATTTCTAGATGTTGTTTGAACATTTGCGTTTATTTTTCACATCTCTGCCTTGCCATCTGCAGTGACTGAGCGCCGTACTGCAATTATTTTCAATCGAAGCTACATTTTTGATTGCGCGCTGACCTGGCCTGGCCTGCCCTGGCCTGGTCAGTAAGGCATGTGGTCACAAGAATGAGGCCAGGGCGAGCATGTGGTAAATGGTGTTTATCAAATATTTAGTCTTGATTGGTCATTCTCAGGTTTTGGGACATGCAAGCGATTTCCACGTCATTGTCATCGCTGTTAGTCGAACAAACAATGATGGCAAGGCCATCATTCGCCTGCTTCGGGCCAACAAAATCAGCATGTTGTAATTGAATGCCGTTTGTCGGCTGGGGGGTGTGCAACGCGATGGGTCTTGCCCCAGCCGGTAATTAAGCTGTCAAGTATCCACAGTTTGGAAATTGTTTCTGTTTTGTCCTACTTTCAACAGCTGCAATCGAGTGACCCAAATGTATATTAAATTGGTGCTGACATTCGGTATTATGCAGTTGGCTTAGGCTTCTCCATTTAGCACTCTCCCCTCTCCTTCGCTCCTAACCCGACGAACGAGAATTCAAATAGTATTTGTATCGTACTTACTGCGTGTATCGACGCCATGCCAGCCGGAGGGACAATTCATGCGCGCCAGTACGCCGGCGGGCGTCGGGGGCCAACAGAGCAGCGTGTCCCACGTCCAGTTGCAGTAAAGGCCTGTCCAGGTTAAATGCAGCAACGAACGAGTCACATGAAGAACATGGAGAATGAAACAAAGCATAGAAAAGTGAATTACAAATAGCTTGCATCTTGTGGCCTCGATGCGAGTTCCCAGTTAGGGGGCCACCCGCTAATTAAACAACAAATCGAGTCCAAGGATCACGCCCAAGGGTACTCTTATACTCGTTCCCCTATATACATACATACTCGTACATACATACATATGTACAACTATGAACATGCATGAGCCAACATGAACGTAGCGAGGGGATAATGATGACGATGGACATTTCGCCAATATTTTTGAATAATTCAAGAGTACTCGTATATGGTTATAAACCTCAAACACGCTTCCTCTTTCTGATACAGTCCTTCAATTCGCAAAAACAAAAATATCAAATTATGTTATTTTTATACCCTGTACCCAAAGGGTAAAATTAGTTTTGTGCGAGAGAGTACATGTGACACATGTCCGTCTGTCTGCCTGTCCGTCCGTCTGTATGAACGCAAGGATCTCAGAAAGTATAAGAGCTGGAATAACCAAACTTGGTATTCAGGTTCTCCTAAGCCCGAGAAAGGGCAAGCTTGTTAATTTTTTCCGATACTCCCCCCACTCCCTCTATATTCACAATTTTCTCCAACTCACCCAATTCTTAGAATTTTGAACTTAAATTTGGAAGTCACATCCAGCTAGTGATTATATGTCTGTATATTAAATTTTATTATGATAGATCAATTAGAAAGTTAGTTAAAGCCATCAATATAATCTCTGCCCAAGCTGTTTTATTAATTAATTAATTTAAAATTCACAATTTTTTCTTATTTTTGGAAGTATGTACAAGGTGTTGAAGGATTGAGCCCGCTCGATTCTAGCATTCCTTTCTTGTTATAAAACAAGAAGTAGAAGCCATTCCTATAGCACCTATATGATTTAGTAAAAAAAAAAATAATCCTACTAAGAGCGATAATTCAACCGATGGCTCCAATAGCAGCTATATACAAAAATAATGCTGCTGTGTATGGATAAGACAAGTCTACAAGCCCTAAGTATGTATAATGCTGAAAAAGTAATCGATCTTCATACGGACGAACAGACGAACATGTCTTTATGGGTTTGTCTATATAGAATGAACGTGTATTAGTTATTCTATCTAAAGTATAGTTGAATATTAAGCGATATATATAACTAATATTCGACCTAATCTTCATCAGAGTCTAACTCTTTTTAACACGAATTAAATAAATTTAGTTTGAGGTGAATTTATTTGGGACCTTCGTTATACAACACCTATCATTTTTGTTATACTCAACACCCTAGCCATATTCTGGAAATATAGTATCCTGATCCCTCTGGGAATATGTGGCCATAAACATACTTACGATAGTGAAGTTTCTGAAAAGATGGCTGCGCATTACAAATGAATGAGCTGCCAGGTATGTGCATGACAATCAAATTGATTTCAGAGCTACTATACAAGTGTGTATGTATATGGGCGGGTCTATCGATAAATGCAACTCTGCTGACAGCTGTGACAATTACGGTCGATTGAGTTGGTTACTTGAGGCAGCCCATGACCTATTGAACCCACACCCGTTAAAAGAGGACAAAGTTAATATAAAGTTGCAGCTCTTTCTTGGATTTTTATAATTCGGAAAATGTTTAACTATTGATTTGTAATTGGTAGCAGCATTGGCAGAAGTCCATCACTGTCTGATCTAGGCGGAAGCTCCGTCAGATGGGTCCGGATTTGGGGGTTTCGTTTGAGAACAGACAGGCCTCGTTATTGTGGCCAGTGGCTTTGTCATGACGAGCTCCAGATTGTCAGTCTCGATAACTGTCGCTGGATGCAATGACGAGGCCACGGGCCGGTCCATACGCTTAGAGCACGATTTCACAGTCATTCCGTAGTGCCCAATCTTCTTTGTCACGACAACGGTCACAAAGAACTTGAGCATTTTGGCAACTGTCGACAGTGGACTTAAATGGGAGGACACCGGTTGCCTTTGCCAAATATGGAGAACATACAAGTCTAAAGAATTTCACAAATAATTTCTGTTGTCTGTCGAAAAATGTACAATCAGTGAATGAAGAATTTCGAAATAAAGATAAAGAAATTGATAGGCCTACTCATAGACCTATTCAGAGGTCTACGAGCGTTCTATTAAAATGGTTGCCCGCCCGCCCGTATCGAACGTATGCTTGACAATAAAGGGGTATATCTTTAGCGAGTCAGAATTTAGTATTTATTGCTGAGAAGTATTCTAATATTATGTTTCTAATGATGACCGATATGGTTAAAATGCAGATTATTTCTAAAATAAAATTCTAAGCTTCTTTGTAATACTGTGGAAATTAATTACAGAGAGCATATCGTACTTTACCACCACAATAATACGAGTATATTGTATATTCAAAGTCGATTTTATGAAAAATCAGTATAATGTGTAATGATTTATATTAATTTAGTATCTTCTGAGTGTGTTCGTCACTAGTTTTGTCTAGTGTAGCCATAGCTTATACTACTAGGGGTATTCCAGAGTAAACAGAACCTTTTAAAACTTTTCTTCCCTCCGTTGTACAAATGAACTTTTTCGAAAGGTATTACTAACACGGAGTTACATCAGCCGACTATGGGAAGTGGTTTATGGTTCTTTTCTTTTCTTTGTCAAAAAATCAGTCACAGATATTGATCTGATCTGAGAAATTTTTGATTATCAGTCAACAAAATAATGCGATGAAGTGTTGATTGGGAGACTGTATCTTCGGTAATTCCGAATTTTCGTCGTCATTCGATCTATTCTTGAATAGTGTATACCATTTAAGGACACTGCCTTGGGATAAACAGCTATCCCCTTCTATAATATTTTATCAATTGAACCGTTTCGGAAAAAGTACAGAACTTTTTATTTTGATCGTCTGGTTGTTTTTATCGATAGCATAAAGACAGTGTTGCTTTGAGGGCGATATTTTGGCTTTGTCGCTTGTACGGAACTTAATATTTTGATCGTTTTATTTTTTTAATCGATAGCATAAAGACAGTGTTGCTTTGGGGGCGATATCCCGACCTATATCCATCCGATCAACAAGCAAATTTGACGGGATGTCGATAAAAGACGTACCTAACTAATGTTATATGTGGCGTCGCAAGAAAGGTATATTCATGAAAGTCCTGGCATGCACATAGTGGTTAACAGAAATATTTGTTGTTAAAATATAACATCTGGGTAGTAATTTTTGTCACTAGCTTTCCTCTTTCTTTGGTGCATACATACGAGCTGTTTGGAATATGGAAAGCATATATGTACATAAATATATGCGTGCGGGTAATATTCGCCAATTGGCCATCGTATTTGCATACCATGAATTACATTTCATTTTAATTATGCAAATTTCCCTCCCCAACAGCGTCGCCATTGACATTTTCGTCGTATATAGCCGTATATAGATAGATGTAGTTGGAAGGACGCATTTGTTGACTCGCGTGCGACCACTGGACAGGCAGAGACAGGGGCTTTACATGTAAATTTCAAAAGCTACAGCAATTGAAGCGATTTGTACACATAAATCTGCATATATGTATGTATTTATAGCACGTATGTAAATACATATATACTTGTAGAAATATATACATACATACACACATGTAAATGGCGCTTAAGCATTTAAGTCTTTAAGGGACAGCACCAAAAATAGTCGGTGGGCTCGACTCGCTTGTCCCTGTGCCTTGTGCGTGACTCGCATCTTAAAATCCACTTGTTACATACATATGTTGTCGTGATGATGTCCTTGAAAACCAAGGTACTCGCACTCATAAAGGAGCTGTCAGTAAGTCAGTCGTAAATTGTTCCGTTTCTGAAATTGGTGGCATTAAATGTCAGATTTTGCGATATGCAGTGAATTAAATGCTGCCTAAATAATCGGGGAATGGAAACAAGGGGTTTAACAAATTTAAACCAGCAATGATTGATTCCTTCTCAGAAAAGTGAGCAAAAGCGCTTTTGTTAGAAAATTTGCTGTCCTCTCTTAACTTTGTCAGACGGATCAAACGATTGTGTTAAATCATCAAATGAAATACTCGACAAAATTAATTCAAAGCCGTAGAAGGAATTGCAATTAAAAAGATTGAAGAATGATTTTGTGAAGGTTTGAAGAGGTCTACAGTTTTGTTCAGACACACAAAAAATTAAATACAATAAATAAATTTGTATTTTGAAGGGTAACAAGAGAGAACGCTACAGTCTAGCAAGTCCGACAGTGTAATACCCTGTACCCAGGTAAACTTCCGTCATTGAGTTATATGCGCCCATAGCAGAAGTAAAAAGAGGAAGAAGAGGAAGAAGAAGAGCGAACTTGTTGCTGCAGTTTGGGGGGGTTGTACTGGCCAGAATTTGTTACGTTAATAACGTTTCTTCATTCTTCATTCCGCAGATCTTCATTGAAGTGTGCGGCTACAACATTTGTGATAATGTTGGTGCACTATGTCCGCTGAATTACATGATACTTGTAATAATATAATATAATAATTTTTGCTTATAAGCTTCTTTTGGCATAATTACGAATTAAACGCTGTTTATGGCATAATCAACCGATAGCTCACACTGATACATGAAAATAATTTCAATTAAATTGAATTCTATATTAGTATGAATAAAAGCGATATCAAATTGTCGGAATTCAATATTATTTACACAAATTTCAGATTTAAAAAAATGCTAAGTCAACGCTAAAAAAGGATAGCTTCCCAGATAGGGGATGTTTGATATTTTTTCAGGCTGGAGCAATTTTTAAAAGGACAGACCTATCCGGAAAAAGGCTGAAATGGCAACACCTGTCTACACGTCTGTCTGGATGAACGCCTGGATTTCGGAAACGACTGAGCTCACATTGATCAAACTTGGTATATAGACTCTACTTATCCCCAGACAGCACGAGTTTATTTTTATTTTATTTATTGATTTTTTTCCCACTCCTATTTTTTATATCTACTCCTGCCGCTACAGAATTTTTCCAATACATAACCAAACTTTGCACACATACGAGTAATTAATGCTATACTTTTGTTTTTATATTTTATTCAAATAGGGCAATTCTAAGAAAAGTTATTAGCGTAACAATGGGCGCATATAATTCAGCGGCGTAACAGTAGCCTTCTTCTCATTCTGTTTAAATGGGAAATTTTAGAATCCTTACTTGTACGTTCCTTCATGGAATTTATGCAATTTTTAAGCACATTTTGGTCGATTTTGGAAGATTTAAAGCAGCCGTTGGCATAAACCCTATTTCATAAAATCCCCCCTGGAGCTCTCGATTGGATTAATAATGCAATATGCAATAAGCATTAAAGCCATAAAAGCTGACTATCGGGCTTGACGTTAATGACAAATGATTTACCTGCTTGGGGTTGCGTGTAGTTGGCAAACAGGGCCGAGCAATTCTCATAGCTGCCGGCTGTGGATGCCGCGGTCCACGCTGCTGTCATCGCCGGCGTTGTCGTGGTTGTGGTGTTCCATGTCATGTTGATGGCCGTGGGCAGAGCCGATGTTGCCGCTGCTGTTGCTGTTGCCCCGGTTGCTGCTGCTGTTGTTGTTGTTGTTGCGGCAATTGAACTTTTGAGCGTGGACATTGCTGTATTTTTCAAATGCGTAGCCCGATTGATGAAATGCATAGGACTGCGTGTGGTTGCCACAGCTGCTGATTGGGGTGTCGTCGATGAGCGAGGCAAGTAATTGTATATGGAGGCAATGGTGGCAGACAGTTTGCTGCTGCTGCTGCTGCTGTTGCTGCTGCTGCCATGCGGCACGGATATGGATGCGGCGGCTGTGGTTGCTTTGCCAATGTAGCTGGCAATGGTTAGGCGAGTGGAGTCCGTTCCGCCGTCACCTTCAATGCTCTCTCCCCTGTTTCTCCGTAACAGGCTATTTAGGTCCGTCATGTCGCGCCCTTGTGCGTCTTCCGCTTAGTCGGCCTTGCGTTGCATCACTGCAAATAGGGGCAGAAGGGGTAGAGAATTTTAATTAAAACACATACGACACCAACACACTCGAACCATAACAATTGGCAAACATATGTGTGCGGCCCAGTTTCCCATTGCCACGTTTGCCATTTGCTGTTAACTTATTGCACAATAAACTGGGCCACTTTATTATTGTTTATTAATAAATCGCTAGGAACAGAATACGTAATCGGGCATGTGTATGTTCACATCAGCCGGCAGCTGCTCATCAACCACAGCCGCTTGATGCAAATGAGAACAGACGACCATTCAGCATCCGGAAATAGTACCATTTGCCACAGTTTCACAATATTGCGCACAAGTGGCGATACAGAGCTGCCAAAACCACTAATTAGACAAGTTTTTCTCGCGTTGACATTCATGAAACGAAAGTTGAAGTTCGAGGAAACAAGAAAAGAACAACGATTCCAAAAAGCTAACAGGTCGAGAATTATTTTCTAACGATTCCGACATCAAATTTCTGCTGGAGCCTGGTCACTCAAGTGAGAAAGTTAAAATTCATTGAAAAGCAATTTTAGGACATTGGCGAATTAAATGACGAGGAAGATTTCGTGCTCACACTCTTATACTTTTTTTTTTATTCAAACTATATAAAACTATATAAAAACTAAACAAAATAACTGACACTCTATCAATTTATCCTCGCCCAATGCATCCGCCGGTGCTATACAGCTGGAGCTTGGACACAAATTTCCTTTATAAATAGTTGTATTGAGAATGGCGAAATCTGCGAATTCTTTTGTCAGATTAATTGTATATTTAAATTAAAATTTTTTTGTGCCTTTTGTCAAATCTCATCCATGGCCACTGGGGGTCGCCAAAGCTGAAAATATTTGAATTATGTTTCCTAAATGCCTCCTCTTCTAACATTTTTGTGATTATGTTCTTTATATCACAATTGTTTTCGGGTCATTCGTTCTATTTATAATGATCTTTCTCATTCCCTCTCGACTGAACTCTCTCTAAATTCTATCAAAACTGTCCTCTATACCTATTTCCGGGGAAATCTCTGACCACTTTGGCTGAGACTCGGCCGGACTGGCAATCAAAATTTCCCTCGCCTTCTCTTTCTCTTTCTGCCCTACTGCACCTAGATAGAACTAAGTTTTCTCCTCTACTATCTATTTTTTAGTGGTGTATGTCTATAATGTCTCTAACAACATATGGCTGTGAATCGGGGCATAGCTGGCCAAATGGCAAATAAAACTCCCCCAACGTTTCGGAGGCATTAATAGACATTATTGTATAGGCTTTGTTATATTTTAAAGTTAAAATTATAACTTAATTAGTAAACTGTATTGACAGCATTATTTGTTGTTATATAAAATAAAGAAATAAATATCCACACTAAATCTTCCAAAATATTTAAACTATTCAGCTGAAATGTTGCCGATAATGAATGGAGCCTACTCCTAAAAACAGCCCCATATATCATAGAGTTGTCTTAAAATCGATATGGTTTTTATATTTTCGAAGTCCTTGAAAGAGTGGCTGTTGTTTTTAAAAGGCAGTGAAGCATAAATTATTGGATTTTGTGTTTTTAATTCGATACTATATTTGACTATTTTTAACGTAATTTAATTTGACCCCGGCTGCCTTTCTCACTTTTCACGTGCGCCTCAACTAATTAAAAATGTTTGCGGCCTTTCAACACACACACACACACATGTATGCATGTATATTGCAGTGTCTGGTGTCATATGAGTAACGGTCATCTGTTATTAGTGTGTGTGTGTGTGTTTGTATCAAACTCACGCAGCTGTCTGTCAACTCTTGGCCGCTGGTCACGTGTGTGGAAAAAAGCATTGCCTACTTTTCGGCGCAACGTGCAGGCTAATAGCATTTTCGTGCGGATATGTGTGTGTGTGTGCGTGCGTGTTCATGCGTCTGTGGGCGTTGGAATCTAATGCAAACGGCAAACAACCCCATTTATGTATAGTTGTGCACAAGCATGCTTGCGTAAACATTGTGCCTGGTATGCTTGCGTAAACAGCAAGAGCAATACATGGATGGGAACAGCAACAATACGAGTAACAGCTGTGTGTAGAGCAACAACAATACCGACAACATTGCATTGCAGGCACCGAAAATTCCTTTGAGTGCATTTTTATATAATTTCATAAGAATTTCAATTTAGAAATTCGTCGCTGAAGCATGCAACGTATGCGAGTATTCCGGCTTCGCCTTCTCCATCTCCATCTCCTTCTCCTCGCACTCATACTCACACTCGCACTCCTTTCTACTCAACTAAAGTGAGCTCGCTTTTTACTTTCGCTACCGTTAAAACTAACCCTCTTCGTGTTTAATCATGCGCTTAACTATAACTGTTGCCATCATCAGTGGCGTCCCGAAACTCAACCCAACGAGCTGCGATGCTAGAAACCATCAACCCAACCAACCCCACCCCATTCATTCACGTTCCCATCAACTCACACAGCTCGCACGCTTAACGTTAATGCTCTAATATGTGAAGGATGTCAGTGCTCTAGTTCTGAGTAGCAGAGAAATATTATTGGCACGTGTTTTCGAAACTGCGAATAAAAATCCGCTTAGGAAAGGCTGCGCCATGTGATTGTTTTTACATAAAAACTCAATTCCTTGGAATTCCTTCATACGAGTTTAATGGCAACGTTTTAAGTTTAAAGCTTATGGACAATACTGCTGTATACGGTATGTCTATAAGACAGGATGGACCCAATATAGATTATTTGATGCTACATGCTTTTAAAATAAAATCACTTTAGCAGATGAGGGGACAGGGCAACAGATAGATTTCTAAATCTTGTATAATACAGTTTATTTGTTTTATTTAAGCGTTATTTTTATTTTTTTAAATAAAGGCACTTTAAGAGATGAGAGGACAGAGCAACAGATAGATTTCTAAATCTTGTATAAAACAGTTTATTTGTTTTATTTAAGCGTCATTTTAACTTTCCATTGAAATTTAAGAAATGCCTTAAGTATAGTTTCTTTAAAGGTGAACCATCAGAACAGCAACTGATCCAAACAGCATGTAGTATTTCTTTTAATTAATATATGTTTTGAGAACTTATTGTGAGTCTCACACAAAGGAGATGCAATAAATGTTAATTATTTTTTCGGTGTAAAATTCTAACTACAAAAAATATATTATACTTGTAAATCAATTCTTTATAGCCGGTTACGTTCGTTTTTCAATTTGTTTTGACTTTGGTTTTGGCCATTGCGTTTCTTTGGTTGCGTATGCAAATAAATTGCTCTTATTAGTTAATGAGAATTGTAGCGCAAGATCGGGCAAGCAGAAGATGAAGTGCAATGTACTTGCAGATTTATCAATTAGTCCAATGAGCTTTGGGCGCAATGTTCTTTAGAGTCCTGTGCCTAGTGCCACTTTCTACTTTCTACCCGGTAATTAAGCAAGCTCAAACACACAGGCATATATGTACACACCACACACACACACAGAAATGAACACACTCAAGGCCAGACCACATTTTTCCAATTATCAGCTATGTGTGTGTCTACCTTCCTACATTTATGGAGCTCTGCCAGTCATGCGTGCATCTGCACTCAAAAGTCAAATCAACAGAAACCAATCAGGCGTCGGATAAGGCATCATCAACAGTCAGCAACATACAGAGAAGTCGACGTAGACAGGCACACACATACACACACACACACACACACATACAACAGACAAAACACCCATGCCTTTGCCTTTGGCCACAAGGGTGAGTGTGAGGAACAGGAGCAAAAGTAGGAGCAGTCGGCAACTTCATCATCGCCATCAAGCTGGTGCTGGTGCTGCCGCCATTTGGGTCACTTAGCATGTGAATGCCCTCAGTGTCCTTCCCCCCCCCCCCCCCCCCACCAACCAGTGAGTAAACAAACCGCACAGGCAGTCCGCAAGCATTCAGGCGCGTGCCAAGTGACACCGAGCAAATGCTCATAGGAATCTATTAAATACTTAATTTAAAGTAAACACCGCAGACACACTTCTACTCTCGCACACTATCGCTGAGACCACACGCTTTGTCAGCAACAAAACTGTAGTGACGACCTGAAAGGGAAATTGGGCGAAAAACTGCTAGGAAAGGAACGGGGATGGATGGAAGTTGCAACAACAAGTCACCAAATATGCACTCCACTGGCTGTGGTTAGGTTATGGGGAGGGGGGAGTGGGTGAAGGGGGGGGGGAGGGGGGGGGGCTGTTTGCGTTCTATCGTTGCTGCGCATTTGGTGCTCATTTCTTTTGCATAATTATTGAAAATGTTGCTGCAGCTCCACTGAAGCGAATGTTGTAATGGGGGAAGTGTCGAGCTCGTTGGCTGTCGTCTGTATAAGTACAGTGGGTCTGATATGAACTTTGTTGCCCTAAATTTGTATGCTTTTGTGGCAATTGTTAAAGCATAGCCTGTTTTCTATATTTCCCAGACAACATGCTAAAAGATTTCATTTAAGTTTAAAATTATCCTTCAGTTCAATAGCTGAATTATTTTGAATTACAAGATCTTATTCATTGAGTTAAAATCTTGATTAAATACTGCACGATGCATTTAAAAAATAACTTATGCATATGATCAATGAAAAAACTTCAACAAATCCAAATAATGCGTCATAATAATGAACGTGTGGTCAACTTTATATGGCAACATTTTTTTTCTGCCCCCCCTGTCTACGCCCTTGGACAACAGAGTACATTTAATATATAAATATTTCTTATAAATTTCACAATCGTACTGCATTTCCATAAAATTAAACGCGACTAAACAAATAACGAAAGCAATATAAAGCTAGATAAGCACATATTAGAGGTTGAATTTAACGCAGCCATATTAAATAAAAATAAACATAAATATTTCGTTCTGAATATTATACATAGCATTACTTTAACAATAACAAATTGACATAACAAGCTCTGATTGTGGTTTTTCCGATTTGGCGACTCGATCCTCTTTCATCTGTTATTGTTTATTATTGTGCTTAG